CAGCAAAGAGGAAGTCATGGCCATCTATGAAGAAGAGGCCTGTCCTGGCACCACTCCAAAAGAAAACCACAAGGGACTGCCATCTTGACAGCTTGAGTGACCTCAGCTCATTATACAGTTGTTTTATCATTAGCACTGCGGTTATGAAGGAGCTCCGCCTCTGAAATCTCCACGAGAGTTCTTTATCGGGCAAATAAGGCAAGAAAAAAGGGCATAACCTACATTCCTGGAAGACACCACCCTGTTTCCAAGAAATCCTCACTTTAAGTAATGAATATTCCACCCCTTTGTTAACAATTGTCAATAACGGAAACCGAAACCCAGTGGGTTCAGACCTTCCTTGAGCGCACCCTCTCTCACATCTCTAGAATGTAGTTTTACTTTAAGAAACTTTCCTGCTTGGGGGAGCCTGGGTGGCTTAGTCTTTAGGCGTCTGCTTTCGGCTCAGGTCATGGTCCCAGGGTCCTGGAATCAAGCCCCACATCGTGCTCCCTTCTTGGCGGGAAGCCTGCATCTCCCTGTCCCACTCCCCCTGCTTGTATTCTCTCTCTCCCTGTCTCTCCCTCTGTCAAAGAAATAAAATCTTTAAAGAAAAAGGAAAGAAAGAACGAAAAGAAAGCTTCCTGCTTGTACTGCTTATGTACCCTGTTGTCTGTCCTTGAATTCTTTCTCCTGGCAGACCAAGAGCCTCCAGCGACATCTTTTGCAGGGGCTGGGTCAAGGGCTCAGGACCCAAGGACCACCCGGTAACAAGGGCAGGTCCAACCCCTAAGAGTTCAGTTTCCGGTCCAATTTCGCTTTCTTCTCCAACACACCTTGTTCCAGCAACTACCCTCTACATCTTCGCCTCTCGTGTTACTTTACCCTCACAGCGCCCGTTCCCGCCCCTCCGTCGCCCTACCTCAGTCTCAGAGGGGACGTGGTGCCGGCAGGGAGGGGAACTGTCCAAGGAGACAGGAATTGATGTGGAACTTGCCCAGAGGCCGCCCAACAGGAGTAAAACGCCTTGGACCCATAAAGACCTGCTCCAGCGCCACTGGCTAGGGCCAGGGCCTGAACCCGAGGAACCTGCAACTCCGTTCCATTCGGCCGCCATCTTCAGGCCGAGCGTCGTTACCATGGAGTACGTGACGTCTTCACCCTGGCGCCAGCCCCGCCCCTCGCCGCCGGCAGACAGACGATTTTCGATTGGCTAGCATCACCAACCAGGTCGCCCCGGATGTGAACTGCATCACGCTGGTGGTGTCTCAGTTCAGGAAGCCTGCCAATAAATGCCGTTTCGCGGCCCACGTGAGTTGGGCTGTAGGAAGACTAGTGGGTGTTGCACGGCATTGATTGTATAAAGCTGTTTCTCTTTTTTTTTAAATTTAATTTAATTTATTTTTTTTATGTGACAGAGAGATCACAAGTAGGCAGAGAGGCAGGCAGAGAGAGAGGGGGAAAGCAGGCTCCCGGCTGAGCAGAGAGCCCGATGTGGGGCTCGATCCCAGGACCCTGAGATCATGACCTGAGCCGAAGGCAGTGGCTTAACCCACTGAGCCACCCAGGCGCCCCTAAAGCTGTTTCTCTTTAATTCAGTTTCTCACCTTAAAGGTAGGCATCCACACTGGGTGCCATGTGGCTTAAACAAACTGATGTGGAACCTTTAACGGTTTAGCCCTCTGTATAAAAGATGAATGGAATATACTTTCATTTTTACTTTATTTTCAGTCACCAATTTTAGCACCATTTAACTAGTCATTTCTTATAAAATCAGTATGTTCGTTCCTATTCAACCCCATCCCTTAACTGCCATAAAACAAAACAAGAATTAGGGATGTCTGTCTTAGTGCAGCATTTGACTTGATCTCTGGGGTAGTGAGTTCAAGCCCCACAATGGGTGGGGAGCCTACTTAACACAAAAACTGCAAAAAACAAACAAACAAACAAAACCCCAAACAACCCACAAGAATTGCAACTGCATTTAACCCAGGAAGAGACCAGGTGGATCCTTGCCATTAAGAAAACTCTACCTTCAATCTAGGCCATGAGTAACTATAAAAAAATTGAAAATTGGGATATTCCCCCCCAAGGCCCTTTAAACAATTAAAACTAGTAACTGGAAGCACTGAACTGGTACAGTCATTTATCCAGAACTGAATACTGTAAATTACTATACTAGGAACTGGGAATAGGAAATAGCAGCCCCAAGATTGTACAATTCATTGGTAAAGATCATGTACTCAAACTGAAAGGTGGGGCATTCTACCAGTAAAGGCTCATTACATAATGAGTCTATCATCCCTCAACTAGTGGAAATTGGGACTCCAAACCAAATTTATCACTTTCAGGACATGTGCTTTTTCCACAACAAGATGACAAAGAACCTGTGAATTCTGAACAGAGAATAGCACTAGGAAACCTCAAGTTCCTAGTTTTAACAGTTGTGTCATGCTGGGGAGAGGCTGTTTCAGAGATCCAGGCAACCAACCCCTAGCCATTTGAGTTCATTTCTCTGAAACACACGATTCCTCCAATGGTACCTCTGGCTTGAGGACCATTTTTGTACTCACCAAATCTCATTATGGGAAGAGAAATGCATAAAGCCCTCTCTCATTTACTAAGTGCTGTATTATTAAATCAAGAGGACGAATTTCCATGCAAGGTTGTCTTGCCACTGCATGTACTCTGGTCATCCTAAGGATTCTTTTTTTTAAAGATTTTTGACACACAGGGAGAGAGATCACAAGTAGGCAGAGCAGCAGGCAGAGGGCGAAGCAGGCTCCCTGCTGAGCAGAGCCCCATGCAGGGGTCGATTCCAGGACCTTGAGATCATTACCTGAGCCACCCAGGCGCCCAGACCTCTCTTCTTTGTTCAACTGTCCACTTCCTGTTTATCCACCTCCATTACTCGGTCATCATCCTACTCAATACCATATTCACTTAACTCCTACAAAGGTGACAGCTTTATGAGATTTCCTCCTCTGTATGCCTAATCCAGGCACAAATGTCCAGCTGCCTTCCTGGACGTGGTCACAAGTGAGTATCCTATAGCTTCCTCAAACTCAACACCCTTCCACCAAAAGATCTCCTAGTTACCCAACTTTGTAAATGCACTATTATCTACCCACAACCAAAGGTAGTAATGTTACCATTGAAGACTTAGTTGTCTTTGAATTCTCTTTATCCTTAGTACAGCTTATAAAACTTGGCATAATCTGGCCATTTCTACTTATTTTCCAATTACTGCCCACAATTAGGTTTCAGTTACACTACACAACCCAGTTGAACAGTTCCTTAAATGCATTCTTTCACATAAACCCTAAAGGTCAATTTTTATGAAATACCTCCCTAAGCATTTCTTCCTCTATTCCTAATCACTCTAAGAGTACTGATACACCTTTGGGGCAACTGGGTGGGTCAGTCTGTTAAGCAGTCCACTTGATTTTTGGTTCAGGCCATCTCAGGGTCAAGATGGAGCCCCAAATCCAGCTATAAGCTCTGCAGGGCGTCTGTTTGAGATTCTTTCCCTTTCCCTCTGCCCCTCCCCCAACTCAGGCACTCACAAATTTTTAAAAAGTACGAAAACATCTACTTAAATGACATGTTAGTGTAGGTACTATTAGATTATGCTGTTTCTCAACAACTAAATCTCACTGGAGTAGGTTTGGGATTGGTACTTCTTGCCAGTGACCCAATTTTTTAATGACAATTTCCTTAGGATTCTAATACGCAAATTGTGGCCCTGAAATACACTGCTTAGACCTTGTGAAGAAAACATTAACACTGGACCAAAGCTGCATCTGACCCAACCACCTCTTTTTCCTTTAAGTCATTCTTCCCAAGTAAGCCCAAATGAGACTACAGTACAAATACAACGCCATTTCTGTGATACCTGGTATTTTTCCTTCTAACAACTTTGGCTTGAGGACCACCATTGGGCTTAGCACACATTTCTTAGAACTGCTATATGCTACTCTAAGTGTAATTAAAAACTGTAAAAGGGCTCAGTTTGACCAATTCCCAGGTTTCTTGTTGGTATCTTCAGTGGAGTGTCAAGATTTGGTGGTTAATAAAAGGACTGGCTGGCTGCTACTGCAACAATCAAGTATCTACAGCCGCCATACTGCAACCTGATGCCTTGGTTCAAACTTGACAATTCAAAGAACTGAAATACCCTGCAGCCCTGCTTTAGTTTCGTCTTACACTGAAGTATCTCAATCCTGCACTCTACTACATTAAAACATGGAACCAAGCTACACTATCTAGGCAGCCTCCCCTTACCCCAACTCACTATAACTTTTTCTTGAGGCATATATTATTTTGCTATTTTCAACTTAAACATTATTACAAGTCAAGTGTTTTATACTGGCATGCTTTGTCCAGTAACACGCTCCAAGAATAGTCTCATCCTTGCCTATCTAAAGAAGCTGCCAAATACCATCAATACAATCCTCATTTTAAGTTCTCACAAGTATCAAGTTTCCTAACCAATCTATATTGAACAAGTGCATACATGCAAGGTAATTAAGGAGGTTGTCAAGATAATCTTAAGTTTCTTTCACTCTCAATCTAAAGAAGGCAATCACATGTAATAAACCACAGTACAGAGTTCAAAGAAACTTAAGTTATAGATCCATTTTGATGTGGAAACCTGGGAAAGTTATGTATTTGTATTGGCTAATATTTCTGGCTTCTGTCCTTCCTGGAATACATGGTCTCCATTTGAACAAAAGCTTTTCAGAGACCATGTGCTCCATTGCTTTAAAAACTTCCAACATACTCCTTCCCACTGCCTCCAATCAAAGCTTGTTTCCCTCCCCCATCACATGACGCTTTGTATTAAGATACTCTAACTTCCCTACCCTCATTAAAACCCTCCTACTATCTAAATTGTTATAACTGCCATTACATATAGCTCCCTGGCTTCCTTGTACTCTGAAAATGCTGGATAATCGCCACCATTTAAATATAGCAACTTGTATTTAGGAAAAAGAAAATGGTAAGCCATTTAACAAAAATACAAGAGAACAAATCTACACCTTTATTTACTTTTCATTAAATTTAAATCCTTGAGGGGTACAGCATCTAGGAAGAAAAAAAAAAACACGGTGTAATTAGATGCATGTTTTATACAAATCTGAAAATGTCAGTGCGTACAATATGGATCTGCTCCCACTGTCACATTACTCATCTCTAAAAGGGATCCAATGACTACTTATATCCTAGCAGGGAGAGAACTAAGTTCTTACAGTATCTACATGAACACACTTTTTAAGAACCGGTACAGGGAACGCTGAAAATCCATTTAATTTTGCTTCACATGAGTATCAGTTTTCTTCTGTAAAATACAGCTATTAACAACACCTATTCTAACAAGACCGTCACAATGAAGAGATGGGAATATCATGAATTATGCCAGGAGAAGGTGAATTTTTTTCCAATAATCACTTCTGTGTTCAATAAATCTTTGCCAGAAAATTGTTCTTTAAATACTATCCTCCCCACCCCAAGCTTTAGCAAAATCTGAAATCTAGATACAATCCACTTGAACACTTTGCCTTCACTTTCCCCCTAATGCCAGGAATCTGGTGTTTCATAACACATCTACACAGCAGCGGACGACTTTGAAGCACAACTCATGGGGTAATTTTAAAAATCACAATAGTCTTTAGAGGTCAGAGTCCAGACCTCTGAGCTTAGTCTGACCCCAGAGTGTCATATTGCTAATAATTTTACTTACCACACGGATTCTGTGGCCAATGGCTTTAGCAGGAAGGTTGCTTCGGAATTTGGCACGAACCATGCCGCTGTTTCCATGAGCACGAGTTACTTTTCCCCAGATTACTCTGGTTTTGTTTGGTTTGCCACCAGGAGTCACTGTGTTGCTGGTTTTAAAAGGGGATAAAAGAGGTATGAGAACGCAGGCAACAACTATAGGGTGATACAAATTCAAGGTGACCTAGACCAGTGGTTACCAACTCAACAACTGTAGTTAACCACTAAGTCACCTGAGAAATTAAAAAGTCTGGGGCATCATTCATTCAACAAGTATTTGAGTACCTACTGTATGCCAGACACTTTAATAATGTATTTTTTGTTAGTCTGTAAAACACAAAATTGCAATTTGCAAAAAAAACCCCTTTCAGATAACCAAATAGTTAAGTAAAACATATTAATGTCAGATGCTAATAGATGCAGTATTTTTAAAAAATTATGGAAAAGCAGAAGGTATCATGGAATGAATCCTAGATGGGCTAAGAATAGAAATAGGGAGCCCCGAATGCCTTAAATGTCTTAAAGCCTCCTTAAAGACCTTTGTTTTTACTAAAGATGGGGGGGAAGTTGGTATCTGAGAAATGGCCAGGTGATCTGAGTTATTATTTTATTTTTTTTTAAAAGATCTTATGTATTTATTTATTTGACAGAGATGACAAGTAGGCAGAGAAGCAGGCAGAGAGAGAGGAGGAAGCAGGCTCCCCGCTGAGCAGAGACGGGGAGACGGGCAGGGGTGGATCCCAGAACTCTGGGAACATGACCTGAGCGGAAGGCAGAGGCTTTAATTCACTGAGCCACCCAGGTGCCCCCTCAATTATAATTTTAAAGGTCTTGTTGCAGGAGGAATGGGTAGCAAAGATGAAACCCATGTCCACAGAAATTTTAACTGGTTCAGGGGGTTTGAGAATCAATGATCTAGATACATTTCTAAGCATGTATACAACATAATTTCAAGAGAGCAACAAAATGAATTAAAGTACATGAAAAACTGCTCTATTAAGAAGAGACTTGAAGGAGTTGGTTGCTTCCTTCAAACAATTAACAGCTGTCATCATTCTAAAAGCATTAATATACCTAAATTCAACACTGCCCAGACAAATTAACATCCTTCTATAACCTTCCACGAAGTTTCTTAAAGATCCAAAGTAGAAAACACAACAGTACCAATTACTTTATCAGTATCTTTTGACGATTATTCTTTGAATAGGAAAATGAGACACATCTCAACTAAAAACTTAAAAGCCATTATTAGTACTATAAACTTACTTCTTTGCTTTGTACACGTAAGCACATCTCTTGCCTAGATAGAATTCCGTTTCATCTCGAGCATATACACCTTCGATTTTAAGAAGAGCTGTGTGCTCCCTCTGGTTGCGGAGACCCCGCTTATAGCCAGCAAAAATGGCCTTGGACCACAGCCTAAGACAAAATAGACCGTAACCGTTAAGTTGTTAAAGGATCTCGATTCCCTTCACTGGTAAGATGTGACTTGCAACGAGCTCTACTCAAAAGTTATCTGCAGCAAACATCTAATTTTTTCCCACCAGCTTTAAGCTCACATTTATGTTCATGCTTGACAAAAAACTACAAATACAAAGCAATTATATTTAAAACCCGTACCTTCCAGACATTATTCGGCGTTTCAGAGGAGTCCTGTTCCCAGCAGGCCTTAAAACAAAAAGAACCAGTTTAAAATGTTTCAACGCACGTTTCTCACCTGGTCCTCTCTACGTTTCTTCAACTTGTCAGGCACATTCCTTTTTGCTCGGCATTTCACATTAAGAGTACGGGGAGACCTAATTATCCCGTGACATCTACATGAAACACAGTCGGGCAACACTTCCCAACCTCAGAGAAAAGCCTGACACCAGCAAACTCCAAAACGAAGGCTACAACCAAAGTGTCAAGATTCCACAGTAAGAGTAGTAGCTCCTGGAAACCCCAAAGGGAAGTCCTGAGAAAATCCATACCAGGACCAGCAGGAAAAAAATGAAGAGCGAGGAATCAGAGAAGCGCGCAGGCAGTAAGACTGAAGCACCGAGTGGGAAAGGAAATGCTAAGGAAACGGAGACCGTAGACATAGCCAGGTCTGGAGTGGGAACACACAGAAAAAGAACTCATCCTAAAGGAGCCACTGCTTCCAAAGGGGTACTACATACAGGCAAAGTGTATCTATGAGTCCGCCAAGGCCCAGGAAGCAACACCGATTACGGGAGCTCCCGTTCTCCGGGCGTGCGGGGACCAGCACAATCAGTCCCCCATCTCCTCAATCCTGTCCTTCCTGTTGCTGGAATCCATAAAAATCACTCGCCGACACGGCCTCTGAACCGCACCAGTGCCCTGACGAGGCACATGGCTAAGCTCACCTCAATTACTGCGCCCAAAGTTCAGCAACAAGAATTCCACTCACCTCGATAGGGCCCAAGATGGCGGAAAAAGAAAGGCGAAGTCCCCCCGCGTGGCCTTGTGGGATAAACACCTCTCAGCCCCGCCCCAAATTTAGGCATCTTCCGCAATCGCCAGAAGGAAAAAAAAAAAAAAAAGCCTCGGATGTCTTTTTTGACTGAAACAAACCATATTCAGGAGCACTCTTACAGTTCTTTCTCTAAGTTCTTTCGTCTTTTTGAGCTTTAACACGTATTATTTTGAAACAGAGGGAGGCAATATGGTAGCCATCTAGAGTCTGAGCGTTGCCCGGGAAACACCAGAGCTTGGTTTCTTAGGTGGAAAAAAACTGAAGCCGGACTGGAGGATATCTCCCCGCCTCGGGTATCCCAGATTTGATTCGCCGACATGGGGGTATCTTCCCCTGCTACTACAGAGGAGTAGGTGAACTGAGACTCCGATCCTAGCGTGGAAGAGAAAGGCCAGGAGCACGAAGGCAGGAGGAGTTCTTCCTTTAAGGTTTTCCCGCTTACTCCTTTCCTCCTGCTCCTTTATCTCTTTCGAGAAGTGACCTAAGTTCTTACCTGCATCCTTCGTTTTTACTCCAGAGTAAATAGGACTGCCCTGAAAAGGCTTTAATGCCTTTTAAGGATAACTCATTCCTCTGCCAGACAAACTCGCGGGGCTCCCAGCACCGTGCCTACAAGAAATGGGTCTTCGGTAAATACTTGCAGACGAGATGGATTAGTGGATATCAGATTTACGTTGCCTAATTATTGCACATTTATTTGGGTTTCTCTATGGACTCTTTCATTTATTCAGCAATTTATTGATGAACTCCATGTACCAAGCTTTGTTCTTGGCTCGGAGGACACTGCTGTAAACGAAAAACCACAGAAGTCTCTGCCCTCATAGAGCTTGCTTACACCCTAGTAGGGGGAACAAGACAATAAGCAAGCAAATTATATGGCAAATTAGAAGGTGACGTGATGAAAATTTTCTCTATGGAGAAAAAAAAATTAAACAGGGAGGGAGGCCACTATTTAAAAAAAAAAAAAAAAAAGGCTTTTACTCCGAGATGAGAAACCATTTCGGGGGTTCTGTGTGGAGGAGTGACTCAATTTGACTTCCATTTTAACAGGGTCCCTCTGTTGAGACTGAAGGGAAGCAAGAACACCAGCAGGGAGATCAATTAGGAGACTATTGTAATGAACCTGATAGATGATGGCATGTAGACAGAGTTGATAAATACTGGAATTCTGAATATATTTTCAGTGTAACCCTGACAGGGTTTGCTGATGGATAAGAAATGGGAGAGAGGAATAAAGGATGGCTCCAAATTTTATGAGATATCTATAAATCATATTTGAAATCCTTTCTTAAATACATCAGGATGGAATGTTCATACCTTATAACCCACTCTGTCTATCCAGTTTTCTCTGTCCCAGAAATACACTAAAAATACTGCTATTAAATGTACTAGAAATCCAAATGTAAGTAGTCCTGGGAGGAATAATGCATTAAATGTTAGTTTTGTTTCTTTGTTCTTTCATTCACTCTATAAATACTTCTTGAGCACAGTGCCTGAAACAATTTAACAGTGAGCATCTCTATCATCCTCCTGCTTTCATGACACTTAATAGTTTAATAGGGGAAAATGACAACATTACACATTGTGAAGAGAGCTCTGCAGGAAAATAGGAGTGCAATGAGTGTTTGAAGAGTGGAGTCCTGATCCAGCCTGATGAGTTAAGTAAAGTGTCACTTACAGAAGTGTCATTTAGGGCATTTTTCAAACTGCAGGTGAGGGCCAGTAGTAGATTGTGATTATAATACTTCATAGTATTATAGGCAAAATATGATAGAATCAAAATTATCAGAGTATCATACATATTAAGGGTAAATTGTTATGTGAAACTTGTTTCAGTTATTTGCATGTATATATATTTATATATATGTATGCATGTGCACACTATATATAAAAAAAATCTATGTAGATAGGTCATTGCATCAGTCACTGTTGCCCTGGATGAAAACAGTGATAGAGTTCAGAATTTCTTTTTTTTTTTTTTAAGATTTTATTTATTATTTGACAGAGACACAATGAGAAAAGGAACACAAACAGGGGGAGTGGGAGAGGGAGAGCCAGTCTTCCTGTTGAGCAGAGAGCCCGATGCGGGATCAGTCTCAGAACACTGGGATCATGACCTGAGCCAAAGGCAGACGCTTAACGACTGAGCCACCCAGACGCCCTGAGTTCAGAATTTCATAAACGGTTTGCTTACAAAAATGTAGGCAGGAGTGAAACTATAAGGGATGACATAGTGTCCAGGGAAATGGAGCAGAAATAGTTACCCAAGCCCCCAAGAAAGAGCAATGTGGAGAGGATTGCCTGCCAGTTGCCATGGCCTTTGATAGAGAAACTAGCCAACCCCTGGTGATCTGGCAGGGAGGAAGCTGAGAGGATAAACAGATGGTCTCACTCTTCTACACTTACCGAGTCTCCTGTTGATGCGCTCCGTTTGGGTCAGTCTTTCAGGGCGTAAGAAATGGTGGAGACTGGATTTAGAGCAAATGACAGATGCCTAGCCAGATGCCACTGATTTAGGTTCGTACCTGATGGATCAGTGGGACCTAACAAGTTGAAGAATGAGGGGAAGAATGGTTCAAATAGAAGAAATAGCGTGTGCAAAGACCCTGAGTTAGAAGGTGTCATGATTCCATAGAAGAACTGAAAGAAGCCCCTTAAGCCTGGAGCCAGGAGAACAAGAAAAGGGCAGTGCCAAGTGGGTATCTGAAGAGGAATAGAGCAGGCCAGATCATGCAGGCCTTATGGGCCAAGTTTAGAATTTGAACTTTTGACCTAAGGCCATGAGGAAACACGGAAAGTTTCTAAGGAAAGACATGATTAGATTTTCAGCTTTAAAAAATTGATTTTCTGTTTTTTATTTAAAAAATAAAACAAGATGAAATCAGAGAGGGAGACAAACCATAAGAGACTCTTAATCATAGGAAACAAACTTGAGGGTTGCTGGAGCATAGGCAGGTGGAGGGATGGGATGACCTGGTAATGGACTTTGGGGAGGGCGTGTGATGTAATAAGCACTGGGTTTTATATAAGACTGATGAATCACTGACCTCTACCTGAGAAACCAGTAATATATGTTAATTGAATTTAAATTTTTACAATGGGAAAAAATAAACAGTTTGGAGCTGGATTTAAGAGAAATGAAAACCATTAGAAATGTAATTTCAGTTTAAATGTGCAAACTATTTAAATAGACTAAAATGAAACATTTGGAAAATTGATTACATATTTTTCCCTTTGAAGTAATAGTTTTTTTGTGTGTGGTTTTTTGTTTTTGTTTTTTTTAAATACTGACTTTTAGAAGAGGATATCAAGGTAATTGCGTATTTGGGAAATGACAGTTTTTCTAAGAATCATGAGAAGCCTAACAGCCCATTACAAAGTTAGAGCTGGAATACTCTAGATTAAATAATAAGCTATCTCTTGTAGGTATTGATACACCAGCCATCTCCTTAGAAAACAAAGAAATGTTATTCTTCCACCTTATGGACCATAAGAAACTTGCTGTGAAATGCTATTTGCTAGGCCTTCCTGTTGATTTTCATAGGTAACTCTTGCTTCCTTATTATAACTTATCTCCAGCTCCTTTACATCATCACTTGTATTTCCATCTACAAAATTAAAAATAATACATAATCATTCTTTAAAAAGAAAAAAGATCACTTCCAACTTGGAGGCTATTAGAGTTGTTCAAGTAAGAAACAGCGTCAGTTTCAGCATGGCATTGGGGGACATGGAAATACAAGATAAAACCACAAGACTTTGTGACAGTTTGGATTAAGCTGGTGTCAAGATGAAGGAGAAATGGGGGTGCCTGGGTGGCTTAATCAGTTGAGCCTCTGCATCTTGGCTCAGGTCATGATCCCAGGGTCCTGGGATGGAACCCTGAGCTCAACTCCCTGCTCATCTGGGAGTCAGCTCCTCCCTCTCCCCATGGCTCTCCCCCTGCTACTTCTCTCTCACAAATAAAGAAATAAAACCTTTAAAAAAAAATAAAAAAAGATGAAGGAGGAATGATTCCTAGATTTCTAACATTGAGGAACGAAAAGGCATAACAGTGTGAGCACAATGGATACTGCATCAGCACAGCCCTATCTTACCTGCATGAAGCACATTTATCTATGCCCCAAGCCTAAAAAAAGGAAAAATAGAGAAACAACGACACATCAAAAGAACAAAACGTTCTTTACACCATGATACTTCCTCTTAAGACCGCCCTTGTACCAGAAAATTGGGCTAGTTTGGAGTATCTTTTTCAATTTACATAAAGATTCTGTTTTATATGTTTTCATTTTTACATATGATACTTCTGTTGTATGAGATATATTTGTATCCCCCTTCCTAGAGTCACTTTGTTGTGGACAAAATCATACTGGAAATTTACCATTATTCATTTAGCATAGAGCAAAACTCTTCATAGGGTGTTCTCCTTATAAAGCTTGTTAAGCAGAACGGAGTTTGGCTTATGGAGGGGTAATGTCTTGATAGTAGTCGTAGTAAACTGATTTTAAGGAGAAATACAGCTTTTCTAAATAAAATCTCAAGTGTTCTTCTAGGTCCAGGTGCAATAAATTTTGTTATCTGGCAGGTCAGTGAATGGAATGATCAAGTCAAATATTTTAATAATCAGAATAACAGAAAAGTAAATCTATTACATAGATATTGCCAGTTAAAAAATCAGAATCTAATAAAATATGAAAACCATGTTGTATATTAATTTACCATAAGAAGAGATTCAAGGGGTGCCTGGGTGGCTCAGTAGGTTAAAGCGTCTGCCTTCGGCTCAGGTCATGATCTCAGGGTCCTGGGATCGAGCCCCGCATCGGGCTCTCTGCTTAGCGGGGAGCCTGCTTCTTCCTCTCTCTCTGCCTGCCTCTCTGCCTACTTGTGATCTCTGTCTGTCAAATAAATAAATAAAATCTTGAAAAAAAAAAGAAGAGATTCAAAAATTGCATTTATCAATAGTTGCTTTTGTCAGTATTTAAGCTGACTAAATAGTTCTGCATCACATGATGTCAGGGGTTCTTCCATCTCTGGGACTGCTCTAATAAGCAAAAAGAAGAGATCAGCTGCAGCTCTTATAATTCTTTAATTTTCTCTTATTAAAAGGGTATAGGAGTAATTTAATTGTCATTCAACACTCCCTTAAACTAATCTCAATGTTTTCTTCTCATTTTAGGTGACTGGGTTTTTTGTGAAATTGTAAATGTACCACGGAAGTTACAATTAATTTGAGAAGAATGGAAGAGTATGTTCAAAATTCCAATTTATTTTGTTACCTATTTCTTTATTATCTATTTATTTAAATTATGCCTGATGTTGAATTTATTTATCTATTGCTATGAACAAATTACCCCAAAGCTTAGTAACTTAAAATACCAATATTTATTATTTCACATAGTTTCTGTGGGTCAGGAGTTTGGAAACAGCTTTGCTGGATGGTTCTAGCTTTAGGGTCTATCATAAGATGGAAGTTGGCCAGGGCTGCAATCGTCTGAAAATTTGATGGGCTGGAAGATCCACGTTCAACATGGCTCATTTACAGAGCTGGAGAGTTGATGCTGGCTGTGGGCAAGAGGTCTTAGATCCACACCCTCACAAACTTCTCCAAAGAGCTGCTTAAGTGTCCCCATGGCAAGGCAGCCAACTTCTTTTTTTTTTTTTTTAAGATTTTATTTATTTATTTGTCAGAGAGAGAGGGAGAGAGAGCGAGCACAGGCAGACAGAATGGCAGGCAGAGGCAGAGGGAGAAGCAGGCTCCCTGACAAGCAAGGAGCCCGATGTGGGACTTGATCCCAGGACGCTGGGATCATGACCTGAGCTGAAGGCAGCTGCTTAACCAACTGAGCCACCCAGGCGTCCCAAGGCAGCCAACTTCTTACAGACTGAGAGATAGGAAAGAGAAAGTAAGGGAGAAGCTACAATGTCTTTTATCACCTAACCTTAGAATCCATAGTATCCTCCTGGTTACATAGGTTAGGTGGTCCTATTAATGTGGGGGAGACTACAAAAGGGTGTGGATACAAGAAGGTGAGAATCCTATGGACCCATTTTGGAGATTGACTACTACATACTGTTTTTGTTTTTAATGTATTTATTTTTTTAAGTAAACTCTGTGCCTGATGTAGGGTTCGAACTCACAATCCTAAGATCAAGAGTCACATGCTACATTGACTGAGCCAGCCAGGCACTCCTGCCAAATTCTGCTTTTCATTAATCATGAGCCACTTATGATTAGCATTTAAAGATGTTGCCAAAAAAAAAAAAAAAAAGTTGATTTGGCCCAAATTCAAATTGGTTAACCCATAGTATGGGTTACATAGAGTTATTAAACAGTAAGTGGCTTGCCTTTGGTTGGTCAGGATGTCAAAGGGAGATATTTAGCAGAACCACATGTAAACTCCTACTTTCATTCTTTATCTTGGTTATATGACAATATGGATGTCACAGAGGCCAATCTATATGCTGCCTATGCATTTGAGTTGAAGCAACTTTTAAACATTTGGTGACTGACTTATTTTTTTCTTTCTTTCTTTCTTTCTTTTTGTTTTTTTAAAGAGGCCAACTAGAAGGCTCAAATCTTCCAGCAAAAGTCTGGCATTCTGAGGTGACAGTGTCAGTAATAGGCGAGCCACCCAGTTCTGTAGAAGAAGAAAAAGAAACAGCTGAAGAAACAGACAGAGAAGTCATCCCAGAAATCATAGAGCCACTCTCCATTCTAGATGTGCTGAGGATCTCTGCAGTTCTGGAAGATACCACAGACCAGCTCTCTATTCTAAACTATATCATGCCAGTTCAGTATGAAGGAAGACAAAGCATCAGCATGGTATATACACTCACCATTATATAACTTTTGCTTTCTTGTCTTTTTATTTCTCTATCACTTAGAGTACTTATGCTATCAAATTTAACATGGGACATAGCACCTTTATCTCAAATAAAAAGGACTATAATAATTACCTGAGATATGTACTCTGAACTGATGGAGTAAAATAACTATAGCTCAAGATACATTGCCAGTCAGAATATACTTTTCTTCCAGTATGTTGGCATTATTCAAAAAGGCCTATAGTAAATCAATATAAATATAGTACATGTACTGAGAGTAGCTAGTTTACTTAATTGCCCCACCTGTCTTATATTTCTTAGCTGCTGAAAGCTAACTGAACCCTCTGGGGAAGAAATTCAGCTGGAACTTCTCCATGTTTCTTTATTCTTTTTTTTTTTTTTAAGATTTTATTTATTTATTTGACAGAGAGAGATCACAAGTAGGCAGAGAGGCAGGCAGAGAGAGAAGGGAAGCAGGCTCCCCGCTGAGCAGAGAGCCCAATGCGGGGCTCGATCCCAGGACCCTGAGATCATGACCTGAGCCAAAGGCAGAGGCTTAACCCACTGAGCCACCCAGGCACCCCATGTTTCTTTATTCTAAAAAGACTGTGGTATTGTTGAATATGTTACAACCTGTTTTTGTGAATAGCCAGCCAGGTCATTATGTCAGCTTTCCATTTTCGGTGATGTTATGGACTCCTCCTCAAAATGCTATTTGAGTTATCGAAAAACTCAGCTTGGTAGTGAGCAAAATCTTTATAAATTTTTAACTCTTTTAAATTTTCTTTAAAGATTTGTGTATGTGTATTTATTTGAGAGAGAGAGTGCATATGAGCCAGGAGGGGTAAAAGAAGAGGGAGAGAGAATCCTCAAGCAGATTCCCTGCTGAGCGCAGAGCCCTACACAGGCTTCATCCCAGGACCCTGAGATCATGACCTGAGCCAAAACCAAGAGTCTGTCCCTCAACGGATTGAACCACCCAGGCGCCCCAAGCTCTTGTAAATTTTAAAAACTTAGGTTATAGATATAAAATGAAAAGAACTTATTATTATTATTATTTGAAAGAGAGAGAGAGAGTGTGTGAGAGCAACCAGGGGACAGAGGGGCAGGAGAGGGAGAGGGAGAATCCCAAGCAGGCTCCATTCCCAGCACAGAGCTGGACGTGGGGCTTGATCTCACAATGTTGAAATCATAACCGAGCTGAAATCAAGAATCATATGCTTAACCGACTGAGCCACTCAGGCACCCCAGAAAAGAACTTATAAGTACAAATACACATTTATTACGTTCAGCAAAATTACATTATATACTTTGTACAGCATACATTGTTTTTGATTCTCTAACAACTGAAAGTTGCTATATAAACAACAGAGTAAATTGCTTTCCACATCTAACAGAAAAGAAGTTCATATTTATTGTAACTAGATAAATTTCCCTTTCATTGCTCCTTACCACTTTTAAATTGTTGTTGTTGTTATATGTATAGTCTGGGTTTGTAAAGCTTTTTTTTTTTTTTTTGTGAAGATTTTATTAAAATTTAAAAGTTAAACAAAATTTTAAAAGGACAGTAGATTTTGAGTCAGGCGGTCTTTGCAGTTTGGTTGTATACTATGTGCAGTTCATTTCACTTTCTGGGTTTTCATGTTCTTATTTGTAAAATGTGATGGAGCTTTTTGTGTTTTTTTTTAAGATTTTATTTTTAAGTAACCTCCACACCCAACATGGGACTCAAACTCACAACCCAAGATCTAGAGTCGCATGCTCCACTGACTGTGCAAATTAGGGGTTCCTAAAGTGTAATGGAATTTTAACTAAATGATCCATATCATCCCTTCCATTGCTAACATCCTATGAGTTTTTGGGTAGTTTTAAAATGACATTAATGGGTATATCAAGAATTTTGTAACAAATTAATTTTTTATCAATTTATGAAAGGTAAAGAGTTTGGAAACCCAAGAACTAAGGCTTTCAGTGCATTTAAAGTAAGAGTCTAATTCATACATTAATCTAGTTAACAAACAGTGAAGAAGAGTCTAGTGTTTCCTTCCTATTTATTGTCTTCCTCAGTAGAAATCAAAAATAAAAAGATACTTAACAAGATAAAGTTTTATGATACTTATCAGTGATAGTTACTGTATCAGGCTAAAAAAGGGTAATTTAATTTGCCTTCAAAGAAACTCAAGAGAGGATGGAAAACCCAAATTTATAAACAATTCAGCAATGATCACCAGTTCAGTAAATTAAAGAACAAAACTTTTGCACTGTTTTATTCTGGTTTATGATAGTGATCTTAACCCACAAAATTTTCCACCTTAACAGAGGCCCTACTTATGATTTCATAGTAGTGTATATAATAAAGACTTACACTCTTACCTTTTTTTTTTACCCCCCATCCACTCTTATCTTGATTAATAGAAGCCTAACAGCCCTCTCCTCAATGTAAATTAGTTCCACAACCTTATAAAATGGCGAGCCTTTTAAAATAACTTTTTGTTTTTTACTTCATAATACTAGTTCTAACTTACAAATTTTATAATGCCATTGCTCTATAAGTACATAGGATATATATTTTAAATCCTTAGTATGTGTGTGGATGTTTTCTTTCTCCAAAGGCTTTATTCATATTGTATAGCCTTAGAACAACCTTGGGATGAAAGGTTAGTTAGCTTTATCCCTCCTTTATAACTTTTTTTTATAGCTAAGGACATCTCCAAATAGATTTTCAATGGTAAAATCATGGATTTGATGGAATGATGAAAAAAAAAAATACTAATATACCAGATTCTACCAGAAGTGGGAGTAATTTGACCAAAATTTGGGAAGAGCTCCCATGAAGAGATACTGTTTCTCTTACCTTTTCCCTTAGGGTCTAATACCCTACCCTGTACATAGTGTATACTATACAAAAATATTTTTTAGTGAGTGGACTAAAACATTTAGCTAGTTCTTTAAGTTTTCTCTTTAAAAAATTCATACTTATTTGTAGTAATCAGTAAATCAGGCTGCCTGACACAGTTGTCTCCTTTTCCAGATGCCCAAGTGTAAAGGTAGAGGAAAAATAGAGAAATAGAAACAGCTTCCAAGGCCTTACACTTTTCCTTTCCTATCTAAGTAAAATCTAAAATAATAATCATCCTTAAGGTTTTCTTATGTCCAGGTAAATTTCAGTTTAACTGTTGAAATGCTACTTTTCTATTCTCTTTGTAGCCAGTCAAATTAATTTTAATTTAAAGGAATACTTTAAAATATAATTCTTGGGCCTGGGTGGCTCAGTTGGTTAAGCAGCTGCCTTCGGCTCAGGTCATGATCCCAGCGTCCTGGGATCGAGTCCCACATCGGGCTCCTTGCTCGTCAGGGAGCCTGCTTCTCCCTCTGCCTCTGCCTGCCATTCTGTCTGCCTGTGCTCACTCTCTCTCTCTCTCTCTCTCTCTCTCTCTCTCTGACAAATAAATAAATAAAATCTTTAAAAAAAAAAAAAAAGAAAAAGAAAAAAAAAATATATAATTCTTGGGGTGCCTGGGTGGCTCAGTGGGTTAAAGCCTCTGCCTTCAGCTCAGGTCATGATCCCAGGTTCTTGGGATCAAGCCCCACATCGGGCTCTCTGCTCAGCAGGGAGCCTGCTTCCCCGTCTCTCTCTGCCTCTCTGCCTACTTGTGATCTTTGTCTGTCAAATAAATAAATAAAATCTTTAAAAATAAAAATAAAAATAAATATAATTCTTAATTAAGGCAGCATTTTGTTTTGTTCTTGCCTACAGTTGTTTTCCCCCGATCTGAATCTTTGCTTATTGTTGATGTAAAGAAAAATGCAGTTGAGTCTGTTTATTAACCTTTCATGGATTGTTTTTTTTTGTTGTTTTTTTTTAAGATTTTATTAGTTTTTTTTTTTTTAAGATTTTTGTTTATTTATTTGTCAGAGAGAGAGAGAGAGAGCAAGCATAGGCAGACAGAGTGGCAGGCAGAGGCAGAGGGAGAAGCAGGCTCCCTGTCGAGCAAGGAGCCCGATGCGGGACTCGATTCCAGGACGCCGGGATCATGACCTGAGCCGAAGGCAGCTGCTTAACCAACTGAGCCACCCAGGCGTCCCTGTTTTTTTTTTTTTTTTTAAAGATTTTATTTATTTATTTGTCAGAGACAGAGGGAGAGAGAGTGAGCGAGCACAGGCAGACAGAGAGGCAGGCAGAGGCAGAGGGAGAAGCAGGCTCCCCGCCGAGCAAGGAGCCCGATGTGGGACTCGATCTCAGGACGCTGGGATCGTGACCTGAGCCGAAGGCAGCTGCTTAACCAACTGAGCCACCCAGGTGTCCCATGGATTGTTTTTTTTAACATTTCTGGGCTAGTTGAAATTTAGCTAAGGAAGATTGAGGCTTTATCAATATGCAGATAAACCTTCCTTCTGTGCATCGGGTCAGCACAAGAATTTAACTAATCATAACAAGTGCAGAACTGACATAATTCTGTGTGCTTTTCTAAATGCTTTATGTATATTTATTTAATCCTCATAATAACTATGAGGGCAGGTATTAGTATCTCTGTTTTTTACCAATGGGGAAAATGGAAGCATAGCGATATTAAATAGTTGTCTAAGTCAATCTGGCTTAGTAAGAAATAAAGCCAGGATTCAAACAAGGAAGTTTGGTTTCAGAGTCTATAAGCATAATCACTATGTTATATGGCTTCTCAATAGCTAAAGCTTTTAGCAACAGATTAAATAGGAATCATCAATTAAAAGACATGTGCTGTTCCTCAGGTTGATGTCTACCCCTTAGCGTTCAAGTTTGGTACTGCAAAATGAATTATTTTAGCTTTTTCCCACATGACCTTTGAAATCTATACTGCACCACTAATTTTACCAGTTTATGCTCTTTGGTATGATATTCTTTTCGTTCTTTATATTTCATATTCATGTGTTCAATGAACACTTGAGTTTTCTATACCCTAGGCATTGTTCTAGGCAATGAGACTATAAAGATGGCTGCATTTCTTTTTTTTTTTTAAAGACTTTATTTGTCAGAGGGAATGAGCACAGGCAGAGGCAGAGGGAGGAGCAGGCTCCCTGCTGAGCAAGGTGTCTGATGTGGGACTCGATCCCAGGACTCTGGGATCATGACCTGAGCCAAAGGCAGCCACTTAACCAACTGAGCCACCCAGGCATCCCAAGATGGCTGTGTTTCTTATGCCATCTTGTTCCAAAAAGAATTTGAGGTGAACCAAGATCTCTAAGACATTGCCCCTCCCCTCACAGAATTTACAATCTAATGGAGACATAAATACAAATAATTACAACATGGTAAATATCTGCTTGTGAGATATTTCACAAAGAACTTTACCTTTGATCTTAGTCTTAAAGTTTACCAAGTGGTAAATTGAGGAAAGACGGGCAAAAGGAATGTTGTCTAAAGGTAGGAAGGCACAAAATTGCAGGACGTGATCTGGGTTGCTGAAGAAAAGGGTAATTTTCTTGTGTGTTGAGTACAAGTGGCAGAAGGTGAGGTTGAAAAATGTAGGCAGAAGCCCTGGTATAGCATTGTTTCTTTATTTTTAAAATCTTTCTTACACAGAACATCATTTCTTTCTAGAAGAAAAACAAGAGCTTAGAAAAACTTCCAGAGGCCTCAAGACCCTTAAGAATAACCAGTCCATTCTTACCTAAAGAAGAAACCAAGTTGCCAGAAATCCAAAAAGGAAGCCAATTTACCAACGAGTTTAACAAAATGCAAGATCTTGTCTTCAAAACACCTACAAGACAGACCCTAATGTCTGTGGAGATACTGAAGAAAGTTCAGATTGATAGGTAAAGAAGGCGTGCATATTTGGAAATGTAATAGTATATTTATGATGGATGAAAAATGGGTGCAGGGGTGGCTGACTGCTGTCTTCTCTTAGGGATTAGTAATTAGATGCAAAGGTACTGCTGATAACAGGATTAGCTAAAGACTGCCTGGAGGGAGTCTGGTACAGGTATGGTGGCTGTATGATCATAGGCAAGTTGTTGAGACTTTGTGTCCAGTTTTTAAAAGTGAAAATAATTACAGCAACTTTGCAACATCAGTGTGAGGATTAGAAATAAGGCTGCAGCCAAGTGCCTGGCACAAATTAGTAGCTGTTATGATGACTTATCCACGAGTAAGAGATGCCATTTAAGTAGCCCACTTTTTTCTTTTTTTTTTTTAAGATTTTATTTATTAATTTGACAGAGATCACAAGCAGGCAGAGAGGCAGGGCGGGGGGGGGGGGGGGGGTGTGGGAAGCAGGCTCCCCGCTGAGCAGAGAGCCTGAGGTGGGGGCTTGATCCCAGGACCCTGGGATCACAACCTGAGCCGAAGGCAGAGGCTTTAACCCACTGAGCCACCCAGGCATCCCTTTTTATTTATTTATTTATTTCCTTTTTATTTATTTTTTAGACGGACAGATCACAAGTAGGTGGGAATGGTGGGGGAAGCAGGCTCCCTGCTGAGCAGAGAGCCCAATGTGGGGCTCCATCCCAGGACCCTGGGATCATGACCTGAGCCGAAGGTAGAGGCTTTAACCCACTGAGCCACCCAGGCGCCCCTAAGTAGCCCACTTTTAAGCTGAGTTTTAATCCTGAGAATTTCTTTTTTTTTTTTTTTTAAAGATTTTATTTATTTATTTGACAGATAGAAATCATAAATAGGCAGAGAGGCAGGCAGAGAGAGAGAGAGGAGGAAGCAGGCTCCCTGCCGAGCAGAGAGCCTGATGTGGGGCTCGATCCCAGGACCCTGGGACCACGACCCGAGCTGAAGGCAGAGGCTTTAACCCACTGAGCCACCCAGGTGCCCCAATCCTGAGAATTTCTTAAAGGCAGTCTCGGTTTCCACTGTCTCATTAATCAGTTTTTTATGAGGCTTGCTGACAAGGAAGTCTGTTAAGTTTAAAAGAGGATGTAACATTATGGTAAGAATTGTTAGTAAATAAATGTTTATAGTAATGACCCAGGGCCACTAGCCATATCCAGCCTGTAGTCTGTTTTTGAAAATAAATTTTATTTGAATACAGCATTGCCTGTTTGTTTACATATTTCTTGCTGCTTTCGTGAATAGCAAAGCTGAGTAGTTGCAACAGAGAATTTATGGCCTGCAAAGCCAAAAATATTTACAGTTTCCCCCTTTATAGGAAAAGTTTGCCAACTCCTGCATCAGAGGGCTAATGTTTCTTGTGAAATCAGTCTGGCTCAGATTTGCATACATGACAGAAAGGTGTCCTGCTTATAAATACCAATCTAGTTAATGTCCTTTTCATTCTTTGTGGGATGGCTCATATCTTTTCAATTTTTTTTTTTACTTCAGTGTACTTAACTTTTTTCTTAATATAGTTATTGAATCTTTCCGTTTGAACTATTGTCAGTAAATTATTATGTATAATAGTGAGTGTAATTCTTGCTGACTCTATGAAAACATTAAGTAGCAGTTTTTAAAATTTTGTACCCACTAGAGTATTATAAAAAGTAATGGAGCCACCTGGGTAGCTCAGTCGGTTTAGTGTCTGCCTTTGGCTCTGGTCATGATCCCAAGGTTCTGGGATGGAGCCCTGAGTTGGGCTCCCGGCTCAGTGGAGAGCCTGCTTCTCCCTCTCCCTGTGACTCTCCCTGCTTGTGCTCTCTTGCTCTGTCCCTCAAATAGATAAATAAAAATCTTTAAAAAATAAAATAAAATGAAAAGTAACGGACTATGAGTCAGGACACCTGAATTATAATTCTACCTTTTCTCAAATTAGTTATGTGACCTTGGGCAAGTCATTTAACCTTCCTGAAACTGAGTTTACTCATCTCTAAAATGTGAGTGTTTTATTAGCTCTTTTTTTTTTTTTTTTTAAGATTTTATTTATTTATGGGAAAGAGAGAAAGAGGGGAGGGGCAGAGAGAGAAGCAAACTGCCCGCTGAGCAGGGAGCCTGACACAGGGCTTGATCCCAGGACCCTGAGATCATGACCTGAGCCAAAGGCAGGCACTTCACCGACTGAGCCACCCAGATGCCCCTATTAACTCTCTAAAATTTTTTAAAAATGATTTAACTTTTGCAAAGTTACAAAATATTTTTAAAATGCAGAAAAATATAAAGAATGAAATAATGAATACTTAGGTATGTAAACACCAAATCTTAACCAAATCTTAACATTTTACCATAATTACTTTAGAGGTTTTTTGGTGTTTTTTTAGTAAAATACTTAAGATACAATTGGAGCATCTTCAATTGTATCTTCCTTCGAAGACAAACTGTCTTCTGAATTTGGCGTTTATTATTCTCTTACGTTCTCTTGTGACACTTTTATTAGGTATGTATGGGTCTTATTTAAACAATACAGTTTTATATGTTTTTAAATATTATATACATAATATCATACTGTATATCCAGGGTTTGTTAGTCCTTGGTATTTAAGGTTAAGGAAGTTCTCTTTTATTTTTAGTTTGCTAGGAGTTTTTGTTGTTTATTTTCAAATGAGTGGACATTGAATTTTGCCAAATGTCTTTTCTGCATCTATTGTGGTGGCCATAAGGTTTTTCTCCTTTGCTTTTGTTTATGTGTTGCATACTATTAATAGACTTTCTAATGCTAAACTATTCTTACATTCCGGGAGCGATTCCAGCTTAGTCATGGTTTTTCATCCAGGGTCTTAACCTTTGTGACTTCTGTAGCCCTTTGTAAATGTAAGAAAATATACCTTATTAACTCATCCTTTTTGTGTTTCCTTACAGGCAATTTCTCAGTGATATAATTACAGATACCATGCAGGAGTTGGAAGAGTCAGGCACTTTCACTAGTCTCAAGAAAGCCCTGGGCAAAGAGAGGGAAAACAAAATGCATTTCTATGATGTCATTGCCAGGTCTGAGTAATATTAGGTTTATTTGTTGTGTTGTATTTTTTTCTAAAGATTTTTATTTATTTGAGAGGAAAAGTGAGCAAGAGTTTGAGAGAGAGAGAATTAGAGAGCAAGCGGGCAAGAAAGAGAGCACGCACAAGTGGGGGGTGGGGCAGAGGGAGAAACAGATTCCTCCTTAGGCAGGGAGCCCAATGTGGGGTTCACTATCAGGACTCCAGGATTATGACCTTAGCTGAAGGCAGACCCAGGTGCCCCTGCTGTGTTGTATTTTAGAGTGCCATAAAACTTTTACCAGAAGTTCTTGATTTCTAAATCAAATCAAATTTGTGCTTTCCAGGGAAGATAAATAGAACTCAGAAATTTAGGTGCTAATCCTAGTTCTGCTGGGACAATAATTCAGATTTCTGGGCTCCAGTTATGTGTATCTACAGTATGTCAAGAATAGTCTTCCTACTGTACAGTAATCTTTCTATTTTTTTTTAATGTTAATTCCAGTTACTTACCATATAGTGTAATATTAGTTTCAGGTGTACAATACAGTGATTCAATACTTCTGTACAATACCCAGTGCTCATTATGACAATTGCACTCCTTATTCCCCATCATCTATTTAACCCATACCCACCCTCTGATTACCATCAGTTTGTTCTCTATAGTTAAGAGTCTGTGTCCTAGTTTATCTCTTTTTTCTTTGCTTGCTTGTTTTATTAAATTCCACATATGAATGAAATCCTGTGGTATCTGTCTTTCTCTGACTGACTTATTTTGCTTATTAGTTTGATACTCTCTAGCTCCATCCATGTTGTTGCAAATGGCAAGATTTCATTCTTTTTTATGGCTGAATAATAGTCCATTGTATATATACCATATCTTCTAACCCCATTCTTCAATCAATGTTCACTTGGGCTGCTTCCATATCTTGACTATTGTAAATAATGCTGCTATAAACATAGAGGTGGATGTATCCCTCTGAATTAGTGTTTTTGTGTTCTTTGGGTAAAAACCTAGTAGTGCAATTACTGGATCATAGGGTAGTTCTATTTTTAACTTTTTGAGGAAACTCGAAACTGTTTTCTGTGGCTGCATCAGTTTGCATTCCCCCCAAGAGTGTAAATGGTTCCTTTTTTCTCCACATCCTCAACCAACACCTGTCATTTCTTGTGTTGTTGATTTTAGCCATACTGACAGGTGTGAAGTGATACCTCATTATAGTTTTGATTTGCATTTCACTGGTGGTAAGTAATGATGAAATTTGATGAACATCTTTTCAAGTGTCTGTTGGCCATCTGTATGTCTTTGAAGAAATGCCTGTTCATGTCTTCTGCTCATTTTTAAGAAAAATATTTATTTTTAAATATTTTATTTTTATATATAATATAATATTATGATAACATTATTTATAATGATATATAATATGTATTTTATATATAATAATAGTATTATAATAAATACATAAATATTTTAAATAAAGATCCCAGGACCCTGGGATCAGGACCTGAGCTGAAGGCAGACACTTAACAGACTGAGCCACCCAGGCGTCCCTCTTCTGCCCATTTTTTAACTGGATTATTTTTTTGGGTGTTGAGTTTTGTAAGTTCTTTGTTATGGGTATCAGCCTTTTATCAGGTCATTAGCAAATATCTTCTCCCATTCTATAGATTGCCTTTTAGTTTTCTAGATTGTTTCCATCACTGTGAAGATTTTTTTTTTTAATGCAGTCCCAATAGTTCATTTTTGGTTTTGTTTCCCTTGCCTCAGGAGACCTATCTAGAAAAAGGTGCCATAGTCAATGTCAGAGAAGTTACTGCCTATGCTTTTTTCTAGGATTTTTATGGTTTTAGGCCTTACATTTAGCTCTTTAATCCATTTTGAATTTATTTTTGTAGATGGTATAAGAAAGTGGTCCAGTTTCTTCCTTTTGCATGTTGCTGTCCAGTTTTCCCAACATTTGTTAAAGAAACTATCTTTTTCCCATTGGGTATTTTTTCATGCTTTGTCAAAGACTGACCATATATTTATGGATTTATTTCTGAATTTTTTATTCTGTGACATTGATCTATCTGTCTGTTTTTGTGCCACAACCATCCTATTTTGATTATGACAGATTGTCATGTAGTTGGAATCCTATAGTACATAGCTTTCCTGGATTAGCTTCTTTCACTTAGTATTATGCGTTTAAGTTGCTTCCGTGTCTTTTCATGCTTGACAGTTCATTTCTTTGTTAGCACAGAATAATATTTTATTGTCTGGATAAACCACAGTTTATCTATTCACATATTGTAGGACCACTTGGTTGTTTTCAAGTTTTGGCAATTGTTGAATAAAATTACTTTAAACATCTATGTACAGGTTTGTTTGTTTTTTAAAAGACTTATTTCTTAGAGAGAGAGAAAGAGAGTGGGGAGGAGAGGGGCAGAAGGAGAGAGAGAGAGAAACTCAAGCAAACTCCATCCTGACTGTGGAGCATAATGCGTGGCTCAATCTCATGACTCTGTGACCAGACCTGAGCCCAAACCAAGAGTCAAACACTTTAACCGCCTGCACCATGCCACCCAGGCACCCCTCTATGTACAGGTTTTTGTGTGGATGTAAATTTTTAACTCATTTAAGGAAATACCAAGGAGCGTAATTGCCAAATTGTTATGGTAAGAGTATGTTTAGTTTTGTAAGAAGTTGCCAAACCGATTTTGCATTCCCGCCAACAATGAACGAGAGTTCCTGTTGCTCCACATCTTTGGCAGCATTTGGTGGTGTCAATCTTTGGGATTTCTGCCAAATCCCAGTGTATAGTTTCAGTGTATAGTGGTCTCATTGCTGTTTTATTTATTTATTTATTTATTTATTTTTAAAGCTTTTGTTTATTTGACAGAGAGAGAGAGCGAGACAGGGAATACAAGCAGGGGGAAAGGAAGAGCGAGAAGCAGGCTTCCTGCTGAGCAGGGAGCCGGACGCGGGGCTTGATCCCAGGACCCTGGGATCATGACCTGAGCTGAAGGCAGACACTTAATGACTGAGCCACCCAGGAACCCCTATTTTTTTTTTAAGATTTTATTTATTTGTCAGACAGAGAACACAAGAAGAGGGAGCAGCAGGCAGAGGGAGAAGCAGGCTCCTTGCTGAGGAAGGAACCGAATGTGGGACTCAATCCCAGAACCTGGGATCATGAGCTGAGTGGAAGGTAGACCCTTAACCAACTGAGCTGCCCAGCTGTGCCTTCATTGCTGTTTTAATTGGGCATTGCTTTTGATAGAGAATAAAAAGTGAGCTGACTGGCCTTTATCTCTTAATGTGCTGAAATTTCCATTCATTGTGATGATGAATCAAAGTGTAGTCGGATCCAGAGAGATGAGACATCTTTTGATTTGGCATATCTAAAAATGATAGGAAAAGACGGTTCACTAAAGGGGACATATGATGGGCCCATAAACATATAAGAAATGTTTACCTTCAAATCAATAGTACATGGGGCACCTAGGTGGCTCAGCTGGTTAAGTGTCTACTTTTGGCTCAAGTCATGATCCCAGGGTCCTGGGATTGAGCCCCACCTTGGGCAGGATCCTTACTCAGCAGGGAAACTGCTTCTCCCTCTGTTTGTGCTCTCTCTCTGACAAATAAATAAATAAAATCTTTTTTTTTTTAAAGTATACCATTTTTCATTTCTCACACTGGTCAGTTTTCTTCTTTATGGCAAACAACACCAGTGGGAATATTGTTTTAGATGTAATCTAGTGGGTTTTTTCCATGCCCCTAGTATAGTTAGAGCATCATTTTTGGTTAAATTAATACTTAGTATTTGGATGATTATTATGTGTGAGTAGTTCACAGATGAGATATACAGTATATAATTATTAAATTTCCTTTCTTGAACAGCTTTTTTTCTTCCTAGAGTTAGATCTTGCCAATTTTTTGTTTGTCTGTTCTGACATTTCTGTTCCAAATCCAGCACCAGCTCTTCACCAGAGCCCTGGAACTCCTTAAGGATAGTCATGCATATTAAGCCTTTTCCCCTTCCTTCCTTCCTTCCTTCCTTCCTTCCTCTTTCTCCCCTTCCTCCCCTTCCTCCCTTTTCTTCCCTCCCTCCCTTCCTTCCTCTTTCTTTCTTTTTTTCTTTCTTTCCTTTTGAGACTTTGTTCTGTTCTTTTTCACTTATTTATGTAACTGAATCTACCCTAGGGTTCTGAATTTATTATTAGAGATAAATATTTTACATCTTTCTTACCTATTTCTTGTTAATCTATAGATGGGAATTACATCATCTATAGTTTGGCAACGACAATCTCAATCTCATGATTCTAGTTAAGTATATGCTTACTAAACATTCCTGAATGGCAGTACTTATCTAACTACTACTTAGTGGTAAGGTGTTTTGGTTGTTGCTATAGACTGAATGCTCTGTGGACCCCATCCCACCTCCAATTTATTTGTTGAAATCCTAACCCTCAATGTGATGGTATTAGAAGGTGGGAACTTTAAGAAGTGATGAGGACATGAAGGTGGAGGCCTCAGGAATGAGATTAATGCCCATATAAAAGAGAACCCATTCCATCATGTAAAGATGCAAGTGAAAATGACCATCTGTGAACCAGGAAGCATTTTCTCACCAGACACTGAATCTGATGGCACCCAAATCTTGGTCACAGCTTCCAAACTGTGAGAAATGAATTCTGTTACTTATATACTACCCAATCTGATATTTTCGTAATGGCAGCCTAAGCTAAGATAGTTTTTATTTTGTTTATTCTTTTTTTTTTCTTTAAAGATTTTATTTATTTATTTGACAGATCACAAAAAGGCAGAGAGGCAGGCAGAGAGAGAGGAAGGGAAGCAGGCTCCCCTGCAGAGAGGCTCTTCCAGCAGAGAGCCTGATGTGGGGCTTGATCCCAGGACCCCGGGATCACGACCTGAGCCGAAGGCAGAGGCTATAACCCACTGAGCCACCCAGGCGCCCCTTGTTTTGTTTATTATTATATTATTTTACTTATTATATTGCTTCGTTATTTTGTTTTTCTTTAAAACTAGATAATGGCATTATTAGAGTTAAGCAGAATTTTGTTTCTGAGTACAAACAGAAACCTAAAGTAGTTACGTTCTCCTTCAGATAGCACTGAATTTGAATCCTGCCCTGCCATTTACTGCTTGGGTGCCCATGGCAAATGTGTTAAGTCATGTGTTCTGAGAGCCACCAAGATGAGATTATTCATGCAAAGATTTTTATCAGGAGAAACACCCGTGTGAGAGAAAAGGTGGAGGGAACCTTCGGACTCAATGCTGAACCGACCCCAAGTGGGAGAGGGAAGGTTAGGTGGAAGAGAATGTCCTGCCCTTCCTTTCTCCCATCCTGTTCCTCCTCCTCTTCGCTTTTTCTCAGCAGCAGCTTTTTGAGATACAACCCATACACCAAAATCTCCCTTCTGGTTTATTAAAACAAATTGCAGTGATCTGTAAAGTATGACTAAAAGTGTGTTCTATGAACCAGCACCACTGGCAACATCTGAGAGCTTGTTAGAAATGTGAATTCCAGGGCCCGGTCCTAGACCTACCAAATGAGAATCTCTGGGGGTAGGTAGAGCCCAGGAATCTGTTTTTTAACATTGGGGGTGAGCCTCGTGCACGCTAGAGTTTGAGAAGCACCCCTCTAAACAAATCATTCTCACTTCTTCTAGGGAGGAAAAGGGAAAAAAACAGATAAGATCTCTTCAAAAACAGCTACTTAATGTCAAAAGAGAACGGCAAGCTGAAGTGCAGGTAAGAATCACCCGGCCAACACCGGAAGTTAATGAGCCAAAACGGCCATGTAGAAGCCATCTTTCTTAAGCAAAGAAAAACTACAAATGAGAAATTGTTGTTTATCCTGGGATGCCTTTACTAAAGAGAGTAATGTATAAAGAGAGTAACTAGAGAGTTGTCTGGTATATGTAAGTAAGTCCCCAGTAGAACTCGGGGAGACCACAGCACTTGGGAATGCTCAGTTTGTTCTTATTCCTCCCATCGCACTCAGGCATACCACTGACCCCTTCCTACAGGAGACCTTATCTCAGTCAGTCTCTTGTATTCCAGCATCCCAGATGCAAGACTAGTCCCAGAAGGGACATTAAGCACATTACAAACCTCTTTATACATGATGGTTAGGTTTGATAATGTCATCTGTATTATATTTCAAGTACAGAGTGGATTTGATGGGCTTTATGGTCATTAGGACCTAACCTGTTATCTCATTTACCTCTGTAAGAAAATGCATCCCAAGTTTTAAGCAATAACCTTAGAAAACAATGCTTGGGATACACTGTAGGCAGTTAGAAATTAGTTCTATTAGGATTTCTAGCAGCTTAGAAAGTTATAAAATAGGGCTTAATGTCAGCTTTTGCCTAGCTATTTGGACAAGTTTATGCTTCAGATCAGGGAGTCTTCATTATTTCTTATATAGAAGTTAGAAGACTTTTTTTTTTAACTCTTTTTTTTTTTTTTAAGATTTTATTTATTTGTTTGACAGAGAGAGATCACAAGTAGGCAGAGGCAGGCAGAGAGAGTGAGAGGGAAGCAGGCTCCCCGCCAAGCAGAGAGCCCGATGCAGGACTCGATCCCAGGACCCTGAGATCATGACCTGAGCTGAAGGCAGCAGCTTAACCCACTGAGCCACCCAGGCGCCCAGGAAGTTAGAAGTCTTTTTAAAAAAAGATTTTATTAAGACTGAGAGAGCATGAACAGGGAGAGTGGCAGAGGGAGACTTCCGCTGAGCAGAGAGCAAAATGCAGGTCTTGACCCAAGACCCTGGGATCATGACCTAAGCCAAAGGCAGGCACTTAACCAACTGAGCCACCCAGGTGCCCCAGCCAGTATGTTTTCAGATAGTTTTAAAGTTCCATTTGGTTGCACTCCTCCTACTAGAATTCCAATTATCCCTATTTAGACTTTTTGATAGTGACCTTTAGATCTCTGTTTCTTAAAAAAATTTTTCTCTTTGTTCATGTGATTGAATAATCTGTTTGTCTGTCTTCAATTTCACTGACTTTCCATCATCTCCATTCTACTATTAAGCCCTTCTAGTACTTTTTTTGTTTTAAAATTTAGAAAATTAGTTTTAGAATTTCCATTTAGTTCTTTTTTTATAGTTCTATTTCTCTGCTGAGGTTTCTTGTTTTTTATTTATTATGAGCATATTGCTCTTTACTGAGCTTTGTTTAAAATCCTCGGGGCGCCTGGGTGGCTCAGTGGGTTGGGCCGCTGCCTTCGGCTCGGGTCATGATCTCAGGGTCCTGGGATCGAGTCCCGCATCGGGCTCTCTGCTCGGCCAGGAGCCTGCTTCCCTCTCTCTCTCTCTCTCTCTGTCTGCCTCTCTGCCTACTTGTGATCTCTGTCAAATAAATAAATAAAATATTTAAAAAAAAAAACTTTAAAATCCTTATCTATTGGGATGCCTGATTGGCTCAGAGCCTACCAACAGGGTTGTGAGTTCAAGCCCCACGTTGGATATAGATATCACTTAAAAAGAAAATCTTAAAAAAAAATCCTTGTCTGCTAATTCCAACCTTTGGCATCTTAAGGTTAATCTCCTTTGAGAATGGTTCATAGTTTTCTTTTTCTTCAATATGGAGTCATTTTGGAATGTGTCCTGGACAGTGTGAACATTATGTTGTAGAGGCTCTGCATTCTGTTCTATCCCCCAAAGTGTACTGACATTTTTGTTTTAGTGGTCAGTTAACTCCATTAAATTAAAACTAAAAACTCTCACCAACATTGGGCAGTAGCTCACCTCAGTTCATTTCCTTTTCTCCTTAGCAAGGCTGCCTATGTTCTTCCTGGCACCAGTGTGCCTCAGGAGTGAGCCAAAGATTTGCACGGAATTTATACAACAAATGTGAAGCTTTTTCTCTCCTTTTCAGCATTATTGAAAACTATTTGGATGTAGATGTCCAAAAATCTGTTTTCTGGTTCTTCAGTCTGAAAAGACTGCAATGTTTAGAATGAGGGTTCTCACTGCTTTACACAATCCACTGCTACCCTCCACTCTGTAGTGCCGACTATGGTCTAATCGAGGTCATGGAAAGTTGGAAACTCAGCACATGCTGCACCTCTCTTACAGGTGTCTCCTCCTTCCAGATTCTGCCTGATTTTGTACACTCCAATGTTTTTATGTAATTGCCTTTTGTATTGAGCCCAGAGTTTATAGTTACTAGCGGTGTGAGGGTCATACTGGTAGGAACTTATTGGCAATAGTGAAAATTGAACTTCTAAATATTCAGTTAGGAGACAGAACTTGGGATTTATAAGGAACTAGAAGAAGGCCAGTTTATAGCTGCTGAAATTTGGAGAGAAAGGGAGAGGATAACATAGATGAACTTAGAATGGGAGATGGTAACAAATTATGGAGGGCCTTGTAAGCCACACTTCTCTGGGCAAACACCATCAATAGGTGTCCTGTACATGGGGGAGGCTCATCATGTAAGACATCTGCCTTGTCGCTGGGGGTCAGGGTTTGGACCATGTTGAAGTTCTGGGTCTGTAATCTTTGTTGTTGTGTTTCTTAGGGCTATACCTAATCTGCTCCAGACCTGTGGCTTTAGGTTGACCAGGAGTTTCTTTAAGCAATAACCCTTACCTCATCCTGCTGCCTCTAGAACATACCATAAACCTTTCCAGTGCTGGAGCTGCCACTGAGGTATTTAGCATTGAGGAGATATTCTCAAAACAGAATGCCACGGAGGATTTATTTTTCTCCTGGGCCTAGGGTTTCTCATTTCCCTTAAATTTATATATTTATGTAAATATATAAAAATATATAATTATATATAATTTATAACGTATATATTATATAGTATTTATTTACAATTATATATAAATACATATATGTACATACATATATTACATATATATACACATTCCTTCAAGGAGATATTATATATATCAGTGCTTGGGATACACTGTAGGCAGTTAGAAATTAGTTCTATTAGGATTTCTAACACACTTAGCAGTTTAGAAAGTTATATATATATACATATATGTATGTATATGTGTGTGTGTATATATATATATATACACACACACACACACACACACACACATATATATATATATCTTCAAGGAGAAGGTTGGCTGATAAAGAAGAGTCCTTCACTTACTTCAGCTTTGCCCTGATTATTGAGGTTAAATGTAGTAACAGTGAAGGATATGAACCCACTCCAACTCATTTTGACTGGTTACAGAAGGAGCCAAAGGGCACAAAGCTGGATGCCCTGTAACTCTATAAAGTTTCTTAGATCCAGATTCACATGAATGTCTAGACTGGGTGGCCCTAAGCCAATGGTAGCACCACTAATTCCTCAGCTTTTTGTTCTTTATTCAGCAATCGCATTGCCATCCATGGTCACTGACTATACTTTGGAAAGCTCAGTGCTATGCAGAAGCTTTGCATCATATTTTATTTTTTTTTAAAGATTTATTTATTTGAGAGAGAGAGTATGTGCTCTTGGGGTGAGGGCAGGGGCAGAGGGAGAGAGAGAATCTCAAGCAGACTCCCTGCTGAGTGCAGGGTCTGACTCCGGGGCTCAATCTCATGACCCTGAGATCATGACCTGAGCTGAAATCAAGAGTCGGACACTTAACAGACTGAGCCACCCAGGTACCCCTGCTTCTTATTTTAAAACAGGCCTGAACTACTCCATCCTCTAAACCATACTTTGGTTTTTCTCTGGCCACACTATTACTAACTTTTGCATGTTACCCAGTTCTTTTCTTCACTTAGCCTCTCAGCTTTTTGTACTCTGTGATGACACTAATTTCCTTTTTGGGGGGACTGGAGATAGAGTTGAGTACCTAAGACAACAGGTTGAGCTGACTCTGATGAACTTTAGGCTCCAAAATGGGTTAAAGAAGTAAATGAAGATATAGAAGGCACGTTTGCTAATTTGCAAGCAACTCAAAGCCGGTATATGATAAGCAATAGACTTCAGAGTTCAAAAGCCTGTTATTAGAGCCCCGAATTGACTCCAAGAGGAGGCAAAGTGAAATGAAAGGTCTCATTTTGTTTAGAAGACTCTTGTAAGTTGAGAATTGTAAAGACCTAACTTGTCTTCAATAGTTTCATTAGAAGCTTAGCCAGGTTTTAACATGAATCCCTGAGGTTAGGGTCTTATCAATTTTTGTGGTAGTAACAGCATTTTTTAAAAAAAAAAAGGATTTTATTTATTTATTTAAGAGAGATAGAAAGAGAGTGGGAACACAAGTTGGGGGAGGGGCAGAGGGCAAGCAGATTCCCCACTGAGCGGGAAGCCCCATACGAGGACCCTGAAATCATGACCTGAACCAAAGCGAGACGCTCCACCGACTGAGCTGCCCAGGCGGCCCCATAGTAACAGCATTTTTTAAAAAAAGATTTATTTATTTACTTGATAGAGAGAGATCACAAGTAGGTGGAGAGGCAGGCAGAGAGAGAGGGCGAAGCAGGCACCCCCCTGAGCAGAGAGGCCAATGCGGGGCTCCATCCCAGGACCCTGAGACCATGACCTGAGCCAAAGGCAGAGGCTTCACCCACTGAGCCACCCAGGCACCCCAGTAACAGCATTTTTGAAAGCTGTCTGCCTTCCCATCATCTGTAGACTTCGCAGAGTCTCGCTTTTACAGTGCTGCTTCTACTGGATTGTCCTCAGAAGCCTGACAATCATGACCAGTCTTGTGAAAAACATCTGAAGTGCTTCCTCTTTGTTTTGATTACTGCAGTTTGTGGCACTCTATAGTGTTTATACAACAGGGGGAAAAAAAATACTTCCTTGTCCTCTGTTGTAGTTAGACATGTATAATATTGTGTATAGTATTAGGCATTACATTTAAAAGCGTTTACTCAGAGGAGATCAGTCAAGACAGTGAGGTGTACAGAAACTTTATCACAGAAGGGAGGAGGAAATTGGTACAATTGGAAAGGGAATTGTTCAAATGGAAATGAAGGAATAGGTGGAATTGGAGCCTGAAACTTTAGAAGTCTGGATCTGTTTCATCTGCATCTTAGAATGGGGGACTGTGTAGCTCAGAGTTTATTCAGAGAGTATTCTAGAAACTGTCACTATTAGTCAATGACAACTACAGATGTTAACTTAATACAGAATTGTATTTTTTCCTGTGGCTTTTGCCGCTTAAATAGACCACATTCCCATTTTCCTTTTTCCCTCCAACCAAACCCTCATCTCTACTTTGTGTTCAACTATGAAAACAGACACCACCATTAAAATCCTTTGGCTCAAACTTTTGTGGCAGCCATTGGAGCCTTATTAACTATAATTGGTTGGCTGCTTGTTTCCATTACTAAATTGTGCTCCTCTGAATTCAAATAACGAGTACAGATCTGAAGACAGTTTGGTGATTTGTAAGTCAAGTTTGGTCTGCTTGTGATCTCTCTCTGTCAAACAATAAATAAAATAAATAAATAAATAAAATCTTTTTTTAAAAAAATGCTGTTGCCATGGAGACGCCTGGGCAGCTCAGTCGGGAAATTGTAGACCAATGTTTTAAGACCTTATTAGGTTACATAACGTAATATCTTTTTCTTGCCAGAGGTGGAAACTCATAGAGTTTTAAGTCTGAATTTATGATCTTCGTATTTTTACTCCAAAAGACTCAATATTTGGTTTGATAAAGAAAACTGACCAGAACATTTTCTTGAGTCTTTGAAAGTGTTGATGCTATTTATTGAATACCTAACTGTTCAACACCGTTAGATTCTGTGAGAAACAAAACTGCAGTTATTTATATGGGCTGAGGTTTTCTAGAAAAGGTTTTCTGGGGTTAAGTGGTATATAAGCAGGGCGTCAAAGAAAGACTACATGGTTAGATAGGTATAAATATTCCAGCCGATGAGGAAGTGAAGTTGTTACATTTCGCTCTAACTCAAGTCTTCCTAGAAATCCAGACTTTATCACTGACCACCATACAGCTTGAATCAAAAGAGAGGAGGGAAGCAAAATGGAAAGAGATGGGAAAAGGAAAGAGTGTAGAAAGAAGGGGAAAAGTGAGCCAAAAAAGACCTTTCTTAAAATGCATTTAATGAACATTTATTGAGTAGCTAAGTTGTGCAAGACACAACTTTTTTACAATTGAGAAAGGTCTTAGGTTAAGTAAATTGCCCACAATCCTACAGTTTTTAAGAGGTTAAGAAGTACTTCGATGTGTTAGCCAGCTGGACTGGTAACATGTTCTCAGCCAGAGATACTCATCTCCTTGGAGGGCTCTGGTACTGGCAGAACAACTGAATAATTGGAATGATTCCATAGAGTTACACCAAGAAGTCAGACAAAGTGAGTTGAAGAAAGTCTGACTAAGTTTAGGGGCCTATGATCCTTTAAACCGTATTTGCTTTTCATTGTGGATAATCCTGAAGGATTTCTGCTGTTTCTTCTAATGCTTAGAACTAACTCCACCCAGCTTACACGGCAGAACTAAAGTTGGTTGGTATTTAGAGAAACGGAGATCTCTGACTAAAGCAGTGTGTTTTCATTATTAATTGTGTTTGCTTGTCATGCTGTCAGCTAACCGATCATCTCTCTGTGAAATTACTCCTGCTGCGTCTGTTCTTCTCAAACGGTCAGATGTTATCTCCCCGACTAAAACCCTTCTGAGGCTTCCCATGGCCCTTGGATTACAATTCAAACTCCATACTAGTGCCTCAGAGGGCCTACATGATCCATCCTACCTCCCTCTCCAGCCTCATCTTGTCCCACTCTCAACCCTCGCTGGGATAGTCTCCAGAGTTTTCTTTCAGTTCCTGGAATGTATCCAGGTTTTTGTGGCTTCAGGACTTGGGTACTTATTTTTCCTCTTTCTTAGACTCCTCCTTGATCCCACTTTTCATGTGACATCCATACTTACCCTTCAGGTGTCAGATTTAACATTCCCTTCTCAGAGAATCCTTCATAGACTACCTGATCTTATGTGGGCCTCCCTTATTACTCTCTCCCATGGCTTGTTGTCCTATTCTTTAAGAGTGTTTTGTGCCTTTAAAAAAGTTCGCTTTCTTTTTTAAAATTTTATTTACTTAGTTAATTTTTTAAAAGATTTATCTTATTTGAGAGAGAGAGAGAGAGAGAGAGCAAGTGGGCAGAAGGACAGAGGGAGGGAGAATCCTGAAGCAGGCTTTCTGTTGAGCAGAGAGCCCAACATGGGGCTCCCTCTCACAACCCTGAGATCATGACCTGAGCTGAAATCAAGGATCAAATGCCCAACTGTCTGAGCCACCCATGCACCCCTTAAGATTTTATTTTTAAGTAATCTCTACACCCAACGTGGGCTCGAACTCATTACCCTGAGATCAAGAGGTGCACATTCCACCAACTGAGCCAGCCAGGTGCCTCAAAAAGTTTGTTTTATTTTAATCACATCTCTATCACTAGACTGTAAGCTCTATGAGGGCAAAGACCACGTCTATTAGGTCTCCACTATTTAGCTTAGTATGGTACTGAATGAATAGTTTTTTTTTTTTTAAGATTTTATTTATTTATTTGACAGACAGAGATCACAAGTAGGCAGAGAGGCAGGCAGAGAGAGAGGGATGAGGAAGCAGGCTCCCTGCGGAGCAGAGAGCCCGATGTGGGGCTCGATTCCAGGACCCTGGGATCATGACCTGAGCCGAAGGCAGAGGCTTTAACCCACTGAGCCACCCAGGCGCCCCTGAATGAATAGTTTGTTTTTTTTTTTTTTTTTTTAATGAATAGTTTTTAAATGAATATTGAAACCTTAAAATTGCCAAGCACTTTGGGACCTGCAAAGAGTTTTTACATATTCTTAATTAACTCCTTATAATCACTTGCTGAGATATTCCAGACAGGGCAGATATTAATGTTTTTATTTTATAGCAGGTAAAACGTGCAGAGTTTAACTGACTTGGCCAGGCTGACACAGCTATTGGGGGCTTGGGTGAGAAGACAGGTCTTTGATTATTTAGAGCAGTGCTCTTTCTACCAAAATGAGATGGTAATGAGAAATCTTTGTGTATACAGACTATCCAAATAGGAAAAAAAATCTCCCATTCCTGATGCTTAGAACTACTTAGCCTTCGTTTTCATGTATACTATCCATGATTATTGACTAACTTTCCTGTAGTGCAATAATAGTAAAATAGATCCATTTTCTTGTTGATTTATAGATACAAAAGGTAGGCTTTAGCCACTGGCTGAACTGAATGGAGGTAGAATATTTTTTTTACTTTATTATTTTTAAAATGATTTATTTATCTTTATTTTATTAAAATATTTTATTTATTTATTTGACAGAGAGAGAAATCACAAGTAGGCAGAGAGGCAGGCAGAGAGAGAGAGAGAGAGAGGGAAGCAGGGAGCCCAATGTGGGGCTCGATCCCAGGACCCTGAGATCATGATCTGAGCCGAAGGCAGATGCTTAACCCATTGAGCCACCCAGGTGCCCCTGATTTATTTATTTTAGAGAGAGAGAGAGAGAGAGAGAGAGAGAGGCTGGGGGGAGGGGCAGTGGGTAAGGGAGGGGGGGAGAGAGAGAGAGAGAATCTCAAGCAGATTCCCTACTGAGCAGAGAGCCCAATGCCAGGCTCCATCTTATGACCCTGAGAACATGACCTGAGCCGAAATCAAGAGTTGAATGCCCAAGGAACTGAGCCACCCAGGCACCCCCTGCATGTGTTTTAATTTAAAAACTTGGTCTTACCTCTACAGAGTCGGAATGAATATATTGCTCACCTCAGGGACCAGTTGCAAGAGATGAAGGCAAAAACCAACATGGAAAATCGCTATATGAAGAAAAACACTGAGCTGCAGATCTCCCAGACCCAGAAGAAATGTAACAGAACTGAGGAGCTTTTGCTGGAAGAGATAGAGGTAATCACTGCTGCCTGAGGAATGAACACATTCGAGCTGTCACTCTTCATATTGCTTCAGCTAACAGAGGAGGAAGGAGAGGGAGAGTATCTTGATCTTTGCTCCATCTCTCCTGCAGCTCTCACATTTGAGACTAGAAGTAAAAACAGAATGAGGTCTTGTGTATTTGCAGGCAGAGATTCTGATGGGCTGTAGCCAACATCCACTGTTTTTTTGTGACGACTTTGAAAATCAGTTGTACTTTCTTCCCTTGGTCACTTTATCCTTATTTTATAAAACCACTTGCCATTTCTCCTGGTAATGTGGGCAAAACAAGATGCTTATTAAGTGTGGGTTTTTGCTGCTGCCCAGCTGGTACCTTTTAATCCCTCCATTAAGAAATATAAAATCAAGAGAGCTGAATTTCATTCAAACCTAAATTTATAAAGCTGGAAAGTCACCACAGAAAATAGTAGGAGAAAGAAACAAGGGGCAGACCCTCACTAGAAAAGGAAGGCTCCAATGGCTAAATGAACAGTAGGTAGGTGGGAAGGAACAAACATGTCATCCCTGGGGAGGAGGACTGCTTTCTCTGGGCCCCCACTTATTTGAAAGCTTACTCCTCTGGGTTAGTCAGACAACCCTGACTATAAACTTCACTTGCATTCTGGAATTTCCTTTTCTAGGCCTAAGAACCTTGTGCCCTTGAAGCATGGTTTCTCTCCTTCAATTGATATCACTTTATCCAGGCAAGCGGATCATGGTCCTTTTGTCCTGGGCACTGGCATGTGTCCCCTACAATGCCTGGCACATGGCCTAGTGATGTTTGTGAACATGAACTGGGTTGAAGGGAATGATTTCCCAGCCCTAGAGCAATATGGCAGGATTCTTGGGATCTCAGCTGGTAAAGAAAATTGAGATCTGGCCACAGATCTCTAATCTTGAGAATTTCTCATTCCGAACCCTGCTGGCAAGATTTCCTGATACTGGTTTATTGTTGTCACAGAAACTGAGGTTGAAAACTGAAGAAGAGAACAGGATTCATCTGGAGATTGAAACGTTCCTTAGAAAAGAGCAGCAGGTGGGTCCCCAAAACTTTTCCATGCTCTGATGGGTTTGTGTTCCACTTACAAAATATGTATTTCTTTATTCATCTTATTTCTTCTTGTGTGAATTATATGTGACTGAAGTGGTTTTAATTAGTATTTCTAAAACTAATAACAAATTAGGCTGAGTGGAGTTTTAAAAAAATATCCCGGTTGGATGAATAAGGAAAAAATTTCTAGCTTAGAATTCAGTTTACCTTTGAGAAAGCTAATAAATTTTCAGTAAACAGTTCCAAATTTGTGGCTAAAGAAAATAATTTATACCTGCTATCTCACAGGGTTTTACTAAAACCAAAATCTGGGAGGCTATTAGGAATGGGATTTTATACCCAGGCAGTTTAGGGATTAGGTACCATGTTCCTTGTTCAGTGTTAGATGCCTAGTAAGCACATGTTTAATAACAATCCAATGAGTTAGTTGGTGGGTGAATGGATAATGGATGGATGAAGTCAGTGTTTCCCAGATCATCAGCCCAATAACACAAGCAATACATAAATATTTTTCAATGAAAAATTTGAGACAGCACAGAAAGATACAGATTTTGAAAAGAAAGAGTGAAAGCTCTCATAATCACCCCAAATTATTCCAGTAGTTCTTCCACATCTTTTTCTTGATATACATACTGGTTTATGTACCCAAATACTTACATTTTTAGTATTTATCTGTCCATCTATTTATTTATGTTAATATTTCTGACATAAATAGGATCATACCACATATATTGTTCCAGACTCTTTTTTTTTCCCAGACTCTTTTTTAAAAAATATACTTTGTCTTACTGTTTCCAATAGCAATACAACTGCTATATAATATCCCATTGAGGGGTAGACCAAAATTTAGTTAGCCATTCTTCTGCCACTGGACATTCAGGTTGTTTCCAATTTTGCTAGTATAACAATGCTGAACATTCTTAGCTATGTCTGTAAATGCATGGTATATGGAAAGTCTATTCATTTTTGCATATCACTGTAGATGCCTTATGCCCTCTCATATTAGTTTTAATGTTTTTCAGTTAATTCATTTAGATTTGCTATCTAGAAAATCTTTTTGACTGCAGACAATTTTACATTTTCGTTTTTGTTATTTGTATGTCTGTTTCCATTTTGTGGCTTATTGTATAGCTTGAGTGTCAAGTGTAATGTTGACTAGTAGTAGTGATAATGGGGCACCATTGTTCTCTTTTTGGTTTTAGTGGTATTTCAGTCAGTATTACACATGAATTCATAGTCTAGCCCAGGTTCTCATGTGCAGGTTACGGCATTCATCGGGAAATAATGGGACACTGGAACTCATAATAGGAATATCTTGATGGATTCAGAAGTAATTGATAATATTCAACTCCCAAGTAACTCTGAGCCTCCCTTCCCAGTGGAAGTAGTATGCCTTTGCGGGTCTGAGGAGATTAGTCTTACTTTCTGTGAAAATGCCATAGTAATAACTTCATCAAAGTCAGATGCTCACTCTCAACACCCAGCACAATCACTCCTCTTGTCCCTGGACCCATCACTAGAGTCAAATCTCAGCAAGTTTCAGGGTACAGGTAATTCAGATATCTATAATTCAGAGGGAAATAGCTTATAAACCTAAAGAATTATAAGACTTTGCTTGTAATTGGGAGACATGTGTGGGAATGGATTCTAAGGGTGTTAGACCAACGAAGGTGGGATGTAACGCTAGACTGAGTCATGTTCATTGATATGGACATACTTACTGGAGATTCTGGATCCCATGTGATAGCTTGTGAAGCTGGAGGGGACTCTAACGGTTCACTTGAAACTGGACTCAGCGACTCGGCAGGGGCCCACATTTGAGGTGGAGGTGGAGGTGCCACAGGTGGAGATGCCACAGCTTCCCTACTAGGATTTGGTGGAGAGAATCTAAAGATTTAGGGAAATGGGAATATCAGAGTGAATTTGTGTGACCTACAGATCTGCTGCTGAACACCTACATGTAATGAGTTTGTGTGAGACATTTCTTCCCAGAGGACACTCCCATACTAAGACATTGAGAAATTTGTTCGTGAGGGGAGCACTCACATCCTCAAAAAGGTCTTTGGTTGCTTTCCTAGGTAGGCCAGGTAAGATCATGGGTAACATCATAATTGAAATGGCTTCCCTGCTTTCAGTGGTGATGATGGGATCCTGCAGAGCCAGAGGACATGAGGCAGCACTTAACTGCCAAAGAAAGGTGAACACATTTACCATGAAGGACAGAAGGGATGTACCAGAAACCAGAATGCCTTTGCTCTTAGTGATATTAATATTAATTATTATTAATTTAATTAATTAATATTAATTTATTTAATTTAATAATTTAATATTAATTTAATTAATATTAATTATGAACAAAATTAATGAGCAGCCTGATAAAGAATTACTTGATGTATGTATCAGAAGAAAGTCCAGGTCTAGGAGCCAAAACCACAATGAAGAGTCATGGTTTCTCCTCCAATTTCCAGAACTAAATCAATTCAAAGACCAAATCCCCTTAACTGCAAGGGCCAGGTCCCCCCGAGGATGAACTCTACAGCATTATGGCAGGTATATACTGTGAATCTTCCCCTAAGCCTACTCAAAGGGACCTGTGGCTATTTATTAGAGTTACTATACACTGGAAAACAGAAAATATCCAGACTCTTTCAGATTACTAAACATTGGCTCTGATTTGGTATTAATTCCTAGGGACCTGAAACAATACCGTGGTCGTCCCTACTCAAAATGAGGGATTATAGTGCTCAGGTGATTGGCGGATCTGCTTTACTCCAGGCCCACTTGTTTTGTGGATCCACCCTGTAGTTATTTCCCATTACTGAACATAGAATTGGAATAGACATACTCGGCAACAGACAGAATTTCCACATTGGTTCTCTGATTTATGGAGTGAGGGCCATTATGGTAGTAAGGACCAAGTAGAAGTCTCTGGAACTTCCCCTTCCTACCAACATAGTAAATCATAAGCAGATGCTGCACCCCTACTGCAAAGGCAGAGATCAGTGCCAACAAAAAATAAAGCAGCAGAGGTAGTGATACTTAACCACATCCCCATTTAGCTAAGCAGTGTGTCCTGTTGAGTTGAATGATCTTGGATAATGACTGTGGACTATTGTAAATGCAATCAGGTGATGACTCCAATTGCAGCTACAGTTCCAGGTGTAGTATCTTGACTGGAGAAATTCTTCAGAGGCCACTGGCAATCAGTAGGCAGCTGACCAAAACCTGTGTCTCCAACCCAGTTTGGAAGAACCTCCAGAAGCAGTTAGGTTTTACCTGGCAGGGTCAACCGTACATCCTCACAGGCTCACATCAGGGCTGTGTCCCTTCTGTTCTTTCTGCCATAATATGGTCTGCAGAGATCTTGCTTGCTTTGACTTTCTACAAAACATTGTAGTAGTCCCCTTGCTAATTCTATCTGCTGAACAGGACAAAGCAAGGACTTTGGGTGCCTTAGTAGGACTTATGAATGAGAAGGTGGGACAGAAGCTACTTTTGGTACAGTTTTCAATCACTGTTCAGTTAGGTGACAGAAAACACAACAGTTCTTTCAGCAGGGAATGTTTAGCAAAAGAATCATTAACTGAGAGTAAGGGATTGGCTACAAAGAAAGGATAAAAGAGAACTCTAAAGAAACACCCTAGGGTCAAAGGATGGTATCCAAGGAAGGGAGGAACAGAGATGTTTGCTTCATTGCCCTGGGTCAGAGCAGATTCATAGGTAGTGGGATAAAGTGGACAAACTGGGAATGGTGGGTTCTTTGGTAAGCAAGAATCCTCCTGTTATGTCAGCAAAACTTGTTGGTGAATAAGTGGCATCAGTGTCCCACACACATGCCACTGTCAGCCCTGTGCCCCAGGAACAAAAGAGGAAGGATTCGAACAAAGGAGAGACGCTCTCCTGTCATGTCCCTTTAGCGCCCACTACTGACAAGGCTTATCACTGGGCCAGGTGGCAAAAGAACCAAGTTACAGCAAGCATCCTGGTTGACAAAGTTGGCCCGTGAGGGATGCATTTAGAGTTGAGAGGCAATAAATTGATAACCGGCACAAATGGGGGTTGTATGAGGTTTACTCCATAGGTTTACGGTAGATAAACTTTTATCAAGTTAAATAAGTTTCCTTTCGGTCTTGCTGAGTTTTTTGGTTTTTGTTTTTCGTTTTTAATCTGGAATGAGTTTTGATGTTTTATGAGATAGATTTTTCCCATCCATTGAGATATGGGCTTTTTCTTAATATGCTAATAAAATAAAATATAGTAATGATTTATTGATGAATCATCTTTAAATTCTTGGGATAAACCCTGCTTGTTCATAATACATTATTCTTTTAACAGACTGCTAGATTGATTTATAGATTTTTATTTTGTATTTATATATTCCATAAACAAGTTTGACCTATAGATTTATTTTTTAGTGTTCTTTGTATTGTAACAATTATGGTAGCTTAGCAGCTTGAGTTGGGAAGCTTTCCGTCTTTTTATGCTCTGTAAAAATACCAATAGAACAAATAGATTATTATCTGTTCCTTGAAACTTTACTAAAATTTAGTCATAGACAATCTTGTTTGAGTACCATTTTCAAGGGGAGATGGTTAGCTACCTTTTCAATTTTTTAAATGTTTATTGATGTCTTCACTTAAATAATCTTTTTGAGTCATTTTTGGTAATTTCTTCCTAGAAAGAACTCATTTCATCTAAAACATTCATTTCAAATTTGTTAGTATAAAGATGTGCTCCACAGTCTCTCACAACTTAAAAGTTCCTTTATGTAGTTATTTCATCTTTATTTTATTTTATTTTTTAAAGATTTTATTTATTTATTTGATGGAGGGATTGAGACAGAGCACAAGCAGGCAGAGCAGAAGGCAGAGGGAGAGGCGGGAAGCAGCACCCCGCTGAGCAGGGAGCCCATCTCGGGGCTCGATCCCAGGACCCTAGGATTATGACCAGAGCCAAAGGCAGCAGCCTAACTGACTGAGCCACCCAGGGGCCCCTCATCTTTATTTAAAAAAATTTGTGTCTTCTCTCCCTTTTTCTTGCTTAAACGATTTGTCAAAGTTTTGACCATTTTATTGGTCTTTGCAAAAACCATCTTTTGGCTTTATTGAGCAAATACTTTTTTTTTCATTTTCACACTGGTTTTCGCTTCAATTTTGAGTAATTATTTATTTTTTTTTAAAGATTTTATTTTTTATTTGACAGACAGAGATCACAGGTAGGCAGAGAGACAGGCAGAGAGAGATGGGGAAGCAGGCTCCCTGCCGAGCAGAGAGCCCGATGCGGGGCTCGATCCCAGGACTCTGGGATCATGACCCGAGCCGAAGGCAGAGGCTTTAACCCACCGAGCCACCCAAGCGCCCCTTGAGTAATTATTTTCTTATACTTCCTTTGAGCTTATGTTGTTAATCTTTGTCTAGTTTTTTAAATGCTTTGTTCATTGACTTTTGAATTTTATTATTTTCTACTATATGCATGTAACCCAACATATTTTTCTGGGTACTGTTTGGCTGCAGTATACAGGTTTTGATACATAATGCTTAAGTTATCATCCCTTTTTTTTTTTAATTTTAAAGATTTTTATTTATTTATTTAGAGATAGAGCAGGAGAGAGTGTACAAGTGAACACAAGCAGAGGGAAGGGCAGAGAGGGGGAAACTGGCTCCCCGCTGAGCAGGGACCCTGATGTGGGGCTTGATCCCAGGACCGCGAGATCACAACCTGAGCCGAAGGCAGACGCTTAACCGACTGAGCCACCCAGGTGCCCTTAAAAGTGTATTTCTTAAATGTCCAAGTAGCTGGAGTTGGAGAAGAAATGTGTAGGCTTTCTATTGCTGACAACGCTTTGATGTCTACACTGTCTTCCATTGTGGTGTCGTCATGTGAAATGTAAGACATGCCTGTTGGCATTTGTTGAGCCCTCATTTGGGCTTCATATATGCTCAAATTATGTGAATATTCCATGGGTATTTGAAAAGAATTTGTATTCTCTGTTAGGTACAAATCTGTACAAATGTGTAATAGTCTGGGGCGCCTGGGTGGCTCAGTTGGTTGAGTGTCTGCCTTTGGATCAGGTCATGATCTCTGGGTTCTAGGATCAAGGCCCATGTCGGGCTCCCTGCTCGGCAGGGAGTCTGCTTCTGCTCCGCTCTCCCCTGGCTCATACTCTCTCTTGCTTGCTGTCTCTCAAATAAATAAATAAAATATTTTTTGAAAAAAGGTCTAATAGTTTGTCAGATTCTTCATGTTGTTATTTATTTTGATCTACCTGAGCTGTTAATTTCAAAGTATGAGAACCTCCCAAGCTGATTTTGAATCTATCAATTTCTTATATTTCTAATAATTTTTGCTTTATATATTCTAAAATGGCATTAGAATATAAAACTTCATAACTACAATATCTTTTTTAATAGAACATGCCTTTTCTCAGGATAAAATATCCCTTTTTGTCTCATTTAATTATTTTTGGCTTGAATTCTGTTTTGCCAGATACTACTTGCCAAACCTGCTTTCTTTTTGCTATGATTATATTGTTTTAGCTGTGATTTTTATAAATGGTTCATAGGTTGACTTTTTTTTTTTAAATTGGAGGCTCTTTATTTTGATAGGGAAATTTTTTTTTAAAAGATTTTATTTATTGGACGCCTGGGTGGCTCAGCTGGTTAAGCAGCTGCCTTCGGCTCAGGTCATGATCCTAGCGTCCTGGGATCGAGTCCCACATCGGGCTCCTTGCTCATCAGGGAGCCTGCTTCTCCCTCTGCCTCTGCCTGCCATTCTGTCTGCCTGTGTTTGCTCTCTCTCCCTCTCTCTCTCTGACAAATAAATAAATAAAATCTAAAAAAAAAAAAAAAAAAGATTTTATTTATTTATTTGACAGAGATCACAAGTAGGCAGAGAGGCAGGCAGAGAGAGAGAGGGGAAGGGAAGCAGGCTCCCCGCTGAGCAGAGAGCCCAACGTGGGGCTCAATCCCAGGACCCTGGGATCATGACCTGAGCCAAAGGTAGAGGCTTTAACCCACTGAGCCACCCAGGTGCCCCTATTTTGATATGGAAAATTACCTCAGTTTATTTATTTATTTATTTTTTTAAAAGATTTTATTTATTTGTCAGAGAGAGAGAGAGGGAGAGAGAGCAAGCACAGGCAGACAGAATGGCAGGCAGAGGCAGAAGCAGGCTCCCTGCTGAGCAAGGAGCCCGATGTGGGACTCGATCCCAGGACGCTGGGATCATGACCTGAGCCGAAGGCAGCTGCTTAACCAACTGAGCCACCCAGGCGTCCCACCTCAGTTTATTTTTATTGTGATTTTTAATTTATTTGTATTTACTTTTTTCATCTTATTTTATATTTCCTGCTTTTCAAGCTTCTTGGTGTTTCTTTCCTTCTTCTGTTGGATTGATGGAATTTTTATTGTTTGATTTTTTTTTTCTTAGTTAATTGTTTTAAAGATTTTGTCAGAGAGAGAGAGAGAGAGAGAGAACAAGCAGGGGGAGCGGGAGGCACACGGACACGCAGGCTCCCTCCCTGCTGAGCAGGGATCCTGACCTGAGCCGAAGGCAGATGCTTAACTGACTGAGCCACCCAGGTGTCCCATATTGTTTGGTTTCTTGCTGTCTAGTGCAAATTCATCATTTGCATACCACTTTCTTAGTTTTGTAATATCAGCATACCACCTATGTTATTATTTTGAATATACTCACTTCCACAAAATTTAATTTTTATATTATTATTGTAAAAGAAAAACCAGTATCATTTGCCATAAATAGAAACTAATATATCTAGAAGTTCAATAAATATCAAATAATGTTATTACATTTTAGCCAGTTCTTTTTACCTGCCTGGAGACTCTTCTCTTTTTTTTTTTTTTAAAAAGAAAAAATGTTAACAAGACTTAGAGATGTTAAAGACATGATTGCACCAAACTGATGTGTTCTCTTTAACTTGATCAGAATAATTGATAATAATTAATCACGTTTTTAAAAAATTCCATGTCAATGTACAACCTAAAGACTCCTTTTTTTTAAAACTTTTGATTATTTATTGATTGATAATTAAAATAAGCACCATTTATTGAAAGCCTTTTAGTGCCAGGCACCGTATACATTATATCTATTCTTCATAATATTCCCAGGACATAAGTAGTAATATTCCCATTTTACAAAAGAAGAAACAAAGCCTCAGAGGTATTAATTAACATGTCCAATATATACAGCTAGAAAATGGGAGATTGAAGATTTGAACAGGCCTCTGATAGGCTCTAAAGCTTGTGTTGTTTTCCTTGCGTTATGCTGCTGTTCTTTTTTTTTCTTATATTCCACTTGTTTTATTTTTTAAAATTTAAATTCAATTAACATATAATGTGTTATTAGTTTCAGAATTAGAGGCTAAAGACTCCTCTTGAGGTTTCATTCTTGAGGTACATGATCTAGGAGTTTGGAAGTTATGCCTTATATTCTTGGAGTGGTAACCCTTCACATTTTAACATATTTATACTTTGTTTAAAGCATATTCTTTATGCTTTGTTCTGTACTTTAACATATATATGTATACTCTGTTCATCTTAAGTCTATAGTTAATCAATACTTATATCTTCTTGTCTTTATTAAAGCGAAGTTTTACCTCTTCTCTTACTCTCTTACGTCCTATGTTGAAATCATTCAGTACGTATTTCCATTTTATAAATGAGGGAACTGAGGCTTAAAGAATTTAAGTTAACATACTCGAGTGCCAGAGCTAGGAGCGAAACCTAGGCATTCTGTCTTCAGAGCCTGTCTGGTTTTTCCAGGAGACATACTGCCTAATTTGGGATTTTAGTTCCAGATTATGGTTTACTTTAAAAAAGTACTTTATGTAGCTTAAGTATACATGCTGTCATTTCTCACATGTACTATCTCTTTCTAAAATGAAATTTTAGATTTCATTGCTAAAATACACTTTCGAGTAACTCTTTTGGAAAGACCAGGTATAGTCTTTCTTTCCTCACATTTGAATGTTAGGTTAGCTAAGTACAGAATCTTAGATTCACATTTATTATTTTCTAGGATTTTGAAGACATTGTACCCTTCTCAATTGGCATCTACTGTTTTTTTTTTTTAAGATTTTTATTTATTTGACAGAGATCACAAGTAGGCAGAGAGGCAGGCAGAGAGAGGAGAGAGGAGGAAGCAGGCTCCCTGCTGAGCAGAGAGCCCAGTGCGGGGCTCAATCCTAGGACCCTGGGATCATGACCTGAACTGAAGGCAGAGGCTTTAAGCCACTGAGCCACCCAGGCGCCCCGGCATCTACTGTTTTTTTAAATTTTTCATTTATTTATTTGAGAGAAAGAAAGAGAGCATGAGAAAGGGGGAAGGGACAGAAGGGTAGGGAGAAGCAGATTCCCTGCTGAACAGGGAGTCTGACGATGCAGGGCTCCATCCAGGACCCGATAATTACCCAATAATGACCCGAGCCGAAGGCAGACGCCCATCCGACTGAACCACCAGGCAGCCCTGGTATTTACTGTTATTAATCAAAGAACTATCTGATGCCATTCCTTATCCTTTAGAATTTTCTACCTACCCTTTATTCCTTTCCAATTTCCCTTATCCAGACCCCTTGGAAGGCCCTCTTCCTTCTGTTTTTAAATTGAGTAATAATATTAAGTATACAAACATTAAGCATATAGTTTGATGAACATTTGCGCGCGCGCACACACACACACTCCTGTAACCACCACCCACATAGAGAACACGTTTACAACATCACAGAGTCTCCCTCGTGTCCCTTCCTGATCCAGTCAAGCAACCCGCCCCTAGAGGTAGCCATGATTCTGCCTTTTTTCACTGTAGGGAAGTTTTGCTGGTTCTCGAACCTTATATAAATGATTTCATAATAAGGCTTTGCGTCTGATGGAACCACGTTTTAATGTTCTTTCCAAACAGAAACTTGAGGAAAAGCTAGAGTTCTGGATGGAGAAATTTGATAAGGACACGGAAATGAAACAGAATGAACTAAATGCTCTCAAAGCTGCTAAGGCCAATGACTTAGCACACCTTCAAGAACTTGCGAGGACGGTAAGGAAGCAGTCTCCATAGTCTAAGGCTGAGCACGCCTGAGGAATGGGCAGTAACTGAGCTACAGTAGCTGCGTGACAAAGTGGAGGTGTGCCTGTAAACCACTGAGCCTCTTCTCCCACGAGAACGATGATGATGACAGCATCCGCGATGGGGACAGTATTAGCGGCATCTGACAAGCCTCCATTGTGCTCATTCTGTCCCAGGCACTTATTAACATTCCAAAGGACTTACTTCACCCTCACCACCTCTTGAGATAGATACCGTTACTATTTCTACTTTATGGTCTCTGAAGCTAATCTGTAAATTATGAATTTTAAAAGGCTTCTGATTATTGTTTCATCATTGAATAACTGTAAAACTCCCAAATATCTCTTTTAAAAGATGACTGCTATTTGTATGTGTACTTTCTGAGTTTAAAAAACAGTACTTTGAAGTCAAGCACACAAGTTACTAGTTCATTTTTGTGCAAGATTTTACAGCAAATTTGCTCCAAACTGAAACATTTTTATATAGTTAGTATATGAATATTTATACCACAGGAATCCACTTAGTTTTTCTTTTCGTTGGTTTATCTTTAAGTTTGGCAGGCTTTATTTTCAAATTTTATATTAAAAGTGCAAGGCTGGCTGGCCATACCTTGTCAGGACAGTCTTATAACCTAGGGTCCATGTTTACTTTTACAGATAAGGGAATATGAACAGGTCATCATCGAAGATCGGTTAGAAAAGGAGAAGACCAGGAAGAAGAGAGAACAGGATGACTTGGAATTGAAGAGCATCATAAAGGTAGAAAGCCAGAGTTGGCATCTTTTTTTTTTAAGATTTTATTTTTATTTGAGAGAGAACACAAGAGGGGGTTGGGTCAGAGAGAGAAAGGAGCAGGGAGCCCAAAGCAGGGACCTGATCCTGGGACTCCAGAATCATGACCTGAGCCTAAAGCAGTCACTCACCCGACGGAGCCAGCCAGGTGCCCCACAGTTGGCATCTGAGGGCACGTTCAATTCAATAGCTGACCTAACACTGAGCAACACGAAGTCTCTTTTTCATTTATTATGAAGCATGAAACAGATCGGTAAGGAAGGGTGGCCTTTTGTTATTACTGGAATTTGCCTGTAGTCCTTGGTGCAGGGAGATGGTTCACATAGCAAGGGGCATATCCCTAACTCTTAATCCAGGGGAAAGTGGTGGTCAGCAGGGGAAGCAGGACCTAGAACTTATGCCCGAAGGTCAAATTTAAGAATATTATTTATAGTCAGAACAGCTCTTGGAGGAGCTGCTTTTTTTTTTTTTTTTTTTTTAATTAACTCTATCCCCAATGTACGGCTTGAATCATGGTCCCAAGAACAAGGTCACATGTTCTACCAACTGAGCCAGCCAGACACCCCTGGAGGATCTTCTTAGAATCCTTTTTATCTAAGTTATCCCAGGCTATCTGCTAGGTTCTGACAAGACCTGTTTTCAAAAAAAGGTGGAGGGAATAAATAGAGTTTAGCATGCATGGCGGCTTCCATGCTTCAGACATAAGTTACTTTATGACAAGACAACTCCGTTATGCAGAAAGGATGGGGATTGGCAGGCCTGTTCTATTGTACTCACTCCCCCTTTCTCTTCCAGCTCCAGGCCTGGTGGCGAGGCACTATGGTACGGAGGGAAATTGGTGGCTTCAGACTGCCTAAGAAGGAGAAAGATGATGGCAAGGATTCTAAACGTAAAGGCAAAGACAAGGACAAGCGGAGAGGCAAGAAAAAGTGACAGAGTTCTCATCTCTTCCTCTGGTCTTCTGGCGATGGGGAGGACTTGGAGGAAGAAACATTTTAGCAGCACAGACAACTTGTATCTACAGGTCGTTTCTTATTTGAGCATTCCCGGGCGCTGCCTGTTCTCTCCCATTGCCGTTGTATTAGTTTTCAAACCCTGAATTAGGACTATACCATCAACTTAGGGCTTCTTCGTATTTTGAAAAACTTCCACTGGGAAGAAATATTTCTAGGAGCCTTGTGAAGATTCCTGTTGCTTTTTCTTACCAGAAAAAAGTTCATGGGCTTATTAGTTGTGATGCATTAAAACATCAGTAATTTCTGTAATGTCTCCAATTCTGTATTTTGACTACAGTGAAAAAACTCTTGAGCAAAAGTCAAGTGTTCATTCAGAACTACAAGATGATGTTTATAAAGTGTGTGGCAGAATACAGACACTGTAAGGTCCAAATGTTGGTTCCTTCCTGCCTTTTAGGTTAGTATCACCCAAGTGTTTTGTTGGGGTGGCGGGGGCATGGAATACGTATCTTAAGTTGCTTCAGCTCTTTTTCTGGGAAACAGGTAGGCATATAAAATTATAAATAAAAAAATAATAAATTGGAATCAACGGAAATGTTAGGACGTACAATCCACACATAGTAAAGGCGGGGACCCAGGCCTGCTGGAAAACTAGCCTGCAGAGAGTTTTGATTAGTGAGACACCAGGGTCTATGCCTGTTTTGCTCCCTCAACAATTCTCACCTTCAGGATATTATGACTAAAAGAGTACAGATAATCCAAGCAGAATGTCTTGGGAAGCTAAAGCTTTCCCTATTGCACAGTTGGTAATTTCTGAGAGAAAAGTGTCCAAATGCATCATGTGTATTTCATGAATTAAGCCTTATATGTAATCCCAAATGCAGGGCAATACGGCTATCTATACTTCCTTGGAAAAGTTTAAAAAAAAATTTATCTCAAGGGCCTGTTATGAGGACCCCGTTTCTCCTGATGTTCTTTCAGGGAACTAAATAAATAACCTTTCATTTTTGCCAAGGAAACCATGCTTTAGGTATGAACATTTTCTTTTCTTTCTTTTTTTCCCCTAAAGATTTTATTTATTTATTTGACAGAGATCACAAGTAGGCAGAGGGGCAGGCAGAGAGAGGAGGAAGCAGGCCCCCCGCTGAGCAGAGAGCCCGATGTGGGGCTCGATCCCAGGACCCTGAGATCATGACCTGAGCCGAAGGCAGAGGCTTTAACCCACTGAGCCACCCAGGCACCCTTAGGTATGAACATTTTCAATTCAGCCTTTATTTCATGCGATTGAAGTGCTGGCTTTTATTTTAATGTGAACATGTAAGGTGGCGTACAGGCAATTTAAAATAACATACATGATACTGACATATTTATACTTAGAACTTATGCATTATATTTACAGACATACAAATATAGGACAATGTTTTACAAAATCTTTTACTAATTACATGTTTACAACATTTCAGAAATAAAATGAAATCTGCTGTAAACCATCTCACTGCAATACGTATATAAAAAGGTTTCTAAATATCCATGTTTTCCTTCATTTCTAATACCATTTTAAGTACTTGGTTGCTAAAAATTTGTCCTACTCATCAGCAGAGTCACACATCATTAGTCACTGCTAAGCTGTAGCAAGTAAGAGAAATCATCGACTCCTCGGTTAGCTATGAGGCTGTATTTAAATATGCTATTAAAGAGAGTGACCTCCTAATAAGCTCCCTATTCTCTTCTAGCCAGACAAAGAAAGGCTCCACGCCCAGCAGCTGTCTGCAGAGAACCTGCTGACTGCCAGTCTCCAGGGCTGTCGGGGTGGGCACTTAGCCTCCTCCTGTTCACTGGTCAGCCACTGCTTCAGTAGGAAGGAATCTCATCAATGCTCAGTGGAACCCCTACAGGGTCTTTGTCTTACACTGGAGTCTAGCAAGGCTAAATGTTATTACATTTTCTTTCCAGTTTATTAAAAAACAAAAAAACAAAAAAATGGTACATACAGAAAAATGAATATAAAAATTTTCTAGCAAAAACATCTTGATTTAGAAAAGAAATTCATCAATATATTTGATATTTTTTCTTTATCAAGCCAAAACTGTACACAATTTTTTCCTAGTAATTCAAATATAAACTTGCATTAGTTTGATGAAAATATGTGAATAAGTTTGCACGTTATGTGTCAGTTGTGAAATAAGTGGTAACTTCCACTTACCCTATGGGATAATTAGTTGCAGATGTTCCAAATGTTGCATTATGTATGTCTTCTGGGATTATTCCTTACATAATAGGTGATAAACAGTCCTCTTCATTGCTGAGTTTCATTTCAAATGGCTTCTATTATTTGGAAATTGTACTGAGGTTTAATGTTGAGTAGAAGGAAAAATCCTTATAGTTTAAAAATGTACACAGCTAAATTCTAAACAAGTCACTCTGATTGGTGGGTCTGTTTAGAACTGTAAATTTAATGGGGTCTGGCTCTAAGCACTTAAAAAACATTTTACTTTTGTTCTGTAAGGTCAGTGAGCTTTGAGATCAGATGTTTTATGTTCCTTAATTTTAAACTTTGACAAAGTGGTAATGTTCTGCTCAACTTGTTTCCCAGTGAGAACAGGGAGAAAACATTATTTTGACCAGATGCTCAACATGATTTTACCCAGTTACTTTTAGATGTTGCACTTACATGATAAAGAGTGAACACTTTGCTCAAATGCATGCATTGGTAAAGAAAGTCCAGAACAGTTTACAACCCAAAAAACCTTAGATTAACTACTATCTTCAGTTACTCTATTTACTTGATTTATAAAGGCAGCGAATACCAAAAGACGCTGACAACTAAAAGGGGTTCAAAAAATAGGATAAGAGAGACTTTAGTGGTTTAAGATTGAACAAAGGCTCCCAGCTTTGTGTTTCATGAGCCCTGGGCCCTCTTACCTGGCCCACAAATGAGTGAAGGCACCAATGGTAGAATTTGACAAGCTAGATACAGAGACAGCACATGGTTTTTTAAAGAAGCCCCAAGTGCCTTATTTCAGCCATGGAAACTGGCAATTACTTGAAAGAAATTAAGAAACTTGGCTACTCTTTTATTCCTTTTGCTCTGTTTTCATAATCCTCCATTAGTTAGGGAGCTAGAAGTGTATCGGCGGTGAGTGGAAGGTATCTGCAGGCCCTGGTATCCTGCGAGCAGTGTGGGGGAGGTGGGGGGGAGCGCAATGCAAATGATGCTGAGTAGTGCACGTTACCATCCTAAGGATTTGGAACCCTTGTGTAGAGTGCTTGTTTACAATGTTCAGGTAATAGCAGAATGTCACAGGTGAGAACCAAGCTTTAGGTGGTGGTGGACAAAAGTTGGGAGAAGGCCTAGGACACTGGCCTTAACTTACCTCTCTCATTGCTTTACCGTGCAAAAATCTAGGCCTTCTACATCATATCTGGTTTGCTTTAGACATAAGTTTATTTGTTCTGTTATTTTTTGTTTTGCCTTGGACAGATAGTCCAAAGTAATATAGCTTCTGATTTTAAATGCGGCTGATAAACATAGTGGAGTCATTACTCTCCACATCATACGAAAAATACCGTTGGGAAAGTGGTCTCACTGTGTCTGTTGAAAATGCAGATAACCCAGGCCCCGCTCCAGACCTCCTGGAATGAGAATCTACACTTTAACAAATGTTCCAGGAGAATCTAATGAGTCACCAGTTCCAGAAACAGGAAACAGGTAAAGATAGTAGCATGTCTGTGCTTTCAGGAAAGCTAGCTATCCCTCTGAGAGGCTGTCTTTCTGGAATGGGAGACAAGCCTGCTCTCTAGGAAAGCCCAGCCAGTTTAGGCTTCGGTGTCAGGTTCTCAGTGACGAAAGAACGAAGTTTCACTTGCAAAAACCAACCGTGTCTTCCTAAAACAATTCAATGGAAACAGATATAACCTCTCCTAAAATGGAGAAATGAAGCAAAATATTCCTGTCAGGAATCATGGAAACAGTCCCTTTTAAGAACATGTAAGAGCTTTGTGGAAGCAGCCAGCTGGCAGCGGCGCTCGCGTCCTGCTCCAGGGTGGCCGGGCCAGTGCCCGCGTGCAGGGTCCTCACGCAGCAGACAAGTGGTGCTGCTGCTTGGGCGGGGCAAGCTCCAGGAGAGCCTGCACCGTCACTGCGACCTGGCTCAAACCTTTCTCTTCTAAAATGTGCAGAGGCAAACATAATTGCTCCTGAAATGGGATAACGTAACATAAAAACAAACAAAAGAGAAAACAGGATGAACATCAATGAACTGAAAAAAAAACAAAAAACAAAAAACAAAAAAAACATAAGCACCTCTTTCTCTCTTTCCTAAAGGTCAACTGAGATAGGACAGGTCAGCAACTGGGGAACTGACCTCTGTTCATACGAGTTACACAGAGATGGCATCTGACACTGTCATTTTATTAGAACAAGTAAAACGTACATGCAGGTCATTTGGAAAACTGGAATAAGGACAAGTTACAGACATAATACATACAACAGAGGATAACAGAATCCTATGTGGTCAAAGAAACATTCTTCATCCCCGATAAATAAATGAGCAATGCAGATCAATAAAATGAGGCAGGGAAAACGGAAAAGCAGTTCCAAGTTACCAGATGGCTCAAGCCCAAAAGATCTAACATTGTAAGAGAAAGTGCTCCAGAAATTACATACCACAGGAATGCGAGATGGGTTCATGCCATAAGCCAGACTGCACGAGGGAGGGAGGGATGCCCTCCAGCTGCCATTATAATCCTGATTGTGAAAATCAGGGCCCTCATGCCAACTAGGGGACACAGGAAAAAAGCCACTATTTCATATCCTCGTACTGAATGGATTGAATTATGTTGGAGAAGATAATGTGAGTTTAGTCAGGAATGTCTTAATTACCATATATGTGAAAGGTGTTTAGATGTTTCCTAAAGGAAGTCAAAATACTTCTATTGTGTTTGCCTCGTTAATGTTTGGTTAATCCTTTCTTGAAAAAGAAAAAGGCAGAGCTCAAGAATAGTACCTATCATTGGTTTTTCTTTTAAGACTAAATATTCATAAAAACAGACGCTACTCATAAGGGACAGAAAGTAGAATTCTGGTTCCAGTAAAAAGAAGACTACACATGTTTATTAAAGAAGACTGCTGGACTCTTCATTGGCACTTTACCTTATTATTAGAAAGTTTTACAAAATTAGTTGCAATAAAAAATATAACATTTATTTTGAACAGTTATTAGTACTTGTGCCTCTTACTCAAAATATTATCTTGATAAAACAATGTAATTATGATCTTTTGACCTTATAAAACTAGCAACCTTGTATAAATACTTTGAGTACTTTGTCCATGCAGATGAACTACCCCAACGTGAACCTGCAGGGTGTTTTGCTCTTGGGAGAGCCGGTATTTTCTCTGAGGCCAAATTCCCTGGTCTCTTCTCCAGAGCGCCCTGCCCTGCGTGTGGTTTAGCCATTCCTCCCGAGGCTTATGTTTTCCAGACGTACATTTACCTTCCGGGCAGCTTACAGGGAACGCCATGTGCTCTGAAGAGAATGTACAACTACTTCCTCCAAACCACACACAAGACCACATGTTTTTTTATTTCCTAAAGGGACAAAACTCCACAAAACTAAATGATCTTTGACTCAAGACATCTTAAAATCAAAACAAAGCAAACCTCCCAAACTCTGGAAGGTACTACTACTGTACAAAACTGGCTTTCAACACAGTGTTCAGTGTTTCAGCATTAATAGGAGATAATTTTTAATGTGTTAAATAACTGTCCCATTTGATATGGAAGAAAACCAAAGCAATCACACCCTTAGGCTAATCACTTCTACAACAGGGTGTTCTGTTCCCTGCTTTGAGTTCAGTATATTCCTGAATGTTCAGAAACCCTATCTATGAGCAGTAGAATCGGAATGCAATCATAAAGTAGTTTCAAGTATTAAGGCCAGCAGCTCACATACTAAACAGCAGCTCACATACTAAACATTCTGAAGAAGACAACACCCGCTCACTGCCTTGGGGACAGGACAGAGACTGCTGCCTGGTCCTTAACCTGCTACTGTTGTTCAGACATAACCTCCTCAATAGCTTAATTCAATACCAGCTCACCTACTAAGATGGTTCAAGTATATTGGAAATTACATAAATTTCACTTTTAAATTCTCAATAGGACTCTAGAGGTGAAGCTCAGTTAATGGTAACAAGCGTAGTAAATCTGGACAGGCGCCTACTCCTGAAAGGTCAGCTCCAGATCATCTGCTTGTCACGGACCATTTTACATGCACAATGGGCTCAGAATAGCAATCTAAGGAACCTGCCTGATCTTTGAACCGAACATTCTGATCAAATTAAAATTACTGATTAAATGGCCAATGCTTCCAGACGCAGACAGTAAATGCTTAGGTGGACCAGTGCCTTCCAATACAGGGACATCTCAGGAGTTTAGGGCAAAGCTCAATGCAGAGATCTAAGTGACCAGGTGCCTCCCCAACTGGAAAGGGTACAAATATGTTCCTTATGTGCAGCTGTTTAAAACGCTGGAAAAACGGCCATATGGGAATTTTATTAAGTCATTTGAAAATAAAGTTCTAAGTCACAGTCTAAGAACAGATCCAGGATTCTATGAGAGATACCTCAGCACTTTTGATAAGAGAAACAAGGCCACGGGCCAGGAGAATCGATAAATGACCAGGAGAAAAAAATGCTGGTCTTCTAGTCTTTGTGAACAACCATTAATGATTACTAATGTGATGGGCTGTTCATCTGGACATATGAGGGCATTATCTGCTTTACTGGTTAGCTCTTTGATGGTCGGGGGTAAATAAAGCATGTATGTAAGTACTCTGCAACAAGAAACAAACCTCCTTCACCAAGCACAGGAATGAGGCGGGAAATCGCTGGATACGATCTTTCAGCTAGAGGGGTAAGATCCAGTAATAAAGCAGACAGAGAGTTAACATTAAAGTACAATAAAATGCCACAAAACCCAAAAGCTGGATAGACAGAGAGATAAAACTGGATTCTTCTGAATGTGCCCCAAGAGAAAGTAGGGTTTCAACAGTTCTTTTAACACGGAGGTTTAGCTGAAGGATGTCAGAAGGGGAACAAAGATTGTCCTGTCCAAAGTGTGAGCAGGAAAGGAAAACAGAAAAACAAAGTTAGTGGATCGGAAACACGGATTTGAGTACAGAATCCAACACAATCATCTCAATCATACTCAGAGAAACACATCCTAGCAACATTTGTTTACTATGAGGAATGAAAATAAAATACTGAAAAACAGAACTACAAAAAGACTCCCTCTGCGTGCTGAGCTTGATTTTACTACTAAATGGGATGAAACTGGCTTGTTGGTGACCAGTACACACACTCAGCGTGCAGAGAACAGACTGGGTGCTGGCTCAGGGTTGTGGGAGGTCTCTAAGTGATGAGGTCTGCGCCAGGCAACAGCTTCTTTCCCAAGGCTCATTCTTTCCTATTAACAAAAAAAGAATGGGCCAGAAACCAGGACAAAAGCTGGGGGTGGGCTGAAGAGAGGGAAGTATTTGGAGAAAGCCACGTAAATCAGGGCGGTATCAGAAGAGGAGAGCCCAATGACTGAGGAAACTTACTCCCTGGAGGCCAGGTGTACCGACTGATTTGATGTTTCTCTCAAAATCATGTCAAGCCCACCTTTAAGTCCAGGTTACTAATATGTACAAAATGAATCTAGAGGGGTAAGGGGCCTTATTGACCACCCAGACCCTCCAGCTCACAGACAAAGAAATTAAATAAGTAAATAAAAACACAATCGGACTGGAGAACAAGAAAATATTCTTCAACACATAACATACAATAACTAGGACATGAGGTGCTGGACTTAAACAGACGTTTTTGTCACCCATTACAGTTTTCTGAATGTAACATACTTAATAAAAGCAGAATAATTAAGAGAATACCCACATGCCCAGCCTTATCAGAGGTTTTCAAGAGTCATCTTATTCTTCAGTGTTTCATTCAGAACTTATAAAACACTTCAAAACTTGTGCTGAGAAGGGAAACTGTTCACCTTTCTAGTTTCTGGACAGAATTCTGACAAATATTTACAATATTAAGTTTTATGTTACACATTTTCAAAAGTGACCATTATTATATCCCTGATTTTCTTTATAAGTCAAAGAGAAGTGGGGGTGTTTAGGTAAAGGTCAGAGGGGCCTGAGAAGGCCATTGCGAATCTATGAGTTGATGTAGTCATTCATTTTCCTTCACTTCGTTCTAAGCAAATAACTAACTTTTTAGCAGAAGTAGCAGCGTACGAGGAACCTGTCTAAAAGTGGTGGTGGTGATGGTGACAGTGGTAGAGACTTAGGTGGAAGGCAGAAGGGGAGAGGTAGAGGGGACCTCCAGGGATTGTCCACTTCCTCTTTCAGATCAGGGAGACTGAGAGGAAGGAAGGATGTGTTAAGAACCCCAGTCTAACCACCCTAGAAAAATACCCAGTCTTTTAAATTTGTTTTTTTTTTTTTTCCTGTTTCCTGCCTTCAAATAGCGTAGCTCTGGTAGGAATAGGGACAGGCTAGCCCATAATCATCCCTAATAACCATTGCTTGGCAAATGCTGAATCAAATGCACATTTTAAGGTAGACTGTATTTTGCTGATTGTTGGCAGGTTACCTTTGGAAAGAACTTCAGTGTACGGAGTTTAAGTCTGAGACAGATGATGGTTCTCTAAAGCCTAGAGTGCAAGTACAATGACTGTAAAGCTGGTGAACGGTACTTTGCACGGGTCTGACATTTGCCAGGCATGCTCCTGTGTCGTGCTGTTTTGGGCAGGCTGTGGGCATGTGTGTGTGATGTGATGATCATATAGGAACACCTTCAACAGATGGAAGGAAATACTGACTGATGTTCGTGTGTACCTATGAATATTAGAACCTGCTTATTAGTATGGAGAAAATGCACACTATTTGATTAGAAACCTTATTAAGGCTCTCTATGGTTAAAAATGGTTTGCTCTAAATGATATGACCAGTCTTTAGAAAACAGCAGGATATAAAAGTGAAAAATCTGCTCTGGATTTGTCCACAAAAACAAACAAAAAAAGGTCCTTGTTAATACCACAAATGTAAATTTCAGTTATTTTTATAACTCAGATTTGAAAAAATAAAACACAAAAGAAAACAGTGAAAAATAGATTTACAACCTACTTAATAAAAGGGGAAAAAACAATGGTGGAAATTCACTGTGGCTCACGGATGCTCTATGGAGCCGGACTTGTTCTCTTCCACCTTTTGCAGCACATATATGAGCTGCAACGGCAAGGCTGCCCATGGGACGACGAGTGGTGCTGTGATCTCCTCAAGGCAAGGTTAGCTGCGAGAGGACCAGGGAGCCACGAAAAGGGAGAATCACTGTCGTGAAAGCTGTGAGGACAAGGGCTTAAGTTCAAGAGCAACACTGGGGTTGAGTCCAGGCCAGTCCTGGAGTTCTGACAGGAAGGTGACAGAGAATTCAGAAGGTGACAGAGAAGAGTCATGATTTTCTTCTTGAAGGTTGGACACCAAATATGACAAGAACTGTTAAGGGTTATGGATAATGGAACAAAGTATCAAATAGCACCAAGTGGTTATTTCTTTAAGCGGATCTGTGTCTTGTGTCATTAAATATAGTATTTTTTTAAGAGTACCATGCTTAGTTGGTTTAACATCATTGTTTTTAAAAGGATAACTGAATAAAAAGTGCATCAAGTTCATGTCTCTTAATTGCATCTATAAAGTTTAACTATTTGTATATTAAAGGGCAAGAAAGTTGAAACTGAGGAACCTAGAGACAATAAGTCTTAAGAGCAGGACAAATGCCTAGAAATGGCCTCCTGTGTGCTCAATTCCAAAGTATCAGAGCTTAGTGAAAACAGCTAGTGAAATCTGAGTGTGGTTTCTGATGTGGTTAACAGCACTGTCCCAGTGTTTGTCAGTTCCGATGACATACTATGTTTATGTAGACGATGTTAACAGGACCGGAACAGCAGCACAGAGAGTGACTATTCTAGATCTGTCCTATTTTTACATTTTTCTAAGTCTAAAATTATTTTAAAATAAACATTTTTAAAATGTATTAAAGTAAATGTCAAAAAACCTAAAACCAAAGGAAGCATTCTCAGTCTGAGATGCACTCATTCTAAAGCCCGGAGTCTTATGTATGAAGATGTATACAAGCAAGTAGGAATGTTTCAGAAAATGTCAAAATATCTATTTTTGATTACTTAGCTTTAAGTATTATAATATATTTAAAGTTATATGTATATTACTTTTTTTGCTTGGTCCTTGGAAATAATTAAGGAAAACTGCTCACCAGTATACTGACTGACTCTAGTAACACAGCATCATGTTAGTAATTACCAACTTCGTTTAAAGCGAGTCCTGTAAGATTTTAGATACTCTAATTTCTAAAAAATTTTAGAAAAATAATACCCAAGTCTCTTTAGGCAACATAAGAAACGATAAATTTATTACCTGAGGTACACCAATTTTTCTGCAAGCTTCTAGGAAATTCTCCACATTCCGCCTGCATTTTGCCATAGTTAACTTAGGCTACAAAGGAAGGAAAATGTGGTGTTACTCTAAAGTTTAAAAATACTCTTGCCAGTTGCTTTGTAAATTCAACATTCTAGACTACAGGGTCAGCAAACTTTTTCTTAAAGGATCAGATAATAAATGTCAGTCTTCAAGGCTACAGGAGATCTGCTAAGAGCTTGAAAGCAACCATAGGCAATATATAAGCAATGGGTATTCCAGTAAAACTTCATTTATAAAAATGGGGGCTAGCCTTGGGCCATAGTTTGCCACTCCCTACTTTAGACATTTTACTTAGATTTTTTGTAAGGCAAGTGCAAAATACAGAAAAATTTTAGAGACAGCTATTTAATTTTATCCATTTTAAAATAATATTGACTGAAGAAAATTTGTAGTGACAGCAAAGAAAGTACCCACAACCCTATCATTCAAATATAATCACAGCTAAACTTTATTTCCTTGCAGTCTTCATGAAATAAGATAATTAAAAAAAAAATCAACATCTTTTACTCATAAATATACTATGGGTGCATCACGTCTCTACTCAGTGGTAATCTTGGAATGCTTTTAAACATATGAATTTTAGGGGTGCCTGGGTGGCTCAGTGGGTTGAAGCCTCTGCCTTCGGCTCGGGTCATGATCTCAAGGTCCTGGGATCGAGCCCCGCATCGGGCTCTCTGCTCAGCTGGGAGCCTGCTTCCTCCTCTCCCTCTGCCTGCTTCTCTGCCTACTTGTGATCTCTGTCTGTCAAATAAATAAATAAAATCTTAAAAAAAAAAAAAAACATATGAATTTTAAAAGACTGGATTAAAGAACCTGTTTTCCAAAGGATGCAGATTTCGCAAAGTTAATTTCCCTAACTTCTACTTAGTAAGCTTGTTTCTGGAAAGGTCTCTTACTAACAACGAAGTGTTATCACATGACCTAAAGTTGTGAAAAAAAGTTTTTAACCTAGTGGGTTAAATATAGTATAGATTATAATATAAGGTAGAAATATGAATTCCATTTCCCAGAATGATTAACAAATTCAAATGTTCAAATTCATTGGCTGTTCTCCAATATGTTTAGGCATCAGGCACAGAAGCCAAATGTCTGCACGAACTCTGCCTTTGCGTTTTTACACACGTAAGCAGATGGAAGCCTGTACCACCTCTAGAAAACAAAGGTTTCACTTGTGAATACCTGGGTTTTTCTTCAAAGATGGAATATGATACTCCATCACGAGCAGAGGAGAAATTAAATAAATATAAAATAGTGTCTGAAGAACTATAATCTCAGCCTGAGAAAGGGAGCAGGGGCTAGGACTGGTTTTATTATAACAAATAAGAATGTGGGATGAAAGGAAAATAATTTAAAGAAAAATTTTTAAAGGAGTACTTGGGTGGCTCAGTTGGTTAAGTGTCCAACTGACTCTTCATTTTGGCTCAGGTCATGATCTCAGGGTCATGAGATTAAGCTCTGCATTGGGCTCCGCGTTCAGAAAGCAGTCTGCTTGAGATTCTCTCTCCCACTCCCTCTGCCCCTCCGCCCTGCTCTGCTTTTGTGCACCCTCTCTAAAATAAATTAATCTTTTAAAAAAAGTTTAGGGGCACCTGGGTGGCTCAGTGGGTTAAAGCCTCTGCTTTCGGCTCAGGTCATGATCCCAGGGTCCTGGGATCGAGCCCCGCATCCAGCTCTCTGCTCAGCAGGGAGCCTGCTTCCCCCTCTCTCTCTGCCTGCCTTTCTGCCTACCTGTGATCTCTGTCTGTCAAATAAAATCTTAAAAAAAAAAAAAAACCAGTTTAACTGAAAATAAATTTAAAAAATTTTTTAAGATTTTATTTTTATTTTTTAATTTTTAAGAAGATTTTATCTATTTACTTGACAGAGAAAAAGAGAGCAGCAGCAGAGGGAGAAGGAGAAGCAGACTCCACTGCTCAGCAGGGAGTCTGATGTGGGACTCGATCTCAGGACCCTGGGATCATGACCTGGGCCGAGAGACAGACGCTTAACCAACTGAGCCAGCCAGGTGCCCTAAAGATTTTATTTTTAAAGTAATCTCTACACCCAAATATGGGGCTTGAGCTCACAACACTGAAATCAAGAGCTGCATGTTCCACTGACAGCCAGCCAGGCGCCCCAATAATAATTTCTGAATTTCAAACCGAAGCACTTTCAAAAAGGTCCTGAAAGGGGATAGGAATTAGGTTTCTAGGACAGTACCCATTCTTGCCACTGCCAAGTTGTTTCATCATTGAGGTAAAAACGGTTTTTGGTTTGTTTGTTTTGTTTTTTAAAAGAGAGTGAAATATTAATGGCAGAAACATTAATGGTAGAATTATGATCTTAACAGAAGGAGGAAAAACACCATGGGGGTTCACACTGGCTAATTCACACTGGAGCTGGGCTCCTTCTCTTCCACTTTTTACATGTGAAAGAGCAGGTGTTCATTGGACAAGTGATGTGGTCTTCTCAACTCCTGGCTAAAGAGGGAGACATAAGGTAAACTGAGGCACAAAAGAAAAATCACTGTGGTGAAAGCTCTTAGGACAAGGGCTTAACTTTAAGGGAAGTTGGGCAAAAAAACACAAGACAAATGCTTTTTACAAATGCTTTTAACTGGCTAGACATTCCCTCTCCCTATACCAGTTTCCCTTTCTGCCTTTAAAAACGAAAATAGAAACAGTGTAACTAGCTTCTCTTATTACAAAGAGACCTTAGACAAACCAGGATGTTGGTCTGGGTTTGTGAGAGAAGGCCAAGGGTGTGTCAACAGGGCACCATGGACTTTAGCAGAAGAAAAGGACTGGGCATTTCATTCTACAAAAGAAGAACCCCCTTTAAAAAGTATTTAAGGAGCGCCTGGGTGGCTCAGCGGGTTAAATCCTCTGCTTTCGGCTCGGGTCATGAACCCAGGGTCCTGGGACGGAGCCCCACATTGGGCTCTCTGCTCTGAAGGGAGTCTGCTTCCTCCTTTCTCTCTGCCTGCCTCTCTGCCTACTTGTGATCTCTGTCTGTCAAAAAAAAAAAAAAAAAAAAAAATATATATATATATATATATATGTATATATATATTTAAAAAGGGGCGCCTGGGTGGCTCAGTGGGTTGAGCCCCTGCCTTCGGCTCAGGTTATGATCTCAGGGTCCTGGGATCGAGCCCTGCATCGGGCACTTTGCTCACTGGGGAGCCTGCTTCCCCCTCTCTCTCTGCCTGCTGCTCTGCCTACCTGTGATCTCTCTCTCTCTGTTAAATAAATAAATAAAAATCTTAAAAAAAAAAAAAAAAACCGCTAAATTTCTGAAACTCTACCATTCAGATGCCAACATCCATGGGAGGCGAGAGTGAAACAAGTCCGACTACATAGATAGAAGAACAAGGTTTCTATGCAAACAAAAGGCTAAAGGGATGAAGAGTTCATGTTGCTAAGTTAAAACTGGTCCAGGAATCACCACCATCTCAGAAAAAAAAAAAAAAAGAAGACTCAGAATAGTGATCATGGAAACTAACCAAAACATTACCTCCATGAAGGCTACTAGCACCCGAAGACATAAAAGATGTCTCTATGTTTGCTGGGGGTGGGGACGTGGGGGAGGCAGCAAAAGAGAAAATGTCCTTTGAGATTTCCCCTATAGGCAGCACGGTTCTGACTGATGAAGGTGAAGAGGAAGGAGGAACAATCCGCTCTCTCCCCAGTCATTTCTTCCTTTAGCATTTATCCAAATTCCAGGGATACAGGACAGTATTTCATAAATGGGATCAAACTCATTATAGTCTGGAGAAAGCTGTGAATCTACTCTTGAGAAAAATACAAATGTATGCAAATTACAGAGTTCATGGAGCCTGAAGAGCCCTAGGAATGCCTGATCCCAGGCTACAAATGTGTCCAACAGAATGGCTAGTCCAAAGGACCCTGCCGTAGACCCCCCATCACCATGGAATGCAGGACTCATGATTTTGCCTTAAGTCAAGTCTCACAGAACCTGCTATCCCCAAAAGGTTTTCCAGAAGTTTGGATGACATAATATATGGTTTTATAGCCGTGTATAGCCTGTTCTAATTCTCTAATATACAGCCTGATCTGAATAAGAAATCTTAGGCAGGTTTTGGAGGACAAAGCAATTTCAACAAGACCATAGTCTAAACCAAAAGGAACAAGAAATAAACACTTTCCCACTATTCTGAAATTTGAAATGATTCAAGAGTTTTTCAGGTCATTTACCTTGGAGATGTGGTTCATTCAGTGAGTTGTCGATGATTTTTTAATAGGATTCACTAGTACATTTCTAAGAATGTGAACCACACTACATAACACCTATGCCTATTAAACCAAACAGCAGTTTAGCAAACATCATTGACCCTCTCCCAAAATAGCAAAGAATGATGAATTATAACCTACCATGCCTTTCTGAGTTTCTTTTGAAATGCTTGGACATGAGACCTCCCCTTATAATGAGGCATCATTTTTTTTTTTTAAGATTATTTATTTATTTATTTGACAGAGAGATCACAAGTAGACAGAGAGGCAGTCAGAGAGAGAGAGAGGGAAGCAGGCTCCCTGCTGAGCAGAGAGCCGGATGCGGGGCTCGATCCCAGGACTCTGAGATCATGACCTGAGCCGAAGGCAGCGGCTTAACCCACTGAGCCACCCAGGCGCCCCTCATTTTTTTTTTTAATTAGGGAAAAGAAATCTTGGTTCTTACAATATATCAAGAAAGTGGTTTTTTTTTTTTTAAGTTATATACTCAGCGTTGTAATTAGCCACTTTTCAAAGAATTACAATAAATTCCCATGCTTTAATGAGCCATAAAGAAACTTCTACGGTTTTCCATTTGTATATGGCTTTAATTTTATAGTCCCCTCACAAAATAACTTCTACTAAGAAAGTAAGTTACAAAGCTCTCTGTATGGCCAGAAGAACAAAATAAGCAATATAGTCTAAGACAAAGGAAGGCAATCCACAGCAAGGAAAAACAGATGCAAATATTTATACTGAAATAGAGTATTAGAAGAGAAACCTCATTAACACAATATTAACTTATTTATAAAATCATTATCACAATTTTAAAGTAGGGTTTTTGGTCTGAGGTGTTTTTTGTTTGTTTTAATTGAAATGCTGGATAATTTTCAACTGGTTGACTCAGAGTCCATTTGTTTTTAACTCCCAAATGTTATAATTTGGGAAGTGTTAGTATTTACATTTCTCTTAGCTGTGTATGTCATTTATTAATCAAAAAGATCCCCTCTTGAACAGTTTTATTTAATAGGCCTCCTTGAATTTTTCTTTTTTTTAAGTAATCTCTACACCCAGTGTGGGAATTGAACTCATAACCCCGAGATCAAGAGTTGCATGCTCTACTGACTGAGCCAGCCAGGGACCCTTTAATAGGCCTACTTGCTTTTAAATGTCAAGGATATTTCATGAAAGACTTCTTTTGTTTTTGGTTTCTAAAAGAGAACTTAATGTTCTTGGGAGACTGCACCACTTGTATCTCATCTCTGTACCTTCTGTCCTGGCTAAATGCCTGGCACTGGATAGGTACTCATAAACAGGAGTTAAGTTTTGTTGTTGACTTCAGTAGTAAGTTTTAAATTCTCTCATCTCATGTTATACCCATATTTCTGACTAACAAGAAGATCCACGTGTTTTATTTCTTTAGGCAAATAAATTATTTTTAAGTATTTGTAAAACAGTTTTACTTTTCCTCTGTGTACTTTACACTCTTACACGGAAGGCACAGTTTTCTGGTAATCAACGTAAAGAACTTCAGTCACCCTTACTCTCAAATTCCACTTTCTATATTAGCTGTTTCCTAGGCATCCCCTCTGGAAATGAAAAATGACAGGTTTGCCCTTTTTCGATTATTAAAATAAGTTCTCGCCCCTAACTCAAGTTGACAGAAACAGGGAAGAGTGCAAAGTAGGTATAAACCCTTTCCTTACTGGTGTTGTGAAATAGCCCATCAATGCCTATTCTTTATATCACCTTTAGGACCAAAACCAGGTCCTTCCAGTCTCTGGGAGCACAGCTGACTTTGGTAGGACTACTGTTCCTCTCTGCCTCTCCCACACAAAACTGAAGGCCTGTTTTCAGAGGTCACTGAATTAAAAGAAAGTGGCTACCAGTTTTCCTTAGAAGCAAACGCAACCCTCTATTTGTAGATGTGCCAGAGGGGACAGGGCCACATCATCACCCCTGGGACCTTGGTAACAAAGCAGCTTTTACAATTAGAAGAATATAAGGTCCTTGGGAGGGATAAATGATTTGTATCTGGAGGGGCAGCAAGCTGAGTGTCCAAAAGAGGCCATCTACAGGCCTATATAGAAGAGTCAAGAATCTGTAACAGGAAGTGCCTGCTAAATAATAACAAATGACCGGAAATGAGATGAGGTCAAACCTTCTGAAAGGTCAGACAATGTTTTAAGCACGTTACAAATGAAGAGCATCCTTGGGAACCTTGATTATATTCTGGTGTGGTGTGTGTGTGCATGCTGGGTAGGGGGAGAGGAGGGAGCACAGCTGTGAAAGATATTCTTAGAGGGGCGCCTGGGTGGCTCAGTGGGTTAAGCCTCTGCTTTCGGCTCAGGTCGTGGTCTTAGGGTCCTCTGCTCAGCAGGGATCCTGCTTCCTCCTCTCTCTCTGCCTGCCTCTCTGCCTACTTGTGATCTCTCTCTGTCAAAGAAAGAAAGACAAGAAAGACAAGAAAGACAGAAAGACAGAAAGAAAGGAAGAAAGAAAGAAAGATATTCTTAGAACTGGGGAAATGTGAATATAGCTTATGGATGCTGTTGGTGTTTTACGCAATAACACTTCATCTTACCTTATACCCCGACTCCCACTGGCTGCTAGTGGCTCACTATATTTCCTCCTCTTTCAGCCTGTTCCCACAGGAAGCTTCTCTCCCACCTTAAGGCAGAAGGACTTGGACCCCATGTCAGTCAGTCATTGGCTATAGGCTACAGAAAAGAGCAAGATGGCCTAGGACAATTCTCTGAAATATTTTGGGGGTAAAGTTTTATATTATCTGCAACTTTTATTTTACTTTAAGATTTTACTTATTTATTTGTCAGAGAGCGACACAGCACAAGCAGGGGCAGTGGCAGGTAGAGGGAGACGCAGGCAAGGAGCTGGATGCAGGGCCCTGGGATCCATGACCTGAGCCGAAGGCAGACACTTAACCAACTAACCCAGCCAGGTGTCCCTATCTGCAACTTTTAAATAGTATGGTTGAAACACACCACACACATACACACACAAAGTAAGACTGCAAAACAAAATGAGTGTCAGATCTAGGTAGATGCTTTAAGAGTGTTTCTCGTGTTAGTTTCAATTTTTCTGAAGGTTTGAAATTTTTATGAAAATTTGAAGGGGGAAAAAAAAGGAGAGTGTGTCAACCCTAAACTTGCTCCTGTTGTGGGTTACCAGCCCCTGATACTGACTTCCAGATCTGACCAGCGGTCTAAAAAAAAAAAAAAAAAAACCTGCCAATCATCCTGAATGCATATTTTCCCTCCTTTTCCACCCAAGGTTGGTCACTAGATCATGCCAATTCAACTCCCAAAACAGATTCATCATTCTAAACTGCAATTATAATTACATTTTTCCCCTCAAATTCTTTCATTGTTTCTTCATTGTCTCCACTAAGATAAACTTCTAACTCCCCGACATGGTACATATAACACCCTTATCACATTGCCCTTGGCTTACCTCTTTAGCTATATCTCCTACCACTTGTAACCACACTGTGTGTATCACCTACTCTGCACAACTTAGGAATTCCTTGAATATGTCAGGACTGTCCCTATCCTTTGAATCTAGGCATATTATGCGAGGATGCCTTTATCCCCTTTCTGTTACTCTGGCAAATTCCTTTTTTAAAAAGTAATCTTCTGAGTCATTTTATTTGTTTTTTATTTTTATTTTTAATTTTTTGCGTGTGTCCCAAGATTCATTGTTTATGCACCACACCCAGTGCTCCATGCAATACATGTCCTCCTTAATACCACCACCAGGCTCACCCAACCCCCAGCCCCCTCCCCTTCAAAACCCTCAGTTTGTTTCTCAGAGTCCACAGTCTCTCATGGATTTGTCTGTTTTTGAAAAAGTAATCTCCATCTTGATGAAGTCCCAATAGTTTATTTTTACTTTTGTTTCCCTTGCCTCTGGAAACATGTCTAGTAAGAAGATGCAGTGACTGAGGTCAAAGACGTTGCTGCCTGTGTTCTCCTCTAAGATTCTGAGGGGATTCCTGTCTCAAATTTACATCTTTCATCCATTGTGAGTGTATTTTGAATGTATGGTGTAAGAAAGGGGTCCAGTTTCATTTTTCTGCATGTTGCTGTCCAGTTTTCTCAATACCATTATGCCCAACATGGGCAACTCAGTACTGACTGAGACAATGAGGCGCTCCTATGCTGGCAAATTCCTACTCACACTTTTAAGATCGAATTCAAATTTTACCCCCTCTGGGCAGGCTTGCCTGAACTCTCCAGGCAGAGTTAAGTGGTCCGTTTTTGTATTCCTACAGCAACCTCTTACATAGCTCTCTTATAACAACTGCTACTAATCGTTGTTACCACGCTGATCTTTTCTCTCATAGAAGTGAGACTTGGGAAGACAGGGACTGGACTATTCCCATTTGTATCCTGGGCATTCTGCACAATGCTTGCCATTGTATATAATAAATATCTGATGAATAGCCAGCTTTTTATTTTTTTTTTTAAGCATGATGTACTTACTACAGCTGGTGAGGGGACGTGGATGCTGGGGACAGATCGAGGCCGCACGTGATTGGCCAAGTGGCAAAGAACAACACCATCGGTTAGAGCTGCTCCAAGGTCACAAGGCAGTGATACTTTCAGCCGGTACTCGATATGCTAAAAAAACAGGAGAATGTGTAACATGTTAACTGAAGAGTGGCTGACACAGAGGACATAATGGAGTTACAGTGAAATATATTTAATTAGGAATCAAGATAAGAAGCAAATAACTTAAGTACCACAATCCCTATTTTATCCTTCTATGTTAAGTCAGTAACTTAAGAAGGAGATCTAATACATATATATGGCAGCCAGGCCACAGTATGGGCAAAATACAGGAGAAATTCATTTACAATTTTCTGTAATTACAATTAAAAGTACAACAGAACTAGATTTTCTTTCAATTCCAAAATAAAACAAACACTACAGTGATGTTATATGTATGCGTACTTGTGTTGTCCATACACACAAATTATTATTACTCTTAAAAAATGTCCTTACATGAGGCAGAAAAAACTTTTAAATGAGTAGGGCCACGAATTGAGCTTTATAGAATAACTCATCTCATCTTCCTAGTAAAAGCTGAAAAGAATATCCTTCATAGCAAAATCTCTTTTACGTTTATCAAACAATGGCCAACACAGTACACAACAGGCACTTATTGATTCTATTAAAAATTGTAAGCCAGCGAACAGGTGATTGCAGGGTTATGGGCTCTAGCAATAACACTGCACAAGTGTAACTGAAAGGTAAGGTACACACTTTTCGAAGTTGATCTATTAATTCCAGTTCTTCTTCTCTCTGTCTTGAATTCGGTCTCATTATGGGATCTGCAGAGTCAGTGGTAGGAGCAGAAGATGAAAGAAGGGGTGAAGCATGACCTAAAAAAATATGAATATGTAAGACAGAACGGCAATTGCTAGTGATGGAAAGATACTTAGATCCACACGGTCTCAGGTTCCGCACAAGTACAGCGATTCCCACTTCTGGGCTCTTAAAAAAGTTTTTGTAATGAAAGGTTTCAAATATACATAATAACAGGGAGAAAACTGTGTTAAAAATTACCAAATGTCCATTACCCATTTAGTTCAACTACTTTTGTCTGATTAAAATGTTTTTTTTTTTTTTAAAAGATTTTATTTATTTATTTGACAGAGAGAGATCACAAGCAGGCAGAGAGGCAGGCAGACAGAGAGGAGGAAGCAGGCTCCCCGCTGAGCAGAGAGCCCGATGCGGGGCTCGATCCCAGGACCCCAAGATCATGACCTGAGCCGAAGGCAGCAGCTTAATCCACTGAGCCACCCAGGCGCCCCTGATTAAAATGTTTTTATTGAAAAATAACACAGAGACAATTATGCAAATCATTAGCAAACAGCTCAATAAATTATTATCACAAAGTGGACACAATCAGGTCAATAAATGAAACATTACCAACACCCAGAAGTCCCTCTCATGCTCCCTGCCCATCAGTACCTAAAGGTTACTTCTAATGACACAGGCTTTAACCATGTCCTTGACTTGTAATACCAGGATTAGTTTTGAGCTTTCTATAAATGAAGCTATAGTGTATATATGTATGGTTTCTGTGCTTGGCTTCATCTGACTGACAATGTTTATAAGGTTTATCCATGTTGCTGTATACATTAATCTGTTCACTTTTATGGCTTACATGGTATCCCATTATACAGATATGCCACAATTATTCATCCACTGTATCATTAATGGACATTCTGTTTGGGGCTATTATGAATGACGTTGTTATAAATATTTTTGTACCTATCTTCTGGTAAACATGTTTACATTTTTCAGAAAGCAAAACTACTGGTCACAGGATATACAAATGTCAACATTATTAGATAACGTAAATAGTTTTCCATACTAATTTACAATCCCACATGCAGTGCAACTCTGGTTTGATTACAAATCTCACTGTTAGGGCACCTATCAGTTACACCAAAAGCAGTTATTTTTCTTTTCTTTTCTTTTTTTTAAAGATTTTATTTATTTGTCAGAGTGAGCACAGGCAGACAGAGTGGCAGGCAGAGGCAGATGGAGAAGCAGGCTCCCGCTGAGCAAGGAGCCCGATGTGGGACTCGATCCCAGGACGCTGGGATCATGACCTGAGCCTAAGGCAGTGGCTTAACCAACTGAGCCATCCAGGTGTCCCATCTTTTTTTTTTTTTAAAGATTTTATTTATTTATTTGAGAGAGAATGAGTGAGAGAGAGCATGAGAGAGGAGAAGGTCAGAGGGAGAAGCAGACTCCCCAAAGAGCTGGGAGCCCGATGCGGGACTCAATCCTGGAAGTCCGGGATCATGACCTGAGCCGAAGGGAGTCGCTCAACCAACTGAGGCACCCTGGCGCCCAAAAGTAGTTATTTTTGACTTGAAATGTTTGTTCCTACTTCCAGGTAACCTCTTTGGAGGCCAGGCAGATGTATGTCATATTAACTAAAAAACATTAGACTAAGTAGATTTAAAAGAAGAATTACTTGGGCACCTTAGTGGCTCATTCAGCTAAGCATCTGCCTTCGGCTCAGGTCATGATCTCAGGGTCCTGGGATCGAGCCCCATGTCAGGCTCCCCTCTGAGCAGGGAGTCTGCTTGTCTCTCTCCCTCCCCTGTCCCTGCTCGTGATCTCTCTCTCAAAAAACAAATGAATAAAGTCTTAAAAAAAAAGTACTGATTCATTTCTTTAAGAACAGATAAAACAGCTTTTATCACCAGAAAAATCTGAAAAGGAGCTCATTACAGAAAAGAGGAACATTCTCTAAAGCCCTGAAAGAGTATTTAATTTTTTTCAAACCTATAATCTCCTTTGGGTGTTACCAAGAAACTAGTTAAATTCAAACAAGATTCTCCTGCTTTAATGTTAGTGAGATCACAGACAAATGCAGAGTTTAAAGCTTTTGCCAAAGTGACATCTCACAGTAAAAGTTGAAAAGCATATAATAGTTAATGTTATTATATAAAGCCCCCCCGCCCTCACTCTGTAGTCACTGTGACCTACCTTTATTTGCTTCTGCCCTGACAGCTGCTCGGAAAAGGAAGCTTTCAGGGCGCTGGGCCTGGTTTCTCTGAATAGCAGCAGGAAAAGAATATGCAGGGGAATGATGAACTACATCAGCATGGAAAAGCAAAATAAGATTAAAGGGGATGGAAAAAAAATAAATATAACAACAGACACACGTCACAGAAGTTCAATAAATGGTACAAAGATCGAATCAAACCTAGTAATGAAATAAGATGGTAATTTTGTTTATTAATACAAAATCCGGTACAGAAAAGTAACCTTGAAATCAGGAAGGCTGCTTGTATATATATTTAACTGTCATGTTATTTTTGCTATATCAATCAAGGCAGAATGAATGTTACGATATTGAACAGATTCTCTTGTTCCGAGCAATAGCCCTGCTAGCTCATGCTCATACATTCATATCATATGGCTGAGTAGTTAAACAACCAGTTGAATTAAAAACTGGAAAATGTGTAGGGAAGTTCCCAATTTGGGGTCTGGTTTCTCCTCTCAGAAAAGGAAGCCACAGCTAGCTAAGAGGTAATTTATCAAGAAAGTCTTGGTAAAGAATTATTCTTCATGTGGCTAACTGTACCTTTGTGTCTATTACCTGTTTCTGTTGTAGGTGAACTTGTTATGGCATTAGATCTGTCATCATTCTGTGGAGAAACAGAGATATGCCAATAATTATTATTCAAGAGAGGGTACTTTCCACATTTATGATTACCTGGAATAAAAGAAAAACATGCAATTTTCCTTCAAAATTAAGTCTAGAAATGAGAATCTGGTGTAAAGATTTTAAAATCTAAGTGACTTGTATTCTAGGATATGGACATAATTAGTTCAAATCACTTCAAGCCCATGAACTATATTTGAGAACTCTTGGAGAACTGGACCAAAAAACAGAAATTGGCAGAAACTCGACTTTTACTTGTCTGGTTAAGCAATAAAGAAATAAACCCATGCCTAGATATTTACCTGCTGTAAAGTAACTGGGATACAAAAAAAAAAGTCTTTTCAAACTAACCATTTACACTGCAGCAGGTCTTGACAGACAGAAAGGTAGACTTAACATACAATGGCTGGCACATTCAGATTGGGCCTCTTTCAACTATGATTCTGGGTGAGAATAAGCACGAGGTATCCATGGAGTGTAATGAATTAGCTTCTCTCCTATACATCTCCTATACTAGTTATACACCTTCCTTGAGAGAATTTTGAGAAGAATCCCTCAATTTTCCGTGTTGTTATTCAAAAAGGAACCTAGCTGAGAAAGTCTAGCACAGGGTCAACATCGAAGAAAATTCTAAAGTTTCTTCCGAAGCCCTCCAGGTAGGTGGAGCATTTTCAATAACAACTAGAGAGAAGGCTTCTCAGGTTTACAGATGTTATAAAGTCGGGGCCAGCATTTAGAAGGACATGATGCAAGAATGTGAAAGTATTCTGCTAAATCAGAGAAGTAAAAATGTTCAAAAAGCAAAATTAAGTATTTAGAAAAACAAGGTACAAGATATGGGAGTTAATGATCATTTGGGAATGTAACGGAAACATGAGAATTACAGTGGATACTGAACAAAATGAGAAGAGCCCACCTAATGCTCAGAGTAAGACATGAAAAACCTTGTTTCATGCTCAGCACCACGTGAGCTCGAGTGAAGGATATGTTTCTGGTTGGGGACTGTGGAGCCAAAATGGAAGGCGGAGAACTTGAGAAAGCTCAAAAGGATTAAGAGACTGAGAAAGGCACATAAAATAACTAGAACTTCTGTAGTGAGAAGACAAGGGCAGCATTGTAATAGTTTTCAAATATAACGATTCTTACATAAAGAATGCTAAATGACTAGAAAATCTCCACACTGGAAAGAAAAGAAGAAATAAGTGTATACCACAGGGAGGCAGACCTACTAAGTCAGACAAGGTGAGAACTTTCTAACAGTGAAGATTATCAATAATTTCTTCTGTATCATATGATAACAAATGTGGAATTACCATTCCTAGAGGTCTTCAAGAAATAAACCACCACAAGCTCTTTATATAGGCTTGCAGGCCCTATTCCAGCTCTGCTAGTAAGCTTGAAAGCAACCACAGACCACACATGAACAAATGGGAGTGGCTGTGCCAATAAAACTCTTTACATAAACAGGTGGCCCACGGGCCATAGCTTGTTGACTTCTACTACATGAGGTTTTGAGCGGTGACACTTTTGGGGACTGGGACTGAAATTATTTTGCATACACATCAGACAACCAAGTTAAGTTCACATTATTTATCAGCCAAAGTAAAATAACTCATGACAAAAAAATAACCTCTGATAGAAAAATCAGAGTGACATTTCAAACAGAATCTCAATATAAAGAATGACTGCAGGCTCTGTGAGTGTATCTAGTACAGTAAATCTTTCAAAAATTTCAAGTGGAATTAATGTTAAATTCACAAACAGTTTCATAAGCTTACAGATATTTCATGCATTCCTATATTTTATATTGCCATTGGACCAATCTGTTGGAAAACTTAAGACCTCTCATGCACAGCCCCTCCCCAAAGTTCCTGGTGCATTACAGGAACAAGAGATACCTTGATAGGCATGAAGGCAGAAGAATGAGGCAGGGCAGCAGCACAGCCCACTTGATTCAACCCTGACAGCGACTAAATTTTAAAAGAGAAAGAGAAGAAAAAGAAGGCAGCATTTATGTTAGAAAACATCAGGCAGGCAGGGCAGATCTGGTCAATGAAATTAGAAAAGGAAAGGTCATTTGTAAACTTACAAATAGTTTACTAAGATTTTGATAAGGCAGAAAGAATATTTTGGGGGGAAAAATCCATAACTTATAAAATGGTTTTCCCTGTTGTATAATTTAAACTATTTCAGTACTTTATAACACATGAATCAAGATATGAAAGGACTTTGGGCTGTTGGCTTACAGGAGGCCAAGGTGCACTCTTTTCAGTCATCTTGAATCTGGGTTCATCCAATACCAGCTGCCTCTACCATGCTGCCTAAGCTCAACCTCAAGGACCTCATACCTGAGGTACACCACTGGGGAAGTCAGTGCCCCACCTGCCCTGGCCCCCAAGGGCAGCCCTCTGGGTCTGTCTCCAAAAAAAGGTTGGTGATGAAAATGCCAAGGCAACCAGTGACTGGAAGGATCTGAGGATTATAGCACAACCGACCAACTGGCCATTCAGCATGGACAGGCTGAGATTGAAGTGGCACCTTCTGCCTCTGTCCTGATTATTAAATCCCTCAAGGAACCATCAAGAGACAGAAACAAGCAGAGTAACAAAAAGCACAGTGGGTATCATTTTCAATGAGATTGTCAATACTGCCTAACCGATGTGGCACTGATCTTTAGCCACAGAATTCTCTGGAGCCATTAATGAAATCCTGGGGACTGCTTAGTCTCTGGGAGGCAATGTTGATGGCCACCGCCCTCAGGACATCATAGATGACATTAACAGTGGTGCAGCAAAATGCCCGGCTAGTTAATAACCACAAAGGAAAATATTTTCATAAATAATTATGTGACAACCAACCCCCCCACAAAAAAACCCCCCAAAACCAGGCATGATTTATTAAAAGTGGTTTTATGCAGAACTAAAACTGAGAACATCAAAATTTTTGAGCATAGTCACCTTAGAAACTGAACTATTAAGTCCTGTGTTCTTCCTATGATGGGGAAACAAATCCAGTCAAAGAGCTCATTTTAACTGAGCATAACTGGCATGAGTAAGAACAATATTTTTTCAATGTTAATCCAAATTACATATATTATAATTCAATGTAACAGTTCTGATGTGAGAAAATAGGATACGAGGATTCTGTGTCACACCTTAAGGATGAATTTCATTTCTGCCTCTGTGTCCAAACGACCTATAAGAGGGTGAGTGGAATTTTCTTTCTCTTTGAATCCTTTATTTCTTCACCAACCTACATACAACCAGCAATATTCGCTATATCTATTAGGTAAATTAGAGGTATAATTAGAGACAATGTTATTAGAATCTACTGTACAGAATTTTGATTACAGATAAAACTGCTCAAAATGTGACAGTTTTTTAATCTGGCAAAGAGCAGAAATCAAAGAAGACAGCATTGTAAAGAATGGGCATTGGTAAGACCGTACCTATTAAAACAACAAAATGCCAAAGGCTTAAATATATTAAACCTTTTATAAGTTAAATAACTTTGAAATATGTAAACTAGGATCACATATATGTGAATCATGGAATAAATCAACTTAAACATGTGGATGTTTAGAAAAAGGTATGTAGATTATCAATAGAATAGAATTATTTTTAAAGACAGTTGATAGCAAGGTTTCTTTCGTGGAAGGTGGGCAAAAAACAGGAAGAAAGAAAGAAAGAGAAAGAAAGAAAAGTAACACTGCAGCCTAATCTATCTTAAGGCAGAGAAAAATGAAGGAAATGTACCAAAGAACAGGACTTAAAACAGTTAACACTGTGTATGCTTCACCTCTTCAATTTTCTGGGCCTCTTTATAATCAAATGTACTGGGATTACTGTCCCAGTAATCTCAATTTCAAACATGAAAAGGCTAAAAGCCACTTCATTTGTCAGAGGACAAAAGGAGTGGAGGGAAGAGGAAGTGAAATGAGCCTAGGATAGTCTCTAGTTTCTGAGATGAGGCATAGATGCAGATGGGATAGAGACTAAAGCAACAGACGCCTGAAGGGCAGCCCTAAGAGAAGGTTTATGTCATGGATATTAAACACCACTGATAGTTATTTCAAATCCTATACTTCAAGGTCTTTAAATCAAATTTAACATTTACACCTTGCTGTTATCATCAGACCTTTTCATCATGAAACAATTTAATGAGTGATTATTACATAGCATTTATGTGTTCACTGAGGAAATATTTATTGAGCACTTAACACATCCCAAGGACAATGATAGGGACTGAGTATACACAGGGAACTGCAACAGAGAACATCCCTGTGCCCAGGAAGCTTATAGCCTGTAGTCTAGGAGGGAAGAGATATAAAACAATAAACGCCCACCTAAAAGTACAAGGATGAGAAAAATGACAGTGGCGGTTTGGGGGTTGTAGGTTGCAGAAAAACCGTTTTAAAGGTGTGACATTTAAGCTGATACCTGACAAACGAGTAGGAATTACCCAATGGATCTATGCAGGGAGGGAGATGCAGTCCATGCTGAGGGAAACTGCATCTGCCAAAGGTTGTGAGGTAGAAATGGGCTGGCCTTATCTGAAAAGCTGAAAAAATGCTGGTATAGCATGAGCCTAGAGAGATGAGACGGAGTGTGCAGGAACTTGTAGGCCATGTTAAGAAGTTAGGACTTCAGGGGCGCCTGGGTGGCTCAGTTGGTTAAGCGACTGCCTTCAGCTCAGGTCATGATCCTGGAGTCCCTGGATCGAGTCCCACATCAGGCTCCCAGCTCCACGGGGAGTCTGCTTCTCCCTCTGACCTTCTCCTCGCTCATGCTCTCTCTCACTGTCTCTCTCTTCTCTCAAATAAATAAATAAAAAAAAAATGTTTAAAAAAAAAAAAAAAAAAAAGAAGTTAGGACTTGGGGTGCCTGGGTGGCTCAGTCGGTTAACTGTCCAGCTCTTGATTTCAGCTCACATCATGATCTCAGGGTCACAAGATTGAGCCCTGAGTTGAGGCCCAAGTTGGGCTCCATGCTAGTAGAGTCAGCTTAAGATTCTCTCTCCCTCACCCTCTGTCCCTCCCCAACTCCCTCTCTAAAAAAAAGAAAAAGTTAGGACTTAATTCTATCATATAAAGCCATCAAAGAGTAGTCTTGAGAAAATCAGAGGTATGCTTTGAAAAACTCTTTTTTGCATAGCGTTGGCCATTATTTGGCATACAAAAGTACATGAGATGTGGTGCTTGCTTTTCAAGGCCATCTCATTTAGGTCAAACAAGAATACTGATGAGAAAAATACAAGTGTGTGTGGTCTATAAATGGCTAAAATCCATTTTAAATTTCACACTGAGGGAATTCAGGTGCTTTTCCAAGTTCTACTTTTTCCTCGACAAAGAAGCTTAGGCACTCAGAATTCTATCACTTCCTATATGTATTATTAAATCTCACCTCAGTCTCCTAAGTTGTTTTCAATTACAGTATGAGAGGCAATACACCATGGTGTTTAATGCAGGTTCTCAAGATTTGAACCCAGTCTTGCACTTACTTACTTAAGCGATGTGACCCTGGACAAATTGCATTCTGGACAAAACATTCTGTGCCTCAGTAACAGTTTGTAAAATGTGACAGGTTTAACCTTCCCTGTTAAGACTGCTGTGAGGAGTAAAAGATAAATTCCGGTAGTGTCTCTCAATATTTTTCTGCATTAATTTAAGTTACTTGCTTCTCATGACCATAATTTCCACTAAAACTCCAGAGGGTGGTGGTTTTATTTCGCTCTAAGACTGCCCAGTTAAAATGTGCTTTATCCATCTCAAAGGAACTTATCATTGCAGAACACACAGAAACACTGACAATGGAAGTCTATGTGAGAAGATGCTCACACCCTAGTCTGCAGCCCATGCAGCGGTGCGCACAATGGCAGCACGTACCAGCACAGAAGCCAGGAATCCCTACACACACTGCACTTTTGAACTGCTAGTTTTCAACATACTGTAAAAAATACCATAAAACATGATGGGGAAAGCAGTTTTGTAAATGTTAGGATTCTCTTGCAAGGCTGATAAAACTTTCTAAGATCTTCAAATACAGCTCTTATGTTATACTCATTTTCAGCTGTTGAAAGGCACTAAAAGTAAACCAGTGTTAAAAATGATCAGTAGGTAACATTCCAAGTTAATGTTTTCCCAGAATTTAAAAAAGAGGCATGGAGGGATAATCCTGAGATGTAAGTTTGGGGTTTTCAGTAGCTTAAAATAGATAATAAAATAGCACGGCAAATACACAGTTGTGTAATTAGTCATGGAGTAAGTTAATCACTTGACACACAGGTGATTCACCAACCAAATTAATGATTAATAAAGTAAATGCACCTGGAATTAGAAATGACATTCATAAAACAAATTATACCCCCTCCTCCTAACCCACACACAAAGCCAACAAGGATCCCAACGTGAACATTTTACTTTTGGAAACACTAACAAAGGTATCTGAATCAGAGAGGCAGATTGCTGAAACACTGGGTAAATCATGATCAGTAATGTAGGAAACTGTTCTATCTATTTGTAAAGCATTTAGTAATGATGCTCATCATGTTTTATGATATTTAGATACTTTCTGAATGAGAAGTAAAATGACTGTTCTCCAATCTCTAGACACAGCAACATATAACTCCATTTCGTGCAAGGCTCTTACCACTAACAAGGCACTATCATCAGTGTGCTGAGACCTTCTGGATGGGAAGGGACACTGGAGAGGTGGAGAGAAATGGAGCAATGTCAAAAACAAACTATGCACACACATGACATATTTCACAAATACACAAGCAAAGAGATATATTAAGACACACTGAAGATGCTAACATATGGGATCACATTCACGATCATTTTGAATTCATGTATCCTAACAGCTAATAAACTGATTCTGAATCATGATTCTCTTCTAAAGAGCTTAAACAATTTCAAATATGATCTTATTGCTTAAAAACTGACTAAAGCAAGGAGGGAACAGGGATTATTCTCTATTCACAGAAGAGAAAGCTGAAATATAGTTGTAGCAGTAACAAAGAATTAGTAGTCATTTAGTCAGTCAGTAACAAAAACAATAAACCCAAGAGTCATGAGTTCTAGTCTATGCATCTCTTCATTATTTTTCTCAGACAAAGCAAGAGTACACCTGGAAAACTTAAAAACTGTACCTTATTTTCCGGAGAAGTTTAAATTTTTAAATAATGACTTTACTCCAGAATGACCATTAAGAAGGAAATTTGGGGGTAAAAAGAGAAGACGGTATTAACTTTGTCTGTGAAAGGTTTGTACCTTTATTATTACCTTGTGAAGAAAAGACTACTGAAAAAGCTGAGTTACTCTTTCAGGTATTATACCAATGGCTAAGTTCTGAGATAACCAGAAATAGTGACTATATGTCCACTGAGATAAAGAAAAAAAAAAAAAACCTTTATAATGGATAATTAAAAACATTTCAAACAATGCATTTTACAATTCCAGTAACACCTGTGCTTTAAAAACCTCTGTGCTGAAACTTGTAAAGCCCCTTGTTAGGTTTTTAAGTAATTTACTTTATAGAAAGCAGATTCAAAAGTCATATTAAACAATGCCTTTATGCATTTTTAAGGGAGCAGTGATCATAAACTGAAAAAAACAAGAAGGCAAAGAGAGAGAAAAATGGCTTTTAATAAAAAAGCCAACTACAATAAAATATTCAGTAAGTATCATTTTAACAGATCAAAACAGGTACATTTTTAAAAGGTTAAGCAATTTTACATGTTTACTTATAATGAAAATGTACTACTTAATATTATAAAACTGTGTATGCCATATAATCAATAACATACACACTCAGGAAGTGAGCCCTGGAGCTGAAATCTATGTAATATCTTTTACTTTTAATATCTTATGTAATATCAATACCAATAGCATTTATGCCTGTCACACACAGCTCTCAGGTCTCCCTCTCACTACACACTCTGCTTTGAAATGGATGAGGGAGATGATACTTCTGATGGGCATACGGGAAGGAAATAAATAATCTCCAGATGCATTAGTCTAGATTAAAAAACCCTGATCTATAGACTTGGATAAACTCCCTGGCCCATGTCACCTCCTCCCGAATAAGTAGAATTTTGTGAGGGGTAAGGAAAATGGGAATATTTTGACCACTGAGAACACATGATAATCACATACAGAACATTTCATTTCCATTGCAATAATAAAAAATTCCAAAGAAAAGGTGATTATATAGACTTACCTCACCATCTAAGGGGGGCTGTTGTTTTTGTGGACTTTGTGACGCTTTGTGCTACATACCCCCAAGCCCCCAAGAAAGGGAAGTTGGTTAAAATCTGGAACACTGGAAATGATAAATTCTATTTACCAAAATAATCACCCACATTAACTTCCGTATCTCTCACATGCAGCACTTTTCTAGATTTACTGGTTAGAAGATGCTGCCCTTTCCCTTAAACAGCTTATAATTTAAACGAGGAAGGCAATAAACTGACAGTATTTCATAGATCTATAAGCATCTATAAACAGAAATAGAAAAAGTATGTTTTTCATATGTACATGCACACACATGTTCACAACCAGAATGGTGATCTCTCACTCTATTCTCTCAATGAAACCATTCTTTCTTTGTCTAGTGTTAACACCTCTAGCTCTCTCCTTCAGCCAGTCTTCAGGTTTGCATTTTCAACAGCCTATGGATATTCTACTTGTAAACCCACTGTCATGTTATGTTCAACATGCTCAAAAACAAACCCAGTTTCCCATACTAACTGGCTCTTCCCCCAATTTGCTAATTTCTGTTACTATGTCAAATAATAATACTACATACCATATCTCTATAGTCACTGTTTTACAATGTATTCTTCTTTTTAAATTAACATATAATGTATTATTTGCCCCAGGGGTACAGGTCTGTGAATCATCAGGCTTACACACTTCACAGTATTCATTCTTATACACATTATCTTAAGTGATTCTTCTTACTCTCGGAGATAAATGAACACCATAATCATATTTATTCAAAGACAAAAGAATTGAGGACAAGAGAGGTTAAATGATATGTGCAAGATAAGTCACAAAGTTGGCAAGTAGCCTAACTGAGAATGCACCTACATCTTTTGACTCTGAATCCTATATTCTTTCCACAAAGCTAGCCTCCTATTCAAACTATTCTTTTAACTCAAAATCTTGCTTTGGGATCTTCTTTTTTTCATTCATCTTCAATGATTTATTCAACATTCACTACATTTATGTATAAAACATACAGATGCTCCTCTTCAAATCTCTCATTTATAGAATCCATTGTGGTGGTCAGGGGTGCGGCACTCACCACACTAGTAAAAGTTCTAGGTGCAACCATAGTAATTCTGAGTTAATATTTAACAATTAAATACTATACCTATGGGGAAATTAAAGGCACAGAACCATTCTTTCCCAAAGTCAAGCACATACTGAGTAGCTAAGCTGGATTCAAATTCAGATTATTTCTGAGGCTAAGCTCTTACCATTGTGTAACACTGCCTCTCTTTAGGAACCTCAGAAATCATGTGGTTCTACGCCTTCATTTTGCACCCTAATTATTGCCAATTACTCTCTATATTTCATTTACCTCATCTTTCTTTCTAACATATTCTAACTTAAGTAGATTAGTTTTTTGGAAGTATCTTTTCTCTTTTTCTCCTGTTTTAGAACTTCTAATTGTTCTCTTCTATCTAATAGATCAAGATCAAACACTAATTTAGCATTTAATCAAGACCATCTACAATGTGATTGTCTCTTACTAGCTATGTGGCTTCTAGAGAAGGCAAGCTAAGTGAATTAATTAATTAGAATACACAGAACAGTGCTTAGGATACAGTATGTGTCAGCTGTCATTATTTATGGACAGTCAGTATAGCATTGTGATCACAGATTATCTAGGGTTTGGAGCCACCCTTTTTCTTTTTTTTTATTTATTTTTTTTTTTTTAAAGATTTTATTTCTTTATTTGTCAGAGAGAGAGAGGGAGGGAGAGCAAGCACAGGCAGACAGAATGACAGGCAGAGGCAGAGGGAGAAGCAGGCTCCCTGATGAGCAAGGAGCCCGATGTGGGACTCGATCCCAGGACGCTGGGATCATGACCTGAGCTGAAGGCAGCTGCTTAACCAACTGAGCCACCCAGGCGTCCCTTCTTTTTTTTTTTAAAGAAGGTTTTCATTTTCTGCCAACCTTATTTCCATTTTCTGTTCAACCTGTCTTGATCAAAACAGTGCTCTGCCACTAACTAGCTGAGTATTTAACCTAGGCAAATTGTCATCCTCTCTGAGCATCAAAGATCATCCTGGGTTTGATACATTTGGAAAAAAATAAAAGAATTTTATCATGTGTATGGTACTTATACTATGTGTAAGTACTTATGGTACTTTCACTCATGTGTATGGTACTTACAAAGAGGGTCTTTGGCTAGAGTTATGAAACACAAGAGAGAAAGCTCTAGAGGCCAAGAGTGATTCATTCATTCACTCATTCCTTTAACAAATATTTACTGAGCTTTACTGTGGGCTAAGACCTGCTAAGATCTAGGAATGTAGCAGTGAATAAATAAGACAAACATGCCCCCTGTCTTCATGGGGGCTTACAGATAAATGGGAGAGACAGATCTCAAACAGACAAACAGAAAATGATGAGAAAAATCCAAGGTGATTTCTGAACAAAAAGACTTTAAGTGATACAGGCAAGAGAAAAAAAAGAAAAAAGAAAAGAAAAGAAACAACTATAGAGGCTGTAAATTAAAAAAAAAAAAAGAAGTATTAACAGGGGTTGTTGCCCAAATAGGTGCATAGAGAAAAGAAGGGAAAGCCTCAAAGATGACTCTGAAGTATTAAGCCTGTTAACCTCCAAAGGTTTGGTGCTCAGCAAAGGAAGTCAGAGACGGGCTTGGATAACAAGAGTTTACATGTGCATGGCACTTTACGGTTTATGTGGCACTTTCCTGTCTTATTGATCTTTATTAATGTACTAGAGATTGAGGAAGTGGCAGCTGGACAGCAAAGTGAGATGTCTAAAGACAGACTGCTAATGAAGAGGAAGAGACTACTGTCCCAAGAACAAGATGATCACTTCTCAGCCTACCTACAGGAGGACAATTCATCTAATCACAAGTAGGAGACAATTACACTACTTACTCAAGATTCCTTAGAGTGACATAAAAGGAAGCTGACACTTTAAGACAAACACTGATAGCCTCAGCAAAACAAATAAGCACTTACTTCTAAAACACTTTAGGAATTTCAATGAAATATGGCAAAAAATCTCACCTTGACAAAGTCCAGGACAGCATCTCTCTGGATCTGCTTGGTCCTTATTTTCTCCTCCTCATACTGTAGGGCAGCAAGCTGGGCCTCTCTCCGAGTTCGTTCTACTAACTGTTCTCTTCTCCGATGAAGTTCCAAGTCTGTATGTGATAACTGGAACAAAAGTATTTTGCACATGCAAGTGGGGATAAAGGTCCACTTGTCAACAATATTCCTAAGCAATTCAGGAAACTACTACTGTCCCAAACAATTTCTACTTTGCAGTCGCCTAGAATTTCTTTAAGTGTGTTTATTGCGCATCTTTTCCCATCTTTGCAACTGTGTTCTTGTATGTGCTATAAAGCCAGCATGTCAGTAAAGATTTACCTTCTGTCTGGTGTCTAAAAAACACTGCTAGCAAGCATTAGCTGCACATGTTGTAGTGACTGTATTTTGGAGGAGACAGGTACTGAAATTTACACATATCTGGCAATCAAGGGTAACTTAAGTGTTATAAAAATAGAAAATCATCTTAGTTTAAAAAAAAAAACAAAACTGAAATACAATTTTTTTTTTTTTTTTTTTTTACCTGATTGTGACATGGTGATAGTGACATGACAGAAGATGGCTCAACTGGAACCCTGACCCAAAAAAGGGGTGGGGGGGAGACAGAAAAAATTCTTTGATAAGATAGGCAGATATATAAAAGCTAAGTAAAATTTTATTGTTAATGTAGCATACTATTAATCAATAGGCAAACTGTCTGGTCAGCAATGAAAGACTGACTGCATTTTGTAAACCTGAGCCCAAGTCATTAAATGAAGCTACAGGAATATGAGATGCCACCAACTCACATTTCACGTGACGGTATCACTGATCAGTCTACAGACAGCTATCAACGGTCTATGACAGCCAGTGCTGACCAGACAGATATTTGAGATCACTTTTCAAACAGTATCATTTCTTTATAGCATACATAATTATTATCTCATTGCCATGATTGAAACAAGACACATGTAAATGAGATCATTTTATATACAAAGTCATTTTACCCATAGGATTCTGGAAGATGACAGAACCTGGCAACTGTTCTTGTAAAGCACTCCTATTCCCATTTTCAACTGATGTAGCAATTTTAATAATAAAAGTAAATATTCTGATTTTTATTTTTAAGAAAGAGATAAAACCTGATTTGATGCTTTAAAAAAAGCCAGCAAAAGTTGCTTCTCAGTTTTATTAGTGCTAAATCTTACAGTTTGGTATTAATCTTTTTCCTGAATTGGATTTAGTGTTTCAAGAGTCTGTTACTCATTTGTGTCTCACCCAACAATGTTGGGAACAGTGACACTGTGACATTTAGGACCTGAAATTTTAAACTATGATTATTAGCCTGTCAGGTTGACTTAAATGCATTAAAACAGTGTGTTACCAGGGAAATAAAAACGAACCTCCCAAAGCTCTAGTAGTTTCTTATTACCAACTAATAAAAAAAACAAATTCTTCAACCTGGATTTCAGGACTCTTACCCCATTTCAGAAACACACCCACTATGGAATCTTTTCTCTAATAAGATCTCTTCACTTATCATATACTAATTCCTTACTTCAAGCCTTTTCTATAGATTCCAACCTATGGAGAACTTTTTAGAAAAGGTGTTTTTTAGAACCTTCTTGTTCTTTAGAATTGGGACTTTTCCTCTTGATGTACATGTGTAATTAATAGTTCTCCTGCATTTGTCAACTACGATTCATGTCATTTTTTGGGCAACGTTCTTCAGAGGCACATAGAAACTGACAATATTTGAGCTCCTACCATGTACTATATATTTGATACACAGTGTTTCTCAATTATTCTTCATGCAATTTTAGGAATAGAACTATTATAATCCTCATTCTACAGTTGAAAGCTGAAGCATGGAAGTTAAGTAACTTTCCCAAGGGGATATAGCCAGTAATCCTTATCTACCTGATTTGAATTCTTATCTGACTCAGTGGTAGTCTGATTTTTCTTCTTCTATGTATGCTGCCTACGGGAACTGGAGGTACCTCAGAAATCACGGAGTCCACGCCACTAACTTTACAAAAGAGAAAACTAAGGCCCTCAGAAGTTCAATGATAGCTACTAGGGCCAGAGCCCAGGTCAGAATTCAAGACCCCTGACTTGGAGATTAGTGGCTTCTACTACTCCACACTTCCCTACTTTACAGTGGCAGAGTGTAGGAAGGAGATAGTGAAAAGCATGGAGACCTAAAAGCATATGGGCACACATATAGAAAACAATTACCTGCAATGGCAAAAACTAAGCTGTGAAAAGTTAAAGATGGTGGCAAAGAGTGAAGCATGGCATATGGGAGAATAAAAGTGGCAGTGAGAATGGACAGCTCCCTCAAGCCAATCACCAGGTGCTAAGGTGGGCCCGTCACAACTTGGCTGCTCCAAGGAGCAACCTTGGAGCCAACGCTGGCACCAACCTTGGTGCCACCATGCTACTTCATGCCATATGGCCTTTTCTATCTATGAATATGGTTCTCAATAGGAGTGTCACAACATTTCAGATAATTTTTTTGTTGCACAAGATTGTCCTGCACATTATAGGTAGTTTAGCCTTAATGCCTGCCAGTAACACCTATAATCATTTTGGCAACTAATTCCCAAATCAAATAAATACATTTCAAATATCCACTAAGAGTGGTGCTAGAACCTACTGAGAAACACTGGCCTACATTATACTTCCCCAAATTTAAAAAAAGGTAATATGTAAAAAAGCAAAACTTAAGCCATACTCTTGTTCTCTTTCTCTTCACATTTCTATTCTTATATTGGTTCCACATCTTTGAAGTATTCACAAAATTCTTTTTTTTTTTTTAAATTTCCAGGTATTAAAAAATAAGTTTAAAAAAACCTGGTTTTGTTTTTGTTTTTTAAAGATTTTCTTTATTTATTTGACAGAGAGAGAGAGCACAAGCAGGCAGAGCAGCAGGCAAAGGGAAAGGGAGAAGCTCCCTCCACTGAGCAGGGAGCCCAATGCAGGGCTCGATCCCAGGACCCTGGCTGGGATCATGACCCGAGCCAAAGGCAGCCGCCTAACTGACTGAGCCACCTAGGCGCCCCTAAAAAACCCTGTTTCATATGACCTCAAGAGTATAGCCATATTTCTTACCTTTACTAAAATAATTAAAATACCACCCGCTAGGGGTGCCTCAGTGGCTTAGCTGTCAAGAGTCCACCTTTGGCTCAGGTCATGATCCCAGGGTCCTGGGATGAGACCTGCATCAGGCTATCTGCTCAGCGAGGGGCCTGCTTCTACCTCTCCCACTCCCCCTGCTTGTGTTCCCTCTCTTGCTGTCTCTCTGTCAAGCAAATAAAATCTTTATAAAAAAACCTAAAAAGGTTTGACAGAATAAATCATAATTTTTTTAAAGGTATAGAACAAATTACTTAATAACTCCCTTAGACAAGGTTTAAAATAACACTGAAGTTGGGAAAAAAAAAACAAAACTTCCTTAAATTTTTTTTACTAATCCTTCCCAACATTTATCTATTAGCACTCCCAGGCAGTACACTCTTAGTCAAAAATTTTCAAGAGAAGAGAAGAGTAGGTTGGTAGGGTAAGATTTCTGGCTGAAATATAACCAATAAAGAATGAGACATAAGTGAGTCCGGTACTGTGATTAGTTTGGGAGAAGCAACATGGAGTAATTGTTAAAATCATGGACTTTAGAATTAATTGTAACCTAGTTTGAATCCAGGATCTGTCACTTTTTAAATTTTTTAATGATTTTATTTATTCGAGAGAGAGCACAAGTGGGGAGAGGTACAGAGAGAGAGAGGGAAAAGCAGGCTCCCCACAGAGCAGGGAGCCCGACATGGGGCTCAAACCCAGGACTCTGGGATCATGACCTGAGCCAAAGGCAGAGGCTAAACTGACTGAGCCACCCAGGCACCACCAGGGTCTTTCCCTTAATAGAGGGTGATATAAATGAATATAGATGGAAAACTACTAGGTTTGGAAGTACAGGCTCCAATAAGGGAAGATTCCCTCAGTGCTGGCAGAGCAAGAATTTCTAAGAAAGTCATAAAAACAAGAACACTGGGTTAAGGTTAGGTAGGCAGATTTTTGGCCCCTATGATTTCCACCCTGGTGTTACTCCAGTAAATGTGTTAAATGCCAAAAAGGGCTTGGCAGATGAAATTAAGGTTCCTAACTGGTTGACCCTGAAGTGGGAAAATTATCCAGATGGGTCTAATGTAATCATGGGAACTCTTAAAAGCAGAAGGTGGGGGCAACTGGAGGGACGTGGTCTAAGCTACAAACTTTAGCTATAAGATAAAGGAGTACTAGGGATGTAATGTACAACATGATGACTATAGTTAGCATTGCTGTGTGATATACAGGAAAGTTGTTAAGAGAGTAAACCCTGAAAGTTCTTATCACATGGAGAAAGAAAATTTGTTATTGTATTTATATGAGATGATGGCTATTAACTAAACCTATCGTGATCACTTCGTAACACATGTAAATCAAACTATCATGCTGTATGCCTTAAACTTATGCAGTGACTTATATCAATTATTTTTCAATAAAACTGGGGAAAAAAAACAGAAGAGGAAAGCAAGAGAGTTTGTGGGATGTGACAGAAAGGGAAATCAGAGAGATTGAAAATGTGAGAAGAGATTCAAAATGGCTTGCCATTACTGACCTGAAGATGGAGGGAGCTAGGAACCAAGGAATGTGGGCATACTCCAGAAGCTAAAAATGGAGTCTCAGCTGATAGTCAGCAAAGTAACAGGGACCTCAGTGATATAACTATATGAAATTGAATTCTGCCAACAACCTGCATGAGCCTGGAAGTGGATTCTCCCCCAGGGTCTGCAGGTAAGAATGTAGGCCAGCCAGTGCCATGACTTTCACTTATGAGACCCTAAGGAGAAAATGAAGGCAAGAATGAAGGTCTGCGCACACTTCTATCCTATAGAACTGAGACATTATAAACTGAGATTTTATGTCTTAAGCCACTAAATATGTGGTAATTTGTTACATGAGTATTAGAAAACTAATACATAAGGTAACTAAGGAAAAAAAAAAGTTGGCTTTTACCTTGGGAGTTTCTATTAAATTCTAGAAATCTTGAACTTTACTTATGATGGATGCAGGAGGTAAGAGGGACAGGAGATAAAGCATGGGACCTCCCAAAGTGGAAAAACACAATAGCAAACCCCCCTCAATATAAGGACTCATGGCAACTAAAAAGCCATTCTGAGATAAATTTCAAAGATATGAAATTCAACTAAATCCCCAAGAATTGATAAGACTAAAGAAGGCCAATTAAGAGATTTTTTTTTCTTTCACTCTTCTCCCCACATTTTCTTTACTCATCTATATCTCAGTTTCCTAAACAACTTTAATATCCCATCAAGTATAAGTGAAGATCTATGTATGACACTTTCTACAGAGGAAATTTACTGTTAAGAACAAGTTTATCAAGTGTACTGCTTGAAGACTTCATAAAAACAGAGAGGAAGCAAAGACCCAAAGGCTGTGAATTTTTCAACTACTGTGATATGGTGTACGCAAGAAACGTTTGGAATTAAAGAATAAGCAGCAGTGCTCTAATTGGTCAAGTTAATTTCAGAAATATTCTGTGAGGCACTAAGTGTAGTGAAAAGATCATATCGATTGAGATAGGAAGGAGGAAACATACTGATGTCTCTGGCTCCCTGTTTCTAGTCAAAAGTTTAAGCAAAAAATGAAAAATAAAAAATTCAGGACTCCTGGGATGCCTGGGTGGCTCAGTTGGTTAAGTGGCTGCCTTCGGCTCAGGTCATGATCCCAGCGTCCTGGGATCGAGTCCCACATCGGGCTCCTTGCTCAGCAGGGAGCCTGCTTCTCCCTCTGCCTCTGCCTGCCATTCCGTCTGCCTGTGCTCACTCTCTCTCTCTCTGACAAATAAATAAAATCTTTAAGAAAAAAAAAAAAATTCAGGACTCCTGAAACTCATTTAGCCTTCTTTATGCATAAATTCAGACATATCACCATAAAATCTCACTGCCATTAAGTACCTTCAAATCACATAATTATACACGTAATGGTTTAGGCAACCTGAATTTATAATCGATAAATCAATTTTACTTCTTTTTCTATTACATGAGCACAAAGCACACTGTCACTCAGCTCTACATACATGGTATCTAAAACAGAGTCTAAATATCTTCGACATACATACATCTGCACAAAACCAAAACCATTTCATGCTCTTACTAATGAGTTTTAAAGATTGAAACAAATGAGAATTGGTTTTTTCAAACCTGTTTTGATGTGAATATCTTCTCATGTCCTCTGTTTTTTGAAACTCCCTCAGAGGTACTGGCTTTATGGGTGAACCCTAGGCCAAAAAAGCAGAAATAAATCAATTTAACAGATGTATCCAAAACACTGTCACTGCATAATCCATATCTGACTTGGCATTTAGGGATCTATAGATTACGCTAAAAAATATTTTAACAAAATTTTCAAATGTGAATTTTTTTTTAAATGTGAAATTTTTATGTTTAAAATATTCATTATAGGCTATGTTACTGCTTTGGTAAACAAAACACTATTCATAATCCCAAAACACTCTTTAAAAAAGATTTCCTTCTCACTCTATTATATAAATTACACTGACCATACAGTAATATCTACTATATGCTAAGATGTTAGAGCTTGGAGAGGATCTTAGGGGTCATCTAGTACCAACTTCCATCCAGACAGCAATTCCCACCTGCCCTTCCCTGACTTGTGCTTGGCCTCTCTTGTGTATTTCTAGTAATAAGGAGATCATTGGACAGATTACGTTAAAAAAAAAAAAAAAAAAAGATTTATCTGAGAGAGTGAGAGAGCACAAGCCAGGGTGGACAGAGGAAGAAGCAGATGTCCTGCTGAGCAGGGAGCCCAACATGGGGCTCGATCCCAGGACTCTGAGATTCTGAAGTGAGCCAAGGGCAGACACTTAACTGACTGAGCCACCTAGGCACTCCGGGCAGATTACATTTCTTTACTTATTTATTTATTTACATTTCTTTACATATCATCACAAATTGTTACTTATGTTAGTCATACAAATAGTCCTGGGGATATTGGTGGAATATTAAGATACAGCAAAAAGTAATTTCTATTTATGGTAAAATAGGGTGTTAACCAAAAGAAGAATACTGACAATTTAATTTATTTATAAACTAAAGAATTAAGGTCATTTCAAAAAGACATAACTGAGGAAAACTGAACTGTCCTCAGTGATATGGACCACATATTGAGAAATAAAATTACAAAGAGGCTTATAGGTAATCACAGCATTTATTTTGTCAAATAAGAATGGATAGAAACAATAAAATCTGATTTCAACACCAAAAATAAACATTAAAATGGGTATTCTTTAAGGGAAAGAAAACAACTTATCCAAAAAGGTATCTAAAAAAAATCAAATGTAAGGGATGCCTGGGTTGCTCAGTCAGTTAAACATCTGCCTTCGGCTCAGGTCATGATCTCAGGGTCCTGGAATCGAGTTCCACATCAGGCTCCTTCGTCAGCAGGGAGCATGCTTCTCTTCCTACCTGCCGCGCCCCCTGCTTATTCTCTCTCTCTGACAAATAAATAAATAAAATCTTAAAAAACAAAAAATAAAAATCAAATGTAAAACTATTTAGAGTCTATCTCCAAGAAATCTAGGTAATCATATAGAACTAGAAAATCTTCTTTGGTGAGCCCTGCAAAGGGCTAAAGAAGACTGTTTTAAAGTCAGGCATTAGGATCATATAAAATGAGATATAATTAGAGAACTCTGATCAAACCATAATTACTCTAATTTAAGTGAATATGCCTTCTTAAATAAACAAAAATCTCTCCTAGTATGTTAACATCAGTGACTCAACACACTGGTTTTACATACTGCCATTATCTAAAATTACTGTAAGAGGTACATGAAATTTTTATGACGAATATGACATTGGCTTAATTTTAAAAGTAAATGTAATACCCGGCCTCCTGGGTGGCTCAGTTGGTTAAGCAACTGCCTTCAGCTTGGGTCATGATCCTGGAGTCCCAGGATCGAGTCCCATAATGGGAATACCTGCTCAGTGGAGAGTCTGCTTCTTCCTCTGACCCTCCCCTCTAAATGCTCTAATAAATAAATAAAATCTTTTAAAAAAAAAGTAAATGTACCCTATAAACATGTTATACCCTATTTCATCATAATACCTCTATGTATGAGAAGTACTATAACAGAATTACATAATAGCAGAGTGTTTAAAATCTCAAATAGATCCTTTTTTGTAGCAACCCATTCTTAGATAGTATTCAAGAATGTAACACTTTAGGGGTGCCTGGGTGGCTCAGTCATTAAGCACCTGCCTTTGGCTCAGGTCATGATCCCAGGGTCCTGGGATTGAGCCCCACGTTGGGCTCCCTGCTCAGGGGGAAGCCTGCTTCTCCCTCTCTCTCTCCCCTGGCTTGTGTTCCCTTCTCACTGTCTCTCTCTCTCTGTGTCAAATAAATAAATAAAATCTTTAAAAAAAAAAAAAAAAGAATATAACACTCTAGGTGGTTGTTAAACCATCTAAAATAATACTGCTTTATGGGTACCTGCGTGGCTCACTGGGTTAAGTGTCTGCCTTCTGCTCAGGTCATGATCTCAGGGTCCTGGGATCAAGGCCTGCATCAGGCTCTCTGCTCAGCAGGGAGCCTGCTCCCCCCCCCCCCCCCGCCTGCCTCTCTGCCTACTTGTTATCTCTGTCTGTCAAATAAATAAAATCTTTAAAAATAAATAAATAAATAAATAAATAATACTGCTCCATCACATTTTTATAGATGCCAAATTTTAGAAAACCTTATGACACAGAAGTCATAAATAACGTTATGACAGAGAATCATAAACACTACCACACAAATATAGCTAGAATTAAAAAAAAATTACAAAACAACAAAAACAATGGATTAAAAAAAAGATACAATTTTTCAGTAGTAGTATAACAGGCATTTTTATTTTTAGTAGAAATACCTCATCTATCCATAAAATAATCAAAGAGAAGGACCACAAGGAAAAAAACTCCCTTTAAGATTACAATGTGCATTGCTAATCTTCATGTTTTTGCAAAGTAGTCACCCTTTGTTCTAGTAAGAATGTTAATATCCTGAGTCACATGTAGTTTCATTAATTTCCTGGTACACTGCTATTGCTGGGCTGTAGGACTTCGATTTAAACATCTTTATCCAACTTTAAATATAAGAGTGTCTTCTGAACACCAACAAAAAATACTTTTCAAAAGTCTTCAGACAGGGAAACTGAAGGATTTTTTTTTTTTTTTAAGAATGATAATATCGTTCCACAACACATCCCACTTGAGTGATTATCCTCTATTTCTAGAAGGCTAAATACATCACTCTCCAAAAAGGCCCCAAGTGTTTCTCAAATAACCCCTGCTCAGAGCTTGGGACCAACTCCAGACATTAACATCACACACACTGAAGTGGAGCCGTTTCATTATGCTGACTAGATACGCTGAAGAATGCAATTTCCACTGGAGCCCCTTGGGGGATTGGCAGTGATTCTACTGTAGGCTGAATGCTCATTTGTTTTCTAAGGCAACTCAATGCTCCACTATAAGAGATACCCAAGAACTATAATGGCAAACAATTTATATTCTGTGTGACTTAGCATAAAAGATCCAATATAATTAAGTGCATTATAAAAATTCTATGGTTAAGTTTGTATGTTGCTCCAAAGTCTGCAGTTTGGTTCGATCCTTGTAATTACTAATGAAGCTATGATGTAAGTTGGTAACAATAAAAAAGCAGTAAGAACAAGATGAATTGAAAGCATTACATTCATTTGCATTTTCTTCAAGGGCATAGAATACTCTTAGGACTCCTCCTGTTCCTTCTCCAAGATTCTGAAATCTGTTTTTTTATTTGAAAAATAAAGCTAAACCCTACTTAAGACTACTGACTTTTTACAATAAATCTGAAAAATTCAGTCATGAAATTGGGACTGAACTTTATAAAACAAATAATTGGGCCTAAACCAATAAATCACTAATATGGCAGAAATTTATACCATCATGAACTGTTTTTACTAGGGGACAGCGACATATTTAGGCTTAAAAGTGTGTACTACCTCATGAGAGATTCGCCGTTGTTCAATGTACGCCATAAACTGGGAACTGAGGCTGTCTGGTTCCAGGCCCTTGGGCTGTCTGATCTCATCCTCTTCCTCCTCTGCAGTACAGCTATCGATGTAGTCGATCTGGTCCAGATCATGGTCCACTGTCCACACCACACAAACACACATCAGAAAAGAAGAGTCAAAATCAACAGCCAATAAACACATTCTGTTGCATTCTTTCCTTTTATCTAATATTTTCTATTCTGAAAGTGGGAGGAGTGCGAAGAAGTGTAAATTAGGTAAGCCTTTCTTTTTAAGTCCATGGCCACTCACAAAAATAAGTTCTAGAAAAATCTTAGTCCTAATTCACTAAAGAATGCAGTAATTGATAGTAATTATGGAATTATAGACCTCTAATATTTTTTTCTTTGGATAGCTCTTTACTGTTTTAAACCAGACAGTTTGAGTTTGTGAGACAAAGAGAGGAAGAATAATTTTTAAACATTGGGGGGTACATATTCTTTTAGATTGCCCGCTCCCCACCGTTTTAGTTTAAGGGCTTAATCCTACCCTTCAAGGAACTGGGAGGCAGAAAACCTAACACAGTCAAGTCAAAATGAAAGAGAAAGGACAGGAGGAAAGTGGACTCAGAAATAAAGAAACAGCTGTTGACCACTGTTTCTCTTCCTGTAACTGTTGTCCATATTTAGAACAATGATTTTCTTATTTAAAAATTTATTTTCTAGAGGTCAGCAGTGTAGATATTTTGTAGCAGTTTGGGGACAGAGGGAATCATTTGAGAATTTTTGCTTCTCAAAATGCTTTGGGGTAAAAGGCCTATGAATAAGATACAGCCATATCATTATTCTAATATGTTTGGGAGTGCCCTATTATTTTACGTTTAAAAAGTAACTTTTTTCTTTTTTAAGATTTTAATTTTAAGCAATCTCCATACTCAACCTGGGGCTCAAACACACAACTCTAAGATCAAGAGTTGCATGCTCCATCAACTGTGCCAGCCAGGAGCTCCCAAGAGTAACTATATTTAAAAGCTGGCTAAAATGGCATAGTAGGAGCAAAAACCTTGCTACTAAACTTTCTAAGGTTTCTCCAGAGACTAAACCCCAACCATTATTGTATGATGTTCTACAGACTACCTATAAGTGACCGTTGCTGGGAATAAAGAACTCAGAGAAGTCTATTTTTCTGTTTTCAGATTCAATTATTTCTTTCCTCTTTAAAACAAGCTTTTATTTATTTGAAAGAGAGACAGAGAAAGAGCAAGGGGAGGAGCAGAGGGAAAAGGAGAGAGAGAGAGACTCTCAAGCAGATTCCGTGTTGAGAATAGAGACCAAATGAGGCTCAATCTCACAACCCTGAGATCATGACCTCAGCTGAAATCAAGAGTCAGACACCTAACCATCTAAGGCACCCAGGCCCCTCAGATTCACTTATTTCTAAAAAATTCCATATTGGCCATTAATTAAAAAATGAATTTTGAGTTACCAGAGTTAATAATAACAAGTAAAAGGATACAAAGGTTATAAATCTATATCCACATTAGAAACCAGGTACATAAATCCATCTTTTTCAATGAGCTACAATTTGTGTGACTAAATAATTAATGGTTCATTTTATGACTACTTCTCAAGAAAGCAACATCACCTTTACGTAATATCTAGATCAGTACAGTCCAAAAGAAACAGAATGCAAGCCATTAAAGTGAACCATATAAGTAATAAAAATTATCTAGTAGCCACATTAAAAAAAGTCAAAAGAAAATGTGACACTAATTTTAATAACAGATTTTACTTTGTCTAATATATCTAAAATAGGGTCATTATAGCATATAAGTAATATAAAGTATTACTGATATTATACATTCTTTTTCCCCCCCCGCATGTAAATTCTTCAAAACTCAATGTGTATTTTACAGTTATAGTACATCTTAATTTAGAAAGGCCTCATTTCAGGGGCGCCTGGCTGGCTCAGTAAGAAGAACAAGCAACTCTTGATCTCAGGGTTGTGAGTTCAAGCCCCAGGTCAGGTGTGAAGATTACTTCAATAAAGAAAAGTTAAAAAAAAAAAAAAAAAGTTAGAAAGGCCTCATGTCAAATGCTCAATAACCACATGTTTCTAGTGGCTACCATACTAGACAGCACAGATCAGAACAAAAGTATTTTAAGTCTGAAACTAACTAAGGGGAAATATATCTCATATGAAAGCAAGATTAAAAAGAAAACCACTAAAATGTGAATGGAATGTAAGTAATAGGAGTACAGAATATAAAATGGTAAGGAAAAAAAGAGCAAGTCACTTAATTGAAATCATCATTCAAGGATGAAAGCTCTTTTTTTTTTTTTAAAGATTTTATTTATTTATTTGACAGACAGAGATCACAAGTAGGCAGAGAGGCAGGCAGAGAGAGAGAGGAGGAAGCAGGCTCCCCGCGGAGCAGAGAGCCCGATGCGGGGCTCGATCCCAGGACCCTGAGATCATGACCTAAGCTGAAGGCAGAGGCTTAACCCACTGAGCCACCCAGGCACAAGAAATACTGTATTTTAACTGCAAGCCTGAAAACTTAGAGAAATTAAAATATAATCCCAATGGAAAACAACTTTTTTCCAATCATATGAGGCAGTCTTTAAAAGAAGAGCTGGAGGGGCACCTGGGTGGCTCAGTCACTTAAGCGCCTGCTTTCGGCTCACGTCATGATCTTGGGGTCCTGGGATTGAGCCCAACGTTGGGCTCCCCTCTCAGTGGGGAATCTGCTTCTCCTCCCTCAGCTCCTCCCCCTGCTCATACTCTCTCTCAAATAAATAAATAAAATTAAATAAGAGCTGGAGAAGCTACAGATATACAAACAAAAGAAACGAATGTGAAAATGACCACTTAAAAACGCCAGTGACTATAAAGACTGGCTGTGGTCAGGAGTTCCACTCACCTCCACCATTTGTTACTACTAAACTGCTCCGAGTCTCCTGGTACTGGCTTTCTCTTCGCAGTCTTTGTTCCTTAGTTATTTCTGCTACTCGAAGAGGCAGATCTGAAAATTCATCTGTAGGCTTAAAAAAAAAAATGGTACTGTTTAAAAACATCATTTCAAACTTTAGACAACACAGTACTGAAAGCATGGATATGAATTTATACTTAAGAAGAAATAGCAAAATCTCCTGGAAATGAATAGTAGTAACAGTGTCTCAACAATGTGAGTGTACTTAATGTCACTGATATGTACACTTAAGAAATAAAATGGTGTATTTTATGTTATGTATATTTATTTTACATAATTTTAAAAAAGCAATGGAGGGTTATACATCACTTTCCAAATAAACATGAATTTAAACTGTCTACATATATGTATCTGCATGGATACAGATACGATTATGAACACATCTCCTGGTACATACACAAGCAATTCCAAATTACAAATGGGCTGTGGTCTGAAGTTCATTTGCATTGGAATGAATGAAATAATGCTACAAATGGGAGGTTATCAGTCTTGCTAATAAAAGCTTATTTCATCATTTAACCCAACTGAGAGCAAAAAAAGATAGAAAGCATAACAGTAACTAAACACAAGAGAAAAAAGATATAATTAATTAGGACAATTATTTATCTTGAGCATGTTAATAGTCTTCACTAAGGTTCCTGTCTTATATCAGCCTATAGTCCTATCTTGTCACCTTGCAGCACCCCTTCTGCAACCTCTGCTCAAGGTCACCCAGCCCTGCAAACTTTAGGCTTCAGTTGTAATTGGCTCAGTCCCCATTTGGCTTTCTAGGATATTAAACTATTTATACAAGACAATAAGGTAACAAACATGTAAAACGTGTGGTAAAAAGATGGCAAAGAAACAGAGCATCATTTCTGGATGGCAGTACTCTGTGGTTTTACATCTTCCTTGGGTTTCCCATATTTTATGTAATGAGAAACTGAATCCAATTAAGATACTTTTCATTTTCATCATCGTATTGTCTCTTAATCAGGAGTTACAACATGCAGAATAAAAGAAACAACTTACTTCATTCCCTGACCATCTCTTATCACCACTGTCCACACTATTGAAACCTGAATCAAGGGCTCCATAAGGGCGACCTGAGTACAGTTCTTCATGGCTGCCAAAGAGAGACTCTAGTTGTTACTGGGTAGTTTGAGGTTTTAAAATTAACATTTAAAATAAATTAAATGCAATTTTACTAATAAACATTATCATGGCATTTATTGATTTAATTCATTTAGAGTTAAATGGGTATTCTTTTGACTTTTTAATATTAAAAATTGCAAACTAAAATAAACAGTATAATGTATACCAGTATACTAATATAACAGCATTCATTCAGTTTTCAAAAATGTCAACAGTGCCATTCTTGTTTCATCTATGCTTCTAACCCATTTACCATGGCCCCCAATGCAGAGCTTGAGCTCACTGCCTGAGACAGAGACCTGAGCTGAAATCAAGAGTTGGACACTTAACCAACTGACCACCCAAGTGCCCCCCTCAATTCCTTTTTTTTTAAGAGAGAGAGAATGAGTGGGGAAGGGCAGAGGGAGGGAGGGAGAATTTTAAGCAGACTCCACACCCAGCATGGAATCCAACACAAGGCTCAATCTCATGACCCTGAGATTGTGACTTGAGCTGAAATCAAGAGTCAGACGCTTAACTGACTGAACCACCTAGGCACCCCTCAATAGTGCTTTTTAAAGGTAAAATTCATATCCACTGAAATGTATACACCTTAGCTACATACTTGATAAATGAATTCATCTTTGTAATATACACTTCTCTCATGATGTAGGACATTTCTACTTTGCTTGAAAATCCCCACATCCCTTTCCACAGTCAGTTCCCCTCATCATGCTATAGTGTGCTCTTAAGAGATAACCACTCTTCTGATTTTTTTCACATTAAATTTGTATGAAAGGCAAAAATAACAATCCCCAAAGATGTCTAAGATCTAACCCCTGGAACCTACAAATATGTTTCTTTACATGGCAAAGGGGAACTAAGGTTGAAAGTAAAACTAAGACTGCTAGTCAGTGATCTTAAAATAGGGCAATTATTGTAAATTATCTGAATGGACAAGATGTAATCAAAAGGGTCCTTAAAAGTGGAAGAGGAAAATGATGGCTTGGAGATGACTTCTGGTTAAGAGACAAGGAATGTGGACAGCTTCTCTCTAGTAGTTGAAAAATGCAAGGAAATGTATCTTACTCAGAGCCTACAGAAAAGAACAAAGCTCTGCCAGCATCTTGATTTTAGCCCAATGAGACCAACCAAGACTTAGACTTGTGACCTAACAAAACCATAAGATAATAAATTTGTGTTTAAAAATCTTAGTTTGTGGTAATTTGTTATGGCAGCGATGAAAAAGTAATACAATTAGTTTTGCTAATTCTGGAACTCAAAAAATAGAATCATATGTAATTTTTTTCTAATCTGGCTTTTTTTGTTCAGCACTCTGTTAGTGAATTTCTTGATGGTTTTAATACCTTCAAGTAGAATGGATAAATTATTTAAGTGTAGGTGTCACTTAAAAACAAAAACAAAAAAACCTCCCAATCTCTTTTTGAAAGTAGCTGTATCATTTTGCATTCACACCAGCAATGCATCTGAGTTCCAGTTGTCAGTCTTTCATCTTAGCTCTTCTGGTGAGCGAAAAGTGGTATCTCACTGTTGTTTTAATTAGTATTTTTCTGATGACTGATGATATTGAGTCTCATTTTGTGTGGGTGTCGGCCATTCATTTTTCTTCTTTTTGTGAAAGGTCCGTTCTTTTGCCCATTTCTAAATACACCAGTAATCTCAAAAATAGTCTGCTAAAAAGCCAGCCACAAAACACTACATAATGCTTGATTTCATTTATATGAAACTCTAGAAAAAGTACAACTGTACTGACTGAGAGCAGATCAGTAGCTGCCTGGGGCTGAGTAAAGGGGAAAGGACTTATCTACCGTAAAGGGGCCCACAGCTGATGGAAATGCTATCTGTCTTGATTGTGTTGGTAGTCTCATGACTGCATCATTTACCAAAATTCACTGAACTGCACACTTAAAATAGATAAATGTTATGATTTGTACATTATATCTCAATAAAGCTGCTTAAAAATCTTCCAAATTCTTTTGTCAAAGGGGATGTCCCATTTTACAATTTTGCGAGCAGTGTATGAGAGCACTCATTGCTCCACATCCCCACGAAACAGCTGGTGTTGTCAGTTTTTAGTCATTCTAGTAGAAGTGTAATAAAGTCTTGTGCCTTAATTTACATTTCCATGATGATTAATGATACTGAGCACTTTTCTGGGTGCTTACTAGTCATTTGTATATCTTTGTTAAATATCTAATAAAGTCTTTTGTCCAATTTTTAATTGGGTTGTTTGTCTTTTTAGCATTAAGTTGCAGATACCCTTTATAGTTTGGATATAAGTCCTCTGTCATATGTATGTGTGTCATATACATATATTGCAAAAGTTTCTCCCAGTTTGTGGTTTGTGTACTCATTTTCTTAGTATTTTCTTTTCATGAGGATGTGCTTTTCATTTTGCTGAACTCTAATTTATCATGTTTTTTTTTAAATGGTTATTGCTTTCTGTATCCTCAGAAATCACTGCCTATCCCATGTCACAATGATTTTCTTTTACACTTTCTTTGAAAAGTTTTATAGCTGTAGTTTTTGCTTATTCTTAAACATACTTTTAAAAGTTAGATGAATTAGAAATCTATAACACGACAAGGCTTATTTTTAAAAAATGGTCTATTAGCATTTTATTTTATAAGCATGGGGTTGAAAAGCAACCTTCAAAAGTACAAATCTAAAATTATGTTCTTCTGGTACTGAATTTTGTATTCCGCATATTCTTTTTTTTTTTAATTTTATTTTTTATAAACATATATTTTTATCCCCAGGGGTACAGGTCTGTGAATCGCCAGGTTTACACACTTCACAGCACTCACCATAGCATATTCTGCATATTCTTACATAGTTCATGCATGTAACTTTAATTTTTGTAAAAGGAGGTTAACCATTTCTACTCACATGCCTTTATATAAATGAAAGCTTTATGTCAACTAAAAACAAAACAAACAAAAACCCTATGTGAACAAAAGACAGTCTTTGTAACTTACCACTTTACGGATAAAGATTTTACTTTTAATGTAGTAATTAATATATACATCTATTTGTCCAATGTACTAAATATGCTCTGATTATGAAGATCCAAAAATACAGGTACCTTCTGGCTATCTTCCTCATTTTCCCACCCTCCCCCATTGAGATAATTTAGCAAAAGAAAGTCTCTTAGCAGAATTCTAAAATTACTTTTCTAGCAGTGTCTGGATGGCTCAGTTGGAAGAACATGTGACTCTTTTTTTTTTTTTAAAGATTTTATTTATTTATTTGACAGAGATCACAAGTAGGCAGAGAGGCAGGCAGAGAGAGAGAGGGGGAAGCAGGCTCCCTGCTGAGCAGAGAGCCCGATGCGGGACTCGATCCCAGAACCCTGAGATCATGACCTGAGCCAAAGGCAGCGGCTTAACCCACTG